AAAGCGGAAGTAGCCGGCGCGACGGAGGTATTAAACGGGACCGCCGGAACGGCCGGGTTAGAGGAAGTAACGAAAGCGGTAATAACTCCGGGAGCCGAGGAAGCGCTACGGCTTCGTCTTTATTCTCGTCCTCGTCTTACGATATTATTACGGATCGGTATAATAATAATAACGATCGCTTAAGTTACGCGAGTAACGGCGATACTATTAAAGGACGTAACTTAATATACGTAAGTTTAGGCTTAGATTTTACGTAAGAAAATCTTACGAGTAATTAATATAACCGGGCGGTCGCCTTTTTCGATTACTTCCTCGTATAAAAAAGGGAAGTCTTCCTCGGAAAACTCCTCTTTAAAGGATTCGTCGGTAAAGACCTTAATAGCTCGGGATACGGTACCCTAAGAAGCGCGAGTAATTAAGGTTTAAAAGCGCTACGTTAAGGCGCTAGGTACGATTATATCGACGTCGCTTTCGTCGATAAAGGGATCCTTAAAGGGCTAAGTAATAACTAAGGCCCCGGACCCGGGAGTAAAGGATACCTTTCCGCGGCGAGTAAGGCTACCGGCCGAAGCTTTAACGCTATCCCCCGTACGAATACGAAAGGTAGGTTAAAAGCTCGCGGCGGAAAGGCCGAATATCCTTTACTTTAACGAGGCTACGGTACTTTAAAGCGCTAATATTATCTTACGAAGCTTTTAAGTATCGGATATATTAAGAGATCGTTAATTACGGTACTATATTACTACCGATAAATAACGAATAAGTAATAAACGGATTATCTTAAATAACTTCTTATTTATTAATATAAAATAATTAACGGTCGCTTTATTATCCTAGGATATTTTAATATTAAGAGTAATATATTAATCGTAAATAATAACCCTTACCGTAATAAGCTAGGCTATTATCTTACGGTTACTTAATAAGAATATATTACGACTCGTATAATACGCGAGTTACGTTTTACGTAAACTATAGAAGGAGCGGACTTACCTTACGATAATAAATTAACGAAGCTTTATTAGTTATATTAACTTACGATCGCGTAATTAATAGAATTACTTAATTATAGTTAGGGGTATATATCTATAATAAATAACCTAGGAAAGAAAGGGAGAAAGAGAGATACGCTTAATTCGAGAGCGAGAAATCTTAAATATATTTATACTTAACCGCCTTCGTAAGAAAAACGGTAGAATCGGTTAGTATAAATAACGCGCGCGAGCGCGCGCGATAATAATAAAGGAGATTAAATCCTAGTATTAATATTAAAATTACTACTACTACTATTACATTACCTATATAACTAACTACCGCTTAATCGAAAGCGAGTAATTATACGAATAATTATACGAGTAATTATTTTTATTTATAATAAACTATAAAGTATTAAATAATGGGTACGAAAAGTATATAACTTAAAAGAAAATACTACTAGTAATAAACCGGAGTATATACGGATAAGGAAACATAAGGGAGCCCGAAATAAGGCACCTAGTAATCGATTAACCTTAACGAGGTATAACGAAACTAAGGAATAACCCCTTAGGTTATTATCGTAAGTAAAGAACTATAGTTAACCTTACTATCGTAAGCTTAACTAGGAGATATATTACGTAGGTATATACCCCTAATAGGAACTACCTAGCTTACCTAAGCTAGCTAAGTACTACTATATATACCTATAAATCGCTCCATACTTTTTAGTAGCTTTACTTCTTTTCTAGTTAGTTAATATATACCTTCTTATCCTTATTTCATTACTCTCTTTACGAATAACCTATTAACCTAAGCTTAGCTCTTGCTAGCTACGTAATATAATAATAAAGGTAGGAGCGAGGTAATCGCGGAATAATCTTACGGTATTTTAAACGTTCGGTTTAAGTCCTTAAGCTTTAAGTTATATACCGACGAACTCGAAATAATTAATAGAAACCGAGGATATAATTTAATAATAAAAAGCTCGGTAGTTTTTACCGGCGATAGTAGCTTAAGACTCCTAAGAGCGACTTTATTCGAATAATTATTTATACTCTTCGATAAAGAAGTAACGCGGGTTTTCGGTTAGAGCTTTCGGCTCTTCCCTACGAGTCTCAGGATCTTTCTCGACTTACTCGTAGAGAGCTTAAAGGTATTACTTCCTCGCTCGCTTCTTTTCCTAAGTAATAAATTCTTTAAGCGATAGGAGTATCGCCGAGCTTAGCTTATAATCGTTTACATTAGGATTAACATCCTTTTAAATATCGAATTACTCGGCGTAGTTCTAAAAAGTAATAAATTATCGTAAATATTCGTCGAAGTTACGTAGATTAATATTAATAGGTAGCTTCTTAATAGAGAAGTCTCCGCTAGTATCCGTTATTACTATAAATATATTACTCGAGAGGAAAACGAAAGCGATATTTAAAAGAAAAACGATTAATCGAAAGATTAAAGAAATAAAGATAAATAATAAAATTACTCGGAAGCTTATATAATAAGACCTTAGTTAACTTAGCTCCTTAGAAGGACTACCGGGCTTATAACTAATACGTAGATTAAGAGAACTACGTAAGTACTAAAGTTACTTCTTAGGAGTAACGGAAAGTAAGAAGAAAAAGGTAAATTAACTAACTATTTAAAAAGAAAAGAGATTAATAAAAGAGATACGAGCTACCTATATATAAACGATAGGAAGCTACGAGCTATATTATATAAGCGAGCTAGGAGCTATATTAGGTAAGCGAGTAACTCGAGAAGGAGTAGGGAGCCATATATAAGTGGCTCTTTATGTAATAAATTCTTAAAGGCTTTATAGGTCGCTCGCCCTTTAGCGGGTTAGCTATAGTTAGGTTACTACCGGGATTAATAGGGATAGGCTTTTATTTAGGGTCTTTCTTACGGCGTAATTCGTTATAAGCGCTTACTAGCCTAGAAAGCTCTACCGTATCTATTTTCGTTCGATATATCCCGTTCCCGCTATCGTAATAACCGAATTAAAGTAGCGTATACGATACGTACGTAATATATTACGTCGACGGTTATTTCGAATCGCCTTTTAATCCGCCGGAGGCGCTATCGCCGTTATTATTACCGCCGCCGTTACTCTTACTCTTTCGTTCCTTTAGCGGTTTCGGGTAGTCCTTAGCCTTATACTTATATTCCTTATAGTTAAAGTAAAAGGGCTCTTCTTATTAATTCTATAAAGGCTTCTTTTTCTTATCCTTTTCCTTACTTTAAGCGTTATTAGCTTAGTTATTATTACCGCCGCTATTCTTATTACTCTTATACTTATTAATCTTATTACGGAATTTTCCGCGGAAGTTATTAAGTACGTCTAGTAGGTCTATAGGTTTCGTTTTAATTATAGTATTTACGATCTTAACCTAATTAGTTACTTTATCCTATATATAGCTAAGGAATATCGTAATTTATTATTCTTCGCCGATTACGAGACCGGTATTTATATACTAACGAACGGCTAATTATTACTTAAACGTAAACTCTACCGGATCCTTACCGTCGTATTTTATTTTAATAAGTTATTCCTATAGCTCCTATTAACGAACCTTTCTTATAAAGACATAGGTTTAATCGAATATCTTTAGTATCCTCGTACCTAAACGTACGTCCGCTATTAATTATAAGGGTTAGCTCCGATAGGTCCCGGCGATTACTTTCGCTAGAAATATCTCGTTTTATTCGTCGAGTTCTATTCCTTTTCTATACCTTACCTCCTTTATAAAAAGTATAAATATATCCCGATATAAGCTTTAGTTCGAGATTCCCTTAAGATAGGCGTTCTTATCGGGATTAAAAACGAACTTCTTCTAATTAATCCTACCGTTCTTCCTAAACGCGGTATCCCTACTCCTATTCTTTATCCTCCGGTTACGTCGTTTACCGTAATCGGAGTTACTATCGAAGGAGCTTCTTAATAAGCTACTTAAGCTACGGCCCCGGCGGCGGTAATTCTTACGCCGGGCTAAGCGTAAAATACGATAGTAGCGGTTATTTTCGTAGCTCCTACGGTAGTCCTTACCGTAAACTCGTTAAGTCTTTATAACCGACTTATTTAATTTCCTCGGAATCTCTAGGTCTTTAATATAAGGTTTATCCTTACCTTCGTTAGCGTCGGTAAAGTCGCCTTTTTCTATTAAATCGGCGACGTCTTACTAGGATTAGCGATAGCTTCCTTACCGTTATTCGCTTATTATTTCTAGCTTAGTTATTATCTCCCTAAGGAAATACTTTACGGTATTTATACGTTAATTAATATATTCGGTCGTCTTACGTAAGTCCTCTTATAATTCCTTACGTATTTTCTTACGGAGGTTCTTTAACGCGATATCTTACGTAGTTTCTTATTCGGTTCCTTCCTCGGCCGCCTTATCTTATAATCTCGTAGCTATCCTCGTAATTATCCTCGCGATTTAATCGTTTAGCTTATCGATAACCTCTCTCTACCGTTAATCGTAGTTATACGGTTATCCCGGGCCGCTCGTTTATCGGAGCTTTCGTTACTTAATTACCTCCGTAGCGTAAGTAGTTAAATAATAATAAAATAACGTAATAATAAGCTTACGAAACGTATAAGGTATTACTATATAGCTATCTAAGGAACGGGTAAATAGTTAATTAAATTATAGTTATCTACGTAGCCTTTTGGAGCCGTTTTACGTGCCTTTTATATCCCGATTAGCCCTCGCTAGGGCAGGGCTTACCCTATGGCTATACGTAACCGATTACGTGCTTACGCGCCCATACCTAGGTATAAAGGGTAGGTTGTCTTCGGGATCTAGGTACTTGGCACACCTAACAACCTTAGTACCTAGGTAGGTAGGTAGGTAGGTACCTAAGCCTGTAAGTGAGGTTCTTTAGTTGGAATTGGCAAAGTCAGACCTCTTTTCAAATCGACGTGCCCTGCGGGCAGGTACCGTACCAAAGTCCGTAGGCACGATAAGAAAGATAAGGAAGGAATAAGCGGAGCGCCCGCCCATTCAGCTTTATCTGTGTCCGCTTATCGCCGGTTGCTTCTGGGTCATCTTCCTCTCCCACCATCTGCCCTTTCACATTTTCTAATACCCGCCGCCTGCTGCATCCGCCGAAGGCCTCTCTTCTCTTTCCGAAAGACGCTGAGATCGTGAGGTTCTCTCGCTTCTTTGTAGCAGACCCTGCATCGAACCATGGTAGGAGCGCACGATGGCTTACGTTGCGCCCATCCACCGGCCTAACAGCGTTCGTCATGCCCTGCGCATCAGCCTACTCCCAGGTGAGGATGAATGCTTGATTCTAGCGTAAGTTCCGGCTTGGTAAACATGCAACAATGACAGCGGTGGCAGCCCCAGCATAATTACTAATACTTCGTGGTGTAGCAAGACGAACCGCCTCGAGATATGGAAGTTGGAAGAATCCGGCGGCTTGGTTCACACTGACACTAAGGCTGTCAATGGCACCATCTCCATCCTCCAGAAGCTCAAACCCCGAGACTCCGAGACGGAACTGCTCTTCGTCGGGACGGACAGATTCCACTACTTCACGATCGGTTGGGATGCCACGACCCAGCGGCTCGAGACCATCGATTCCTTCTTCGACATACACGAGAAGCACATGCGCGATGTCCAGAGCCGGGATATGTGTGTGGTTGACCCCTCGGGGCGGTTCATGGTGGTGATCCTGTGGGAGGGCGTCCTCAACGTCCTGCGCATGCACACCGTCAAGAGTAAGAGGCAGAACCTGCACTGGATGGACCAGATCCGGATCTCCGAGCTATTTATCAAGTCCACCGCCTTCCTACACGTCGAGACCGGGCACCCCAAGATAGCATTCCTATACCAGACCCGAACCGACGTCCCGGATTCCCATCTCGTAACCTACCGCCTGACAGCTGACGATAGAAACACCGAGGTGTCCCGGTTTGAGGTTCGGGATCAGGTTGATCGCATCCCCTTCCAAGACGCGGGCGCTGCCATGTTGATACCCGTAGGAAGGGGAGAAGAGGACCAGAAGCGTTACATAATACGCAATGCATCAACTGCAAGAGCCCAATTAGGCGGTCTGATTGTCGTCGGCGAGACGCGGCTACTGTACTACGACGACGCGGCCAAGAAAACCGTCGAGACTGGTCTCCCCGAGTCCTCCATCTTTGTAGCTTGGGCAGAGTATGATGTCTCGCATTACTACATCGGTGACGATTACGGAACCATGTGGCTACTGGAGATTCTCCTTGATGGGGCAGTGGTAACCGGCTTGCAGATGACCAAGGTCGGAACAACCTCGAGAGCAAGCTGCCTGGTCTACATGGGGAACAATGTCTTGTTCGTCGGTTCGCACTATGGCGACTCGCAAGTTTTCCACGTTGATCCGGAGACGAAATCCCTAAGCTTATCCCAGACGCTCGACAGTATTGCCCCAATATTAGATCTCAACGTGATGGATATGGGTAATCGCGAAGGGGAGGCACAGACGACCAACGAGTACTCGTCCGGCCAGGCGAGAATCGTCACCGGCAGCGGCGTTCACAAAGACGGAAGCATACGAAGCGTGCGAAGCGGAGTGGGATTAGACGATGTCGGCATTCTGCCCGACCTCGGTGGCGTTCGAGCGCTATTTCCGCTTAAAACTCTCGAGACAGCCAAGACGGATACCTTGGTCGTGTCGTTTCTAACGGAAACCCGAATATTCACCTTCGCCCCCGACGGTGAAATCGTGGAGGTGTCTTCGTTTAGGGGGATGGTCTTTCATGAGCAGACCCTGCTCGCACGGAACCTTCCCAATGGCCGGCTCCTCCAAGTGACGACAAGTAGTGTACTGCTTGTAGATTCCGAGAGCGGTGTCATCGTCTCGACCTGGAAGCCTGCGGGGGGGCAGATTACTAGCGTGTCTGCAAATGACGGGTGGATCCTTCTCTCTGTGGATGGGAGGGTCCTCCTGTCGTTACAGATACAACAGGACCTGGTGAGGGTCGGTTATAATGATCTGGAAGATAAGGATGAAGTCGCTTGCCTCCATTTGCCTCCGGAATATCACAGCATTGGTGTGGTCGGATTCTGGAAGTCGGGCACGATCTCTATCGTTAATCTGACAACCTTGGAGTCCATCCACGGGGAAAATTTGCGACGCAAAGACGACCATGCTTCGGTCCCGCGAGACATTGCGCTCGCTCAGGTTCTCCGTCCTGATCTGGGTGGTCCGACGTTATTCGTAGCCATGGAAGATGGCTACGTTATCACATTCAACGTCTCAAAGACCAATTTCTCCCTTTCTGGGCGGAAGAGCGTCGTCCTAGGGACGCGACAGGCCAGACTACAACTTCTACCCAAGGCCGACGGCATCTATAATGTATTCGCGACGAGCGAACATCCCAGTTTAATTTATGCCGCCGAGGGCAGGATGGTCTACTCCGCCGTCACGGCTGATGACGCGACCTGCGTGTGTCCGTTCGACACCGAAGCATTCCCGGATTCTATCGCCGTGGGCAGTGAGAAAGACCTGAAGATATGCCTCGTAGACACAGAACGGCGAACACACGTGCAATCTTTACATATGGGTGAAACCGTTCGGCGCATAGCGTACTCTCGCAGTGAGCAAGCCTTTGGCTTAGGATGTTTCAGCCGACAGGTGAAAAACAATGAGGAGATTATCACGAGCTCATTTAGATTGGCGGATGAAGTTGTGTATAAACAACTAGGAAACGACTTCCCTCTGGACAGCTCACCCACAGTTGAGATAGTGGAAGCCGTGATCCGGGCTGTTCTCACAGATTCATACGGAAACCCGGCCGAGAGATTCCTCGTAGGCACGAGCTACCTAGACGACGCGCCTAGTTCCGCACCTCGCGATGGCGTTAGAGGTCGCATATTAGTTTTTGGGGTGGACAGCGAAAGGGCGCCTTATCTGGTTGGTAGCCGAGGTTTGAAGGGCGCGTGCAAATGTCTTGCCGTGATGGGCGGGAAGATCGCTGCGGCTCTAGCAAAGACGGTTGTGATGTACTCTTATGTCGAGACGTCGTCGACATCTGCCGATATAAGGAAGATAGCTTCGTATCGGCCAGCGACATATCCGACAGACCTGGCAGTTGAAGGCAACATCATCGCGGTCGCAGATTTGATGAAATCTATGACGTTGGTTGAGTATCTCGCGCCGAAAGACGGCCAGCCGGCCAGGCTCGTCGAGGTATCACGTCACTACCAGTCCGTCTGGGCTACAGCTATATGTCACGTCGAGGGGCAGTCGTGGCTGGAGTCGGACTCTCAAGGAAATCTACTCGTGCTAAGGAGGAACGTGTCTGGGGTCACCGAGGGAGACAAGCGACGCATGGATGTTATAAGTGAGATTAAACTGGGAGAGATGGTGAACAAGATTCGGAAGGTGGAAGTCGATGCTAGCGAGAATGCCATCGTCACTCCACGAGCATTTCTCGGTACGGTAAGCCGAGACTACTCAGACACAGACAAACGTAGATGAAGTATCTTCACTAACGCCTTATTTTTGGGCAACGACAGACCGAAGGCGGCGTATACCTTTTCGGGACTATCGCGCCGGATTACCAGGACCTGCTGATCCGGTTCCAGAACAAGCTGGCTGACGTGGTGGAGACCACGGGTAACATATTGTTTTCGCGATACCGATCTTTCTGGAACGAAGAACGCGAGTCAGACGGGCCATCCCGCTTCATCGATGGAGAGTTCCTCGAACGGTTCCTCGATATGGACGAGGAGAAGCAAGTGGAGGTCTGCGAAGGATTGGGCCCCGACGTCGAAGCGATGCGGAACCTAGTGGAAGAGCTAAAGCAGATGCACTGAGGGGTTGTTCTCAGAGGGGACGGGGGATTGGAGGAGCTTGCTTGTCCCGTCTCTTGATAGCGAGATCGACGGCATTTGACGGAGCAGTGTATTCCGGCGTAGGGATTTCTCGTGCATTACTTGTAGAGTATGCGGCAGGTCACGACAGGTCCGGAAATACCAACACTAATGGCGGGGTTACGAAGAGCTGACCGCGTAGCTGAGAGATGCCGGGACGGTACCTGAGATATGCACCATGACACGGTGGACGCGGGTGGATGGATGGATCATCTATCCTCGTAGCGGGCCTTATGAGTGGACAGCCCGACGCCACCTGGCAGCTTGATTAGGTACATGGGTACCTACACACCTGTAGGTCGGTAGCATGGAAGTGCGGAAGTTGGAGAGTCACATGACAAGTGCACGCCAGGTGTCGGGCTAACTCGAAGCATCGGGCCAATCATTCGATATCAATTTCAGAGCTCTTGAGTTTTTCCCGCCCGAGGGCCGCTGAACAGACACCAATGGCGCCAGGCTAGTCCGAGAGAACATCTGAGCATACCCGAATTCCTTCCCATCCCGAAAAAAGACCTCAATCTCGCGATTCCCGACGACGACCGATTCACCCCCACCACCGCTATGGCGCCCCTCACCATCGCCTCCCGCGCCGTTGTGCGAGGCCTATCGAAGTCTTGCTGTCGCATAAGCGCCGCCCGCGCCCTCAGCACCTCGGCCCAGCTCCACGATGCCGCCGGCTCCTACTCGAGCCCGTTCAAGGGCGAGTCCAAGTCGACCAATATCCCCGACTTCAGCCACTATCTCAGCAAGGGCAGCGCCAACACGAATCTGCTCTTCCAATATTTCATGGTCGGCACCCTGGGCGCCATCACCGCCGCAGGTGCCAAGTCCACCGTGCAAGGTACGTTGCGCACCGCATCGAGGATGGGGAAGATGGGGGGAGGGGGTTAGGAGAGGTCGGAAAGCTTCACACGGACGACTGTCGCTCTTCCTGCGGAGCCGTGCTTCGATTGCCCCCACCGCTCTCTTCTACCCCGTTCCTCGTCCGGCCACATGTATCCAATAGTTGACACCTCGCCGTCTAGAATTCCTCAAGAACATGTCCGCGTCCGCCGACGTCCTAGCCATGGCCAAGGTTGAGGTCGACCTCAACACGATCCCCGAGGGGAAGAATGTCATCATTAAGTGGAGAGGAAAGCCCGTATTCATCCGGCACCGCACCGAAGACGAGATCAACGAGGCGAATTCGGTCAACATCACGTCGTTACGAGATCCCGAGGCCGACGAGGACCGTGTCAAGAAGCCTGAATGGCTGGTCATGTTGGGTAGGATAATTCCCGTCCTCCCCCGTCTCTCCCTAGCTCCGCGGCGCCCCGGGGTCGCTCTGCATCTGGGATGCTCTTCGAACGGGCGACGCCCTCTTCCAGTAGAAGCAGAGATAGCTGACACGTCCATCTTATGCAGGTGTCTGCACACATTTAGGTTGTGTCCCGATCGGAGAGGCCGGTGATTTCGGAGGGTGGTTTTGTCCCTGCCACGGCTCTCACTACGACATCTCGGGACGTATACGGAAAGGACCGGCACCACTCAACCTCGAGGTTCCCACGTACGAATTCCCCGAGGACGACAAGTTGGTTATCGGTTAAGCGCGGCGGTGCTTGTAGAATTTTACTCGCTCTCAGACCGGGGCCGGGTACACATCTACCCCCTCCCGATTTACCGTCGTCAGCTAGGCGGAGATAGACGTAATGGCAAGGTCGTGAGGCTCGCATGGCACACCTATCTATAAATTACCTTGGCGTTGCCACACTGTACAAAAAAACACACAAACATCGAAACTTGAAACTTGAACAGCGCTGTCTATCAAGCGACGTCCAGCTATTTCTGTGAGTGAAATATCATGCCTTACGACCCTAGCTGAGCGGCCGAAACACCTATGCCCACTTCATCATGGAGGTTGCAGTATTATATCTCAAATCAACAAGCAAGGCAAGAGGGGCGTGCTCTCCTTTGTGAGTTCTCACGGGCTACCGACTTCCTGGTAGCGTCTCTTGTAAGACCCGAGCAACTGATTCAAGTGGGAGAGGAGGACGTACGCAAACTGTACTCTTTCGTACTAAAAGCATCGCGCGTAAAGTCGGGGGTTATTGATCGAATAAGCAGCGATTCCGCCGCACTCCGCCCTCTGGCATATTCCTAGCCATGCTTTCGTATTCGCCCGAGGCCCCTCGCCTGTTGGTGAGAGTGGCCGATTCCTGAAAAAGATGAGTGCTCTCCTCCGTGACGACCGCTAGGTTTGCAATGTAATGAGACGCGGTTCGATGAGAAGCTGAGCTCGTTTCACGGCGGGATGATCGTCGACAGGAGTTTCATAACACGCGGGTGGTGGGAAGGCGGGGCGCATGAACGCTGCAAGGCTGATCTCTTCCGCGTCGTCAAGGCCGGGACGAGGGCCGATGAGCCGATTAAACGGATCAGGTGAGCCCTGGGCGCCTGTTACTGCCTGTAGTGCGCTTCTGGGGGAACGAGAGGGAGCGTTGCTGTGTAGGTACGTGGAAGAGGATTTTATAAGTTGGGGCAGAGGGGAGAGAGAATGCGACGGTAGTAACGGGCTACGATAACTGCGATTGAAAAGTTACCTTGGGCACCTAAAGCCCCAGGATAGGCAGGTTAGCATATATCATTGACAGGCTGATTTGCGTATGCGATTATATACAAGGCGTGGCCTTCTACAATTGCACCGTATATTGGTCAGCGACGTCGCGGTCCGGGGGTATTTACGCAGTAACGGGGGTCGTTATTCGCGTGAGGGAAAATTGGCTGTTGTCACTACGACACGCTTCCACTTACCTACCTCTGCTGGCGCTGACGTCGTCGTTGTGGTGGGAGGAGTTACTATCCCGTATCCCGCGGGATGCCGATCTCATGAATACGTACCTAAGATATTATGTACATAACTGTCTCGATGTCTCCACAACCAAGTACGTGTAAGCTCGCGGCCTCGTGTCCTTGGCGTACTGGTGGTTTCGAAAAAGGGGGTCTTCCCACGGCGTGTCCCGATTTGGCGGATGTACCTACATAGGTATAGAAAAGGGGGCTGGCTTTGACTGCTACAACCAACGCTCGTCGGCCCCCACGCCTGTGGATGTAGGTCTACTCATATCTATGCAGTGTTGCTGCAACGCTCCAGACCAGCTTAATGTAGGTACAGATACTAAAGCAAGGTTATAACGATGTCCCTTGGGTAACTCCCAACGACACCTAACCTAATGTTGTACGTACGTACGGTGGGTTTACCTGGGACCTGCTCCCTAACGCTACCAGCTTACACACTATCATAATAGTGTTACTATGTCGGTAAGAAACCAAGGGGCGCTCCTGGGTCGAACCATCTCCAACATCATAACATGCTAGGATTAACTAAAGTTGCTCGGCGGGCCGCACGACTCTACACGTCGCAACGTCGGACTTGGCGTCATCCACGAGCCAGGGGGGAAATGAGGCTCTTTACATAACCAAGTATGTACAAGCTATATATGTTCTTGATGTATGCGCTGGCGCTAGACATTTCCGCAGCATGATCTTGGTTCTGAGGCTCTGGAGACGGCCGAGAGGATGTATTGTTATCATCACCTCCCATGTACGTTCTTTCGGGTGCCTACAGCAACACGGCATCGCTCGTCGCTACTCGTGGTCTACGTGTGTACGTGCGTCTAGATCTAGATGTGTAGGTTATACATAACTCTATGCAGGTACCTAACATGGCTTGAACACAGTAGCGCTGGTGGGATCTGCGATGTACTCCAAGCAAAAGGGTTCGCTCGGTGCAGTGCGTTCTGCCACAGAAGATACCTACATGGGTACCTATGTGATAAGAGATCCGAAATGCCCTGATCCTAGATTATGCGGGTAGGATTCCAGGAATGTCCAGCGGTAGTGCTTCAATGGTAATAGGGACCCATAATACGTAAAAGACCGCTGGATCCTGCACAATATGAGGGCGCTTTGATATGTCTGCTGTCGACATGTTACTCTCATTTATTTATCTCCGGGCCGTAACGAGGTCCATAGAGAAGAATTACGATATCGTCTTCTCCGTTTCCACAAGAGTTTCTAGGTTGGGTTCTGACGGGATCTACATACTACTTTCACAGTTATACGACGATCTAGATCTACACGTAGGCGTGTAAGTGCCAAAGTAAGGAAACCTGCCTAGGTAATTGACGCAAGCAGTGATGATTCTGCCTTGGCCATGTTTATATTACCCTATTTATCACCCAGGTGTGTCGGCATTTCTTGCTGTTGCAATTGTTCTTGTGCGTTCTTTCGTATTCACCCCGTGTTCTGGCGACGAGCCTTGGGTGGATCGGCGTAACTTGGGATGAAATGAAGTCGCATTGCCTTTCCTTGCGCGGCTCGGCGGAGCAGGAGAAGAGACAGAAGACGTTGACGGGGGTCTGAGTAGCGCCAGGGGTTAAAGAAGTAGAAAGGGTTAGCCTCGACCCAGCCTATCACACACCCCTGCTGCACCCCGGACGCGGCTCGACCACGATGAGACACCGGGGGTTGGATAGTCAGTCTCATCCAAACCTCATCCAGTCTCAAAATCGAAGTATGAGCGCTATTGAACGGGGCTTGTGCCCACTTTTCCGGTGTTTCGATCCGCCCGTTTGGGTTTTCGAAGAACATAGGTATACATACCTACCTACAGCGTACCTATGTGCTGTAGAGTATAGTGGCAGCACGGAGGAACGACGCCTACTAACGGGGGGGAGCGGATGTGACGATAGGACTAGGTGTTCTTGTCCTTATTACTACGCAGTAAACAGCCCCAGACCCCGGCAGCGTATCTACGTTGGAAATGTCCGTTGGCGCTATATGTTATAGGCTAACTAACCTATCGTAAGGACCGCTTCGTCGGCCCTAACCCCGAACAAGGGGGGCCGACGATGACATCCTAGGTGCGATCTCGTGCGTAGTATATAATACCTATATACATACATACTTACGTCTTGGACATGACATGCCTACATATACTACGTATAACTATACAATAGATGGTTGTGAAGATACATGCTATACGAACAGACTACGTATCTGCGTGCACACGCCCCCTGACCACCTGGTGATTTCCTTCCGGCTTCTGCTCGAGCCGGCACCATCCACCCCAGACCATCCCACAATTCTATGCTCGATTGGGACCACCCTAAGCTCAACATCTCATCTTGGGACGATTCGATCTACGGGTCAGGGGTCTAAATTATGAAGAGGGAAGGAAGACGGGGCCGAGAGAGATGCGCTTCCTCAGGTGAGACGCTCGGTTTGTGTGGTCCTTGGCGACAGGATCCCGTCCGGCATACCTACTCCAAGATTGAAGCTTAGTCGAAGGGGCACCACAACCTCGTCGAGGCCTGTGCTTGGCGCCCGTCATGATCCTCGTACTTCATGCTATACATATAAGAAGGCTTCTGCTGCCCAGCTGGTGCTGGTATGGCCTCATCCTTTCTTCCCTATCCGACTACAGCACCTGTATCTCACCCCGTTACGTTCTTTCTTCTAGTTCTGTGAACTATCTTTTTGTATTCTTACGTTCCTTAGTGGCTTCGGCATATTCTACTTTCTAGGCAGGGCCTGTTCATCATATCTCGATATTTACATCACGGACAATCGTTATTTCGAAAAGTTGCCAACATGAAGGTCGAGACTAGTGCTGCTCTATTAATCCTGCTGGGCGTCGCATCTGCCCGCCCTGGCGCCATAAAGGTCAGGAAGACATCAGCCAAATTCAGGCGAGAGGTTCCTCGTGAGTCAAGCCCACTTATTGGATACCGAAGCGGAACGCCTGTAGAGGCATAAGGAAGGCGTTCATTAACCTAGTTGGTAGAGGAGCACTCGCACGAAAAGTTCCTCCGGGGTGTCGGCCAGGCCCTGAACCTGAACAACGTCGACCAAGTCCAAGATCCTGTTTTCGCCCTCCTCGGAAATGCCGCCGCCGCCCAGGGTGCCGGTCTCGTTCAAGATCTGGACTGCCTGCAACAGCGCGTTGCCGATCAGGCCTTCACAAACGCGAAGGCAGCCAACGATGTCGAAGGCATGACTAACGCGCTAATCTACCGTGCTCTTGTAAGCGCCTTCTATGCCGCCCCCAGAGTTGGGTTGGGTTTGTAGAGATTCAAGACCTAACATGCATGATAGGAGAGGAATACCGCAGCCGTCGGCCAGGCTTCTGTTCTCTGCACGTCCGAGACCGCCAAGAACCCCGAGATCGCCGCCATCCAACAGCACCAGGACCCCGCGTCCACCGGTGCCGCCGCCCTGAACAAGCAGATCACGCTCGATCTTGCCGTGCAACTGGCGTCGATCGGCGCTGATCCCCAGCTCGCCCTACAATCCGGGACTTTTGAGCCCGGCCAGGTACGTCCTTATCGCAATAGCCGCCAACATGGCCCCTCTCCTGTTAGTGGTCGTCACTTACGCGTGGGAATCAGATCGGCGACCCGACTGGTGCTGGTAACACCTGCGACACTCTTGATGATGCGGAGGGTTGTATCTTCACGCAGAACCTTCTCGTTGAGGACGCTACTGCGGCCGAAATCGACGCCGCGGTTGCCGCCGCCAGTGGAAACGCTGGTAACGGTAATGGCAACGCTAACGACAACGTTGTCAACGATGATGGTAGGTTTGATTGTCAATTCCAGCGTTCGAGTGGACCTGTCGCTAATGGCAGTAGAGTGCGTGAACGAGGACGTTGACAATGATAACAATGGTGGAAACAACAACAACAACAACAACAACGGCGGCGGCAACAATAACAACGGTGGAAATAACAACGCCACCCCGACGACTGGCAGCAACGTCAACACATTCACGGGCAGCGTTGGCGCACCGCCTGTCCCCATCATTAGCAATGCCGCAGCGGCGAAGCCATTCTCGGTGAACGGTGCGGAATTCCTGAACATCGGCGCGGCGACGCAGCGAGCATGCGATGTGCAGAAGAACCAGTGCGCGAACGCGGCGAACAGCGGGAATGCGGCGGGCGTCTCGGTAGCCGACTGCGACCAGCAGCAGCAGCAGTGCATCCAGCAGTAGGTAGCCTAGGGAGGGAGGGGAGCAGGGGGCTTCATTTTCTTGAACATAGTCGGCCCTGGCTTGCACCGTAGGCGATGATGGTTGAGGAGGGTTACCGAAGGACTTTTAACGATGTTTGAACGAGGAAATTTTTAGAATCATAACTTGTTTCGTGATGACAGCGGTTTCGTTCTATATCGTGAGCTGCGCGTGTGTGCGATGGAAGTAGGTGGCATAATGGAGACTAATCGCGTTGACCTCGCTATGTGCAATTCGGTCTACAAGTTATAGGTACCTATGCAATAATCGGCAACACCTTATTATGCGTATAGCTGCCAAGGTATTTAGGTTGGAGCATTTGTCAGCAGACTCGTCCGTGTCTACGACAGACTACCCTTCCTCATTCTCCCATCCCACCCTATATCGATACATCAACCCACTAATAAGCGGCCTAACGAAATCTAAGACGTGATGATCAGGATGCCCAAATTTGGCACACGTCTTCGAGAGTCTCGTCTCGTACCTCGTGATGATGACCTAGACTCTGCTTTCACCCAGCTCTCCTTCTACAAATCCCCTATTCCCGCAACGCGATGACGGACTTCGAGTTCGTGAATGTTGCGCGCCCCAACGACGTGACGCGGCACTCGACCAGAATCCGCCGCCATGTCATGAAGGATATCGGCAGAGCACGCCGCAAGCCGCGGGCTAAGAAACGCCGCGAGACTCCGCCCCGGGGATCCAGCTCGGCCGTTCCAGGGGGTCGAGCTCAGGAGCCACGGTCCACCCCCGCTTCGCTCCCTTCACCACTTCTAAATCCTCCGGCGGATAACAGTCTGCACACGACGATGTACCCGGCAAATATGAGCGAGGCCCAGCCGAACCTAGTTCGATTCGGTGGAAGCCCCCTATTTTCCCGTAACAGACGGCCCGGTAGTCTCAGGATCTAACATTGTCACTCTATACAGTGGTCGACGAGCAGCCGACCGTTCGCCGGCCGTTCCGGCTGCCGTGGTTGTCTATGGGTTTGTCGGACTCGGCCGTCTGGTATCTTACCCTGGCCAACGCCGCGTTACACCGCGGTCCTGAGCCGGGATCCACTTTGCCCGAGATTAATACCGATGACCATGCCATGAGTTGGTACGCCCTATCGCTAGCGTCGGTTACTCGAAGGCTTCAGGACCCTGTCGAGAGCCGGAGTGAGGGGCTTATCACTGCCGTTGCCGGGCTTGCCTACCACGATGTATGTTTGTCTGCTATGTTCACCTTGTACGGACTCATATTCGCCCAATATGCGGCCGTGCTAAGAGGCCAGCCATAGTCTTCTGTTGGTAACTTCGGCCGCTTCTGTACCCACATGAACAGGCTACAGCGCATCGTGGATAGTAATGGTGGACTTCGAGCTCTGAGCAGCCCGTCCCTGCAAATATTCGTGTCCTGGTCAGTCATCCTCTCCGTGACCACACGGCTAGCGCATCTCCTAAAGAGGATTGCCATATCGTACAGGCTCGATTTAATAGGTGCAACGTATTTTAACGCCAAGCCTCGCTTTACGGTTCCCGAGGGCTCCATTAAAGAGATCGACACTGGGAACGACTGCTGGTATCTAGAGCAGGTGCTCAGTTCCTGGAATGCTGACTGTCCCTCCTTGGGCGACATCATGGGCGCTATGAAGGCGACCGCCGCCGTTGCGAGCTACATTAACCGACACGCAAGGGATCAGGGCTTCTGGGAGGATGACGTCACGGTCGCCCGACTGCTTGGGCCAGCCTTACACGAGATCCTGTCGCTCGAGGGGCGGGCGCTGCCTAACGACCCGACGGACCCGGAGTACTCGGGGACGGCAGCACGGGAGGCGTTCCGGCGAGCGGTGCTTGTGCTGCTCGGGGAGGTGCGGGCGCGCACGGGGGCCGGAGGCGCGCCCGAGCTCGCGCGCCACCTCGACGCGTTCCGGCAGATCTCGCAGCTGCCGTTCGTGGACTGGAGCCTCGTGCCTGAGCTCAACCTCTGGGCCCACGTCACGAGCGCGCTGCGCGAGCAGCCTCCGGACCGCGCCTGGCATGTGCTGACCATCGTCGGCCTCATGGAGTCGATGGGTCTGGGCGCCGCCGCCCAGGCCCTCGACGTCGTGCGCGGTATTATCTGGGTCGACGCCGTTGACGAGGGCAGGTCGGCCCCGCTCTGCCGCGAGATCGACGCACTCGCACGTGCCAACATCCTGCGCCGCCTGCGCGATATCCCGCTAGATCCCCGTCTCGACGACAACGATGATAGCGTGGCGTCCGGAACCTGCAGGTCATCGCGCCCCGCCGGTGACGTCCCTCTGCCTAGTGAAGGGGATCGGCGCCTCGGTGCAGAGCCGCTTAGCAGGTAGCCCGCCGACATCCAGCGTCTGAGTGGAGGCCACCTCGACGACTCTGGGTGCGGCTCTATGGGATCCCTGACACGTCGATTGCCCCCACATTGCTGGAGAGGATATCGGGTTCGCCATAGTGGGATCTAACGAACGAGCAGAGTAGATGGGCACATTTCCTGTTTGCTTCCGTATCGATGAATCTGTGAGTCGGTAGGCAAGGTCACATCGGTATACCACACATTACTCAAAATGAGAAGAGTAGAGGTATGCTTTAACGGAATATGGCTTAATACAGCGCTTTAGTAACATGGGGAGGACGGAGAGCGTGTATCTATATAGCCTAAATATGGTATAGGGTGTATAATCGAAGCAGAGTATTCTAGTTGAACTGCGAGCATGAATACATTGTCAAGGGACCACAAGTGTAGGCTGCCTAGGAGGCTAGCCATGTAACGTATGCGCACCGTCTAGTCGTACATACACAAGTATCTGAGCCGAACGATGAGCGCTGCCTCGTTACCCACCTCTAGGGTCACAAGTTGGCTTATCATTCATGTACACGAACGTTTTCTTCTGCTACGGGGCGTTGAATCACTAGTATTGTTCACCACCGCGAATGCGATCAGATTATAATTTCTTTTTTATATTTCTCACATTTGCAGGCCTCTAGGGAGTAGTGGGTGGATTATGCGTGATCTCCGCCCCTCCCCCTTGATACTACTACCTCAAGGCCCGCCCTACCTCTCTACGTCTCTACGCCCGCCTACGCCTATCTAGGCAAACTACCTAGCCCATGTCCCCCACGCAAAAGCAATCGCCCGGCGACCGGGCTCAAACCGTCATTTCGTAGCAAAAAGGGGGAAGGGGAAAACATAGGGAGGAGAAGCATTTCTAGCTTCTCTGCGTGGAGTGTAGGGGGCTTAGTAGCTCCGGCCGAACATGACGAACTTCTCGGCGAGGCGCTCGCACTCGGGGTTAAGGCAGCGGGTCTCACCGTGGACGAGGCCGTCGGGCTGCTCGAAGGGGATGCACAAGCTCTTCATGCCCATGGAGGGGAGCCGCTGGGCCTCGGGGACGCTGGGGTCCTCGTCGGCGCGGCCGGTGGTCAGCTCCTTGATGCGGTCCTCGCACTTGCCGTCAAGGCAGAAGGGGATAATCACGACGTTGCGCGCATCGAGTGCTGGCACTACCGCGTCCCACGCCTGCACTACTACCCGATGCTCGCGGTACGCCTTCTCCGCCCGGCTGTACATATCGGCCTGGATGGTTTCGAGTAGCGCCGGTACGCGCGCCGCCAGCTCCTCCACCGGGATTGTCCCCTTCTCGCCCGAGTCTCGCCGCGCAAAGCTCACCACCCCTTTAGCTACGTCCTTAGGCCCCAGCTCCAGCCGCAGCGGCACCCCCTTGAGCTCCCAGTCGTTGAACTTCCAGGCCGGCGTGTAGCCTTCGCGCTGGTCATCTTCCACACGCACGCCTGCTGTCTTGAGCGTCGCCTTGACCTCAGCGAATCGCGCTTGGTGGGTCGCCTTGTCCTCAGTCGTCGTATTCTTGGTGATGCCGACAGGGATTAAGATCGCCTGGATCTTGGCGATCTGCGGCGGCAGGACTAGGCCCTTGTCATCGCCGTGGACCATGACCATGACGCCGATGGCGCGGGTCGAGAGTCCCCACGAATTTTGCCACACATTGATGTGCTTACCCTGTTCGTTCGGGTCCTCAACGGTGATGTCGAACATCTTGCTGAAGTTCTGGCCGAGGCAGTGCGAGGTGGCGCCCTGGATGCCGCGACCGTTGGAGGGGATGTAGCCCTCGACGGTGGTGGTGTAGTAACCACCGGCGAACTTCTCGTTCTCCGTCTTTTTACCGCGCACGACGGGGACGGCGAGGAGCTGCTCGTACACGCCGGCATAGTACTCGAGGATCTGCAGTACTTCCTCGCCGGCTAGCTCCTCCGTGAGGTGCGCCGTGTGGCCCTCCTGCCACAGGAACTCCCTCGCCCGCAGAAAGGGGGTGGTCTGCTTTGCCTCCCACCTGACGACTGAGTTCCACTGGTTTAGTCGGAAAGGGAGATCTCGATGGCTGCGAATCCACTTGGCGTAGTAGGGATACATGACGGCTTCGGAGGTCGGGCGGACGGCGACGGGAACCTCGAGGTTCTTGTCACCACTACCGAAGTAAGTGATATTAGTGAGGGTGTCCGAGTTGGAGCAAATAGGAGGGAGAGGTCAGTTAAGACAGGAAGGGGAGAGATCTAGTAAAAGAGCAGATAGCATTTCCTGGACTCACGCTTTAGTTACCCATGCCAATTCGGGAGCGAAACCCTCGACGTGGTCCTTCTCCTTCTCCAGTGACTTCTGCGACAGGAACATGGGAAAATTGGTCTCTTCAACACCCATGGCGTCTATGCGCTCGGTGAACCATTTGCGGATGACGTTCCAGATATACATGGTGGCGGGGCGCATGATGTAGAAGCCCGAGATTTCGGTGTAGTACTCGACCAACTCGGCCTTGAGCACGACCTCTTGATACCATTGTGCGAAGTTCTCCGTCTTGGAGACCGTGATGCCGATAATATCGTCTGTCTTCTTCCCGCCGACAACCGGCAACGTTGCCTTGGCGGCGGCCTTTGCGGCCTTCTCAGCGGCCTTTTTAGCCTCTTTCTCAGCCTTCTTCAAGGCACTCTTGGACTGCTCGGCGGGCTTGGTGTCCTCCATGGCAGTAATACTGTCAGGTTTGACTCTAATGGTCGCGCTGTTGGTAGGCCGGGGGGTTGAAGACGGGGCCTGGAGGAGCGGAAGAGAGGGGATACGAGAAAAGAGGGCGAGTTGGTGTTGGGTGGCACCGACAAGTCACAGCGGGGGATGGGCAATTGGGGACAGGTTGTCGTGACGGCCTCGATTGGCAATGGCGAGAAAGGAAAGATTAAAATGAAAGACGGACGTCAAGATATTTCTGAGTCACGGGCTTTGGGGGAGGGGGGTGGGTTTCGGGCCACAGTTTGCAGTTGATCCAGGTTGTGCCGCTTGGGTAGAAATATCGATAAATATAGGACAAGATAACACTTGGAGGATTTGTTAGACTACCTAGGTACCTCCACGATGCCTGACACTATATACCTAGGTACCTAGGTAGGCACACCCTTTAGGTACAGTATTAGGGCGTAGATGTTCGATTCGCCATCCTAAGCACCTAACCCCGCTATAGAGCACACCTACCTGTAGGTACCTACCTACGGAGGAGGGGAGAGGAGAGGACAGGGAGGCAGTGAGATGAGACGGTAGCGGGGAACGTGGAGGGGCACGGAGGGGGCCAGGGTCTGAAGAGGGGCTCATCGTGATAAGAAAATAAAGGGGATAAGGCCCATCGCGATAAGCAAATCGGACAGGGAAGAATAATTCTCCCACACCCGCAACAAATTCAATTAAGCGGGCAAGCTCATCCTAATGGCAAGGTCCCCATAGTGTGGAAGGCAACTAAGCAGACGAAAGTTCTACCTAGCCTATCCATCGCCCACCTTGGGCTCGACACCAACCGTCTTCATCACTTCACCTACCTGACCTAACTCACCAAGGGGCAGCCTGAACAGATCGCAACCTCGGTCGATACACCTCAAGACTACACGACCACCAACTACTCCCGAGCCCCATCTCCTTGGTATCAACTCGGTTTCTGCCTGCACCTGGCACTAGCCCCAGCAGGTGCCTACAGCTTTGGCCGACCCCCGCGTTTGAAGACCGCTAGCATTAAAAGAACCTACCTAGAGCGCCCCCAAGCTTGCGAAGAAGCACACTCTCCTCAACAGATGGCGTCCATGTTCGAGCAACCCGGAAACGGGACCCTCTTCCTCGGCGGGCAGAAGATTTCTGGTGCCGACATTCGGGATCAAAATGGTAAATAAGAGAATGGCTGCCTCCTCGTCCCCAAGCTCCCGAGAGCCGAACATATGCAAATAGATACAGCTGACAATAATTGGCTACTTAGTCCTTGCTACCCAAGCTATCGCAAACGTTGTTAAGAGCTCTTTCGGCCCGAGCGGCTTAGACAAGATGATGGTGGACGACATCGGAGTACGTCGATCCGACCCCTACCACTACCGCCGCCACTATCCTAACCACTATATACTGGTACAAAGTTTGGCGGCTGATTATATCCTAGGATGTTACCGTGACCAACGACGGTGCCACCATCCTAAGCTTACTAGACGTAGAGCACCCCGCCGGCAAGATTCTCGTCGACCTGGCCCACCAGCAAGACAAGGAGGTCGGCGATGGCACAACTTCGGTCGTCCTAATCGCGGCCGAGCTTCTACGACGGGGGAACGAGCTTATGAAGAATAGAATACACCCAACCACCATCATCACCGGGTACAGGCTTGCGTTAAGAGAAGCTATCAAGTACATGAACGAGAATGTCAGCACCAAGGTGGAGAATCTTGGCCGTGATTCGCTGCTCAGTATTGCCAAGACCTCCATGTCCAGCAAGATCATCGGCGCCGACTCTGACTTCTTCGCCAACATGGTTGTAGACGCCATCCAGGCAGTCAAGACAACAAACAACCGCAACGAGGTTAGGTACCCGGTCAAGGCCGTAAATATCCTAAAAGCACACGGCAAGGGCGCGCTCGAATCGCTCCTGGTAAAGGGATACGCTCTAAACTGTACCGTTGCTTCCCAGGCCATGAAGACCCGGATACAGGACGCTAAGATCGCGGTGCTCGATATGAACCTACAGAAGGAGAGGATGAAGCTCGGCGTGCAAATCACGGTCGACGATCCGCAACAGTTGGAGCAGATCCGCGCACGTGAGTCCGGAATGGTCATCGAGAGAGTCGAGATGATACTCAAGGCCGGCGCGAACGTTATCCTGACGACTAAGGGCATCGACGACATGTGTCTGAAGCTCTTCATCGAGCGGGGCGCTATGGCCGTGAGGCGGTGCAAGAAGGAAGATCTGCGGCGAATTGCGAAGGCCACCGGCGCGACTTTGCTCAGCACTCTTTCGGACTTGAATGGTGACGAACGCTTCGACCCCTCGTACTTAGGCTACGCCGAGGAAGTTGTCCAAGAGCGTATTTCGGATGACGAATGCATCCTCATCAAGGGAACCAAGTCGCTGTCTTCCGCCTCTATTCTTCTCCGCGGGCCGAACGACTTCCAACTCGACGAGATGGAGCGGTCCGTGCACGACTCTCTGTGTGCGGTCAAGAGAACTCTCGAGAGCGGTAGCATCGTACCCGGCGGTGGGGCGGTGGAGACGGCTCTGCATATCTACCTGGAGGAGTTCGCCGGCACGGTTGGCTCGAGAGAGCAGCTGGCTATCGGCGAGTTTGCGCAATCGCTTCTCATCATCCCGAAGACGCTAGCCATCAACGCGGCCAAAGACGCAAGCGAATTGGTTGCGCAATTGCGGTCACGGCATGCCCTGTCGCAAAGGACGCAGGACGGAGAAGCCAACGAAGACGAGAAGATAGTCGCCCGCAAGAAGAACTACCAGAACTACGGTCTAGACCTGATGAAAGGCAAGGTCGTTGACGAGATCAAGGCTGGCGTGCTAGAACCCAGCATGAGCAAGATTCGGCAGCTAAAGAGTGCAGTGGAGGCTTGCATTAGTATAATGCGTATCGATACCCTGATCAAACTCGACCCGGAAGAGAAGGGGGAGCCAGATGATGGCCACGGCCACTGAGAAGGGGGGATAAATCCAAAAGCCAAAGGGGGCGGCCAAGTGGGCATAAGGCGTTCCTTATGGGAAGACGAGTCGAGAGACACAGGTCTAACCCTACATTCCAACAAGCAATTTCCGGTTCCGAAAATGATCAGCATGTGCAGTACTATGAGCGTCTAGCAGCGCCATGGCTTTTTTTTTATACGTTCGTAGGCAGATCAGTATTGTGCGGTGAGAGAGGCCAGATGGAGGGATGATGATGCATAACAATCCCTGACCGCCCGCAACTTGGTCAGCGGAATTCGGGCGGGTATGATGCGAAGCGGGTTGCGTCGGCTTGAAATGTTGTAGGTAGGTAATTATGCGTGCCATGCTGCCAAGGCCTCAGCCGAAGAAGCCCCAGCCAGCCGCTCAGCTTTCCCCACGGTATGCCCCCGCCGTAGTTTGTGGACAACCGACTACAACAACAACGGCAATACCAAACAACAGCGTCGTGCGACGTGTTCTTCGTCGGCAAGATTCGACGGCCTTGGCTCGGGGGTGATTCCGTACGTAAGTCACGTCATAACTATTTCTTTTCTTTCTTTGTTTTTATTCTATTTTATAATTCCCCTCGCTTTCTACGTTGTCTATTTGGGAATTGCCAGACCCGCCACGTGGGCCAGTTGGAAGAAAGACACATGCCAATCTATCATGCTCTGCCCCTGGACTCTTCGACCCGACGGCCCCGAATACGGAAGGCCGAGGCGGGACTAGGCGAAGGAAGCCGGCGTCATTACCGGCCTTTCCGCCCCCCTCTACCAATTTGTTACATAACTGGGAAGGGTTCGAATCGCCGATGCCCTACGCACCACCATCCACTGATCCATCCGTCCATGCATGCAGCTAGCCGACCTACCTAACACAACCACATGCCATCCCGCCCTTTCTCCCCCCTTCTTCCCCCCCAAGTGCCGCGCCGAACCGTGGAGTCGGGGGTGCTCGAAAAGGGGAAGGGACAATTTATGCTCCATTGGTCAGTTATGCCTCCTGCGGGTATCGCCTGCATGTCATCAATTCAGGTGACCGGATCCTGTGGGTTTTCTCTGCTCTAGTTGCGGTCCAACGCCCGTCGCCTATAAGTAGGTATATAAGAGAGTGAGTAAGGCAAGTAGCGGATAGGCAAGCCAGGAGGCGTGATTGACCATCGAGTACACTAGCAGCCTACCCGCTACTGCTGATGCTAACAAGCCATTGGTGATCTGTCGTTTCCCCTTTGTCCGCGCTACTCTTACATTGATTGCTATCCTTGACGTTGGCTTTTCACCTACTCTGACAACAGTTAGGCTTGCTAGGAGGATACATACCTATATATTCGCATATATACACGGGTGTAAGGTCGCCGGGCCTTAGAAGGGGGAAGGAGACAAGGACATTATTTCGGAAGCCTTGCTATTTCTGAGCTGCGTGTCTCACATCGTGTCCATCCCACTGTCCGCGGATCGCCGCACGTCTAAGTCCCACTCCGGAAAGGGCAAGCATTGTCGAGAAATAAATAAACAAGAAGGGAAGGGAAGCGAGAATGAGAATCCTGGAATAAGAATAATTATCTTCAGAGACGAGACGTGTTCTCAATTTTTATTTCGATTTTTGCCATCGAACAATCGCAGACGACGGACCGACCAGCTACTGATCCGCTCATCCAATACCTAATGGGTTCGGCCTCCCAGTCAGTTGACGGCGCCGCGCCATCCGGGCTCCTCAACGCCGCGGCGCCTCACCTCGCCCTCGCGCATCCAACCGCGGCTGAGAAGCAGCGGACCTGGACCCTGAACCATGCCGAATGGGGCGGCACGCTGAGCCTCGATGAATACCTGCGGCGCGAGCGGTATCTAATGACGGTGCCACTGGCGCGCGACGGCGGCATGACGCACTGGATCCTGACAAACCCGTCGTTACCCCCACTTGGAAGCAACGCTGGCCAGGAGAAGAGAAAGCAAGAAAGCAAAGGTACAACAACGACCGGGCCGCGCCCCGTCCTCGCGTCCTGCGAGACTATCCGCAAACGCGTCCTAGTCACTGTCCCCGGCAGCAGCGCCGTCCGCGATGGCCTGGTGCACGGCGTTGGGTCGGTATTCACGTACCCGGAGCACCGCGGAAAGCGGTACGCGGGGCGGATGCTGGCGGAGCTCGGGGAGGCTTTACGGGCGTGGCAGCAGCCGGAATCGCTGCAGAAGCCGCAGGTCGTGTGCTCGGCGCTCTGGTCTGACATCGGCAAGGTCTTCTACGCCGAGAAGGGTTGGGCCGCATACCCGAGCCTACACGTCGAGTTCCCAGTCCCGGCGTCGGCGGCGGTGGGGGAGGATGAGAATGGCCTGAGGGATGGGAAGGGAGCGAGAAAGGTGGAAGAGGGAGGGATAGAAGTAACTGTGACGCCAATCACATCCGCTAACCTATCCGATCTCTGCGCGCGCGATGAGGCCTTGCTGCGCGCACGGCTCCCGCGCGTAGCGCAGACCACAGGCCGGACCGCTGTTGCCTTCGTGCCCGACGTCGATACGATGCAGTGGCACCTGCATCGAGAGGACTTCATCACGGGAGTGCTATTTGGCGACTCCCCGCCGTCGCCTAGCTTGCCCTCGGACGCGACAGCAACAACGGCAGCGGGACCAGCAGCAGCTGGATTCAGGCAAGTGGCGAGAGAGGTGCCACCAGTAATCAAGGGCGCGCTAGCAGAAGTGTGCAGCGGAGGTCGCCGGCGCCGTGTCTGGGCCGTCTGGGCGCGGAACTACCACGGCGACGCGGCGGTCCGGGCACGGGCGGATCGTAGCAACGGCGATAGTCAGGGGGTAGGCAAAGGGAGACGTGAGGCGATTGAGGAGAACGTAGACAAAAACACGCTATATGTGCTACGGCTAGCGATCGACGCCGACGCAGACGCCGACGCCGCTGCGGCGGCGGACCGGGAGCAAGAAGAAGAAGAAGTGGAGCCGGCCCGACACCTCGTAGCAGCATTCGCGGCAGTGCTGCGTGCGGCGCGGCGCGAGGCTGCCGCATGGAACCTCGGTCGCGTCGACCTGTGGAACCCGTCAGCGACGGTACGGGGCCTTATCGAGAGGGCAGGTCTGCGGTACCGCTGGGTCGAGCGCGACGCCGACAGCATACCCAGCCTGATGTGGTACGGGAGCGGCGACGAGGAGAATCAAGCCGAGGAAGGAAAGGACGCGGTCGTGTGGGTTGATAACGAGAAGTACTGCTGGTGCTGAACCCGGGCTGAAGCTACGCAAACTCAGGCCTGGAAGTTTACGGGGATTTCGTATCTATTAGAGGCGGGGGATCGGACGAGAGGCTATGGGTTAGTGAGATAGAGCCAGGGCGGATACGAGATGCGCGAGATTGCTGGTCTTCGGGGTTAGTTACGGGCAACGAGGACTCTTGCCGTTACCGCTGCGGCTGCGGCTGGGGAAGGGGATTAGAATAGAGGTTACCTGCATCTATAGGTACAAGATTGTATCCATATCCTCCACCCATCCCCTACTTCCCCCTTTCTACACTGGTAGATCTATCTAGCGCCGCTCTCCCACCCATATTATCACGATGCATCGAAAGCCACACGGTACGCGTATCACAACTACTGATACACACACTTATAGTGCCGATGTATATGCGCAGGCTACGCCGTACGCACCCCCTTGTATAGGCTTGGTAGTTCTATAGATGCGTATTCCGAATAAATCCAAGGATAGCTGGCGGGGTAATAGCTCTGTACGGATATTACGGTCTTGCACACAGAAGAGACCCATAACATCCCGGTTGAAAAGGAGACAAAAGAAGAGGGGAATCGAAAAACACGACACTCGCGACACCGCGCGAGTTATTATAGCGCGGAAGCGGTTTCACGATATACAGGCAGATTTCGGGACGCCCATGGGATGCCTATGTCTCATACGGGGTAGAGCTGCGGCATATTCGTGGTGTTGTGAGGGGCCAGAACCCACACATATTTCCAACGAGATGACTAGTGGACATAACAACGAGCTCTTCCTGAATGCCCTTTCTGCCTCACTGTGAACCCCGCCCAGCACTCCCAGGGCTCCTTCGTAACTTACTTGAGTGATCGCTTGGGGTCCCTGGTAAACTCTCTTAACCTCGCATTGAGAGTCCTGGGAGAGAAAAAAACTGGCGCGGCATTATCGACGTGGGAGGATTGATAGCTGCGTGTCTACTCGGGAACTACAATACTAGAATAACAGCTCTCCGCGGCTCTTCGCCTAGCTACATCAGTGCGCTGCAATTCTCCGTAACGGCATGGCTTGGTGGAATCAAGTAGAGGACCCTGCCTTTACTCGGTCTTGCTATAAGTATTGACGGTAAAGAGCTGTGATCACCAACGGCCTGTTCGTAGAGATAGTAATGACATTACACGAGATGGATTTTTGTATAATACCTCCTAGAGACTCTCTTATCGAACTGGCTCTCAGCCCTGAAACGGGAGGAAACGGCTTGCGACCACCGTTCAAAACGGTAAAGCTACGGCTAGTGCCCTATCGGGTGCGTTGAGCATGTACCTATATGGTACCTACCTCATCTTATTGGCATGTTCTGGCATGCCAATCGGAAACCGCCGGGCGCGATCGTCGGCTAATTCTATGGGTGCCTACCGCCCACCGTGGCACCTGGTAGTATGAGATCAGTAGGTTACTTAACGAAGGATAGGTTCGATTCCTAACAGCGCTACTTGGTAGTCTTCGCTACTTAGCTCATCTGTATGTGCCTGATGTATACATAAGTACCTACGTTTACCATAGGTACCTACCTCGTAGGTACTGTCCGCTCGTCTCGAGTCGGCTTCCTCCTCTGCGGCATCCGACACTTAAGACAGGAGAAAGGATGCCCGTGGATGGCAGAGCTGAATGGCGTCCCGATGGAACGGAACGGCCCTTGTGGGAGTGGAGCCACACGTGGCTTGTCTGCTCCACTCCACCAGGCCAGGGTTCTCGCAGATTCTCAGATTCTGAGATTCGCGGCGTTGCATTGCTGGCAACTGCCTATGTTACGGTACCTATCTCGGGCACCCCTCGTTTCTCTGCCATGTATTTGTCCAACCACCCAGAAAAGGCGCCACGAACACCCGGAAGACCGGAAGTCTTTAGAATATCTTCGTGATCACCCGTCATATCCGTCTTCACGCAGGCAAGAATTGCAGCATCTCGCCGTGCGGCAACCACTAGCGCCCCCGAGTTAGGCGGCGCTGACCACCCTCTAGCGAACTGAGAGAAATATTGCCCTGTTGCGTAATCCCCCGCAGCAGCGGCTGAGCTCCATCCCCCGCCGGGCCACCACACGCCCAATCGCCTCCACGGTGCGCCTTTGGATAGAAACACGGCACTGTGTCTTTCCCACAACCTACGGCTACGCACACCCCCATCTGGGAAGAAGACGGGAATTTCCGTTGCTTCTTAAGATGTGTGATATCGGGTACGAAATGCTCTAGAGGTAGAAGTGATATCTTGAAATGGGAGTGACGTGTAGGGCGACTGGACTCGCCGGTGTGGTAATACCTACATTTTTCACCTTTTTTTTCATGGGCGTGTCTTAGCCTCTGGCGTTCTAGTCCGCCACCACCGCCTCTATATCCCCAAGGGATGCCCTCCTTCTCAGGAGAGTTGGCGTAGATAGGCCGTCGTAAGGAGTGTACCCCTATGCCTATGTTTTACGAAAAGCCACTTTCGGCCTCTTAGACCTAATTCACCTTTCTCTTTTGTTCTATCCCTTTAAGGAAGCACCTGCTCTTAGGATGGCAAGAGGCCCCCCCGATGGACCACGGAACTTCCACATAAGTAACTTCGTCCTACGATATACCGAGGTAGATAGGTAGGCAGCAGTGTGAAGGTAGTGCGCACTACAACTTGGCCATTAATATATCTTCTTACTGTCACACTGGCTTTGGGCCAGCTTCATCACCACTTCAACTGCGATGGATTCTTGGACCTGTCTCTCCCCATCTTACTGGTGTAGATAGTTCCCGTGTCTGCTTTGTCATATTAATTGGGAGTTTGAGATCCTTCGATGTCGTGGTACTGGAGATCTGTATTTACTACCATTAATATCCCTCGGCCTTGCTGTATATAGATATGCCTGATTACAGACTACGTAAGGCATATAAATATATATATATATAAATATATATATATAATATGCATACATAATCGTTTATGCCGTCGCATCCAATGGCGAGAATGTGTATACTTAATACCCTGTGACGGCGAAGGCCACGAATACTTGCTTCCTCTTTCCTTGGCTCAACCTTCGTCGTTTCGCCATTTGCCAACCCACCTCCGTCGAGGACCTCTGGGATGCCATGGATTCCGTGGATCTTTGCACGATCCCGGCGGGGGTGCCGCCAGACGGCGTGTCTAACTTCATAGACCCGCCATCCCTGGGCCCGGCCGTCGTTGCCGTCGGTGTAGTCCTGTGCGTGATCTCGACCGTCTTCAGCGCTGGGCGGCTCTACGTCAACCGGGACACGATGCACTCTGCCGACTGTGGGTTCTCCGCATCGGAGATCGAGCACACGCCTCGGTAAATGCTGACGGAGCCTGCTTGCAGACTTCACGCTTCTAGGCTGTTTGACAAACATTACCTACACAGGCGTCATTTGTTCCCGTGAGCCGACCCCTTTTCCCTCGCAACTTCGTCCCTGACCTTTCGATCTCGGGGGTGGGCTAAGAGTACAACTTCTACCGCCACTCGTGGGACATACCCGTATGCTGGTACACGGGGGACGCGCTCAAGCTCCCATTCGTCCAGACCGTGCTATTCTCGCCGGCCTTCTTCTTCCCCAAGGCGGCCATCTTCCTGCTATACAGGCAGCTGTTCGCGATCGGGCGGCGCACCCGCCTCGCCATCCACTTCGGCCTGCTCGTCACTCTGCTCGTCTACTTGTCTAACATACCGCTGGCCGCCGTCTATGCGGCGCCGCGCGCGGGCCAGTCGTGGGACTCGCTGCTACTGAGCCTCGTGGCCAACTCGCACCCCTTCGCCCTCGGCGGGACAGTGCAGAGCGCCGTCGGGACGCTTATAGACTTTTACATCTTCATCCTGCCGCTGCCGATCCTCTTCCGCCTCCAGATGCCGGTGGGGCGACGGCTGCAGCTAGTCGGCATCTTTTCTACAGCGTTTCTGTAAGAGGAATCGCCTGCAGAGGAGAGAGAGAGAGAGAGAGAGAGAGAGAGAGAGAGAGAGAATGAGCTGAGCTGAGCCAAGCTAACGCCGTCCAGCGGGGTGGGTGCCAGCGTAGTGTCCCTCGCCTTCAAGATCGAGATCCTATCGTCGGTTGATTCGGCGTGGCTCGCCGGCATAACAAGCATGACCTCGTACGTATTCTTTCTAGATCCGCGCGCGAGCCCAGCCAAACCCTACGGTTAACACTCCCTGCACCTCTAGCCTAATCGAGACCAACATCGCCCTCATCGTAGGTTGCATGCCGGCCTTTGCGCATTTCGCGACGGTCACGATCGGCCGGTCGGCGTTTTTGAGGTCGCTGCGGTCGCGGCTGCTGGGCAGCCGGGGGCGGTCGGCCGAGTCGGGGAGCGGCGGCGGAGGATCGGGAGGCCAGGCCAAGCCGCCGACGCTAGTGACGTTCGGCGCGAACCAGACGCCGCGCCGCAAGAACTACTTGGAGCTGAGCGACACCGCTCTGCTACGGACCCAGGGGAACACCTTCCCGGGCGACCCCGCGGAGGAGGAGCACGAGATGCAGCCTAGGTCGAGTGGCACGCGTAGGGATGCAGAGCAGGGCGCGTAGGAGAAGGGGGTAGGACGAGAGGGGTGCCCAGCGGGGAAGGGAGCTTGCCTACGGCAAAGACGGCAATACCACGGATTGGTAATGATGTGGATGGCAGGACGTGATATATTAGGTACCTAAGCACAACCACCATACGTTAGGTACTCGGAGAAGTGATGGAGCTTTCATGACCCCCCTTGCCCTTGTAATGAGGATCGCAAACGTGCATAAGTTAGGTACCGGTAGACTGGTAGGCATAGAAACCAGTCTTATGGATGTGACAACTCTCTTCGGAAACCCGGTTGGTGGCACACCCGCTCGTTCTCGGTCCCGGGCCTTGCCGACTACAGCCAGGTGACATTTGCAATTTCCGATGCAATATACACACATGCGCTGTCTCTGCCGCGCCTACTAACGGAAACAGCCTGTGCAACCGCGGACGATGGGAATTGTGTGTAGACAAAGCCGAGGGAAAGGGGGGGATCGTACACAGGGGAGGAATTCTTATCTCCGAGGTGCATTATCTCTATGAGTACCTTCTTGGATTAGGTACCTAGGGTTCATAAAGATATTTGTACGCCGGGAGCTGTTGGATCTGGGATGCTTTAGCGTGGTCCGAACTACCCGTTGGCTCTACGTTATTTTACCTATATTTAAGGCTTCATCATTCCGAGTTCTTGAAAGGTAAGTGATTCTTTTCGCAGCGGGATTCTCTTGCCACCACTATGTACAACACGTAGGGTAGCCTTACACCTCTGTGAGTTTTAGATGCTATACCTACCTCTCTGCTATCCCGTAGCAAGCCGCTGGTGTTTCTCGTACTTCACGCCACACCGCAACCCCCATCCCCTCCCCTCCGGAACAGAAAACGGCAACCAATTAGCAGCCAACGAAAATATCGATACTTCCTAGTATCCATCTTCATATAGTGGAACGTATACGAAAAGGTACAAGAGTCCCCGTGGGGTCCGTTATCCCCGTCGTTGACGAGGGTTACCAGCTATTAACACTGGTCGGCCCACACCTACAGGTACCTATATGAGCAGCTGCCGCGCCGAGCTAGTACTGGAACCACTGCGGATACGACTCTGAGGAGAACTAAGGCTAAAAAAGATGGCGGACAGTACCAGTCTCCACCCAGTAGGTGTGGGCTCTCCTCTCTCTCTCTCTCTCTCTCTCTCTGTCACTCTCTCCCCTCTCTACACTTCATAATTGTGTGCCTCACTGCCTCCCTTTGCCTGTAGCTGATGTGCAATACGATGCTATCCCTAGTGTGAGGCCCTGGCTGCCCGTATCGGTGCCGACAAGGTCCTCCTCCCTGGCAGCACGGGATACGACGCGTCCCTATCGTCGTATTTTAGCCCGCAGGCGGCTGCCGTCCGCCCGACCTGCTTCGTCACCCCACAGACCGCCACCGACGTCTCGGACGTGGTCAAGTTGCTAACCTCATCCGACAATGGTGGCCCTTACGACTTCGCCGTCCGCGCTGGCGGCCACACCTGGTTCGCCAACGCGAACAGCGCCCCCGGCGGCATCACCATCGACCTGCGTGGCCTCAACTCGGTCGACCTCAGCGCCGACAAGTCCAGCGTGTCCATTGGCGCCGGCGCCACCTGGGATGCCGTCTATGGAAAGCTCGACCCCCTGGGTCTCAGTGTCGCCGGCGGTCGTGTCGCCGGCGTCGGCGTCGGCGGCTTGACCCTCGGCGGCGGCATTTCTTACTTTGGCCCGCGGGAGGGCTGGACGTGCAACCAGGTGACGTCGTTCGAGGTGGTGCTAGCCGACGGCTCGGTGGTAGAGGCCGACGAGAGGCAGAACGCGGATCTGTGGTGGGGGCTCCGGGGCGGGTCTAACAACTTCGGCATCGTCACGCGCATCATCCTCACCACCTTCGAGCAGGGACTGCTGTGGTCCGCCCTGACGCTCAACCCCGTCACCGAAGTCGATAGGCAGGCCAGGATCTACGCCGAGCTCATGGCGGCCGAGAACTACGACGAGAACGCCTCCTTCCTCACCGGCTGGGCCTTCGCCAGCCAGCAAGGTCTGAGCGTCACTCTCAACCAGCTGGTCTATACGCGGCCGGTCGCGGATGAGACTCCGGCCATCTACAACCCCATCCTAGATCTGCCTGCCATCCGCAACGCGTCGGCTACCACTGTCATCGCCAATATGTCGACGCTCGCGCAGAATTCGGTGGCCCTCCAGAGACCGCAGGCGGCTCGGTACGTGCATCTCCCGTGGGGCCCAAGCTTCCCTCAAATCCGCCCAAAGCCCCGAAGCTCATCCTTCCCCTTGCCAGTTACATGACCGCCACGGTGACCTTCGTCCCCACCGAAGCTATGATCCGCGCAACCTACGACGCCTTTGACGCGTCGCTCTCGCTGCTGCAGGGCGTGGCGGGGCTGATGTGGGCCGTGAACCTCGAGCCCCTGCCGCCGCAGATCTACACGCGCGGCGGGGCCGACGCGAACGCCCTGGGACTAGCCGAGCAGAGCGGCTCGCTCGTCGTGTGCCTCGTCTCGCCGTCCTGGTCAGACACCGCCCACGACGAGCAGGTGTACGAAGCGGCGCGCTCGCTCATGGCCGACGTCGAGGACCGGGCGAAGAAGCTTGGCGTGTATCATCCGTACATCTACCTCGACTACGCCGCGCCGTGGCAGGCAGTTATCCAGGGCTACGGCGAGGAGAGCGTCAAGAAGCTCCAGAAGCTGAGGAAGAGGGTCGATCCCGGACACGTGTTTACGCGAAAGGTCACGGGCGGGTTTAAGATTCCGGATGAGTGTTGAATGGGGAACATTAAGGCTCAAGGTAGGTCGCTCTACGTTCCGGAGAGAAGTTATTACTATATTATATCTATGACTTTCTTGGTAGATCTGTTGTCTCGTCTCCCTATCATGTGACATCATAATGTGAATACTACCCAGTCAATTGATCCTAGCCAATCTATAGTTGCCTACTGCCAATTTTCCAAAACTGTCTCGCCCTCCTTCAGACCCGCCAGCTTCACTGTCTCCTCCCACACCAACTTCCTCTTCGCCAGGTCCCTAGACTCCTCGCTCGTCTGCAGCGGCGCCCTCCCGTCGAAGTACCTGTCCTTCGGCAGCTCACCTCCCTCGCCCACTCCGAAGGCGGCCTCCAGGACATCGCTGGCCGAGCGGCTGGGCGGCCTCACTGGCCCGTTGTGCGGGTTTAGGTACAGCAGGATCGGGTAGATTATCTTGAAGATGAGCACACGGATGACCCACGACGCGAGCCGCTGCAGGCCGCTTATCATGGTGCCCGGGTCGACACCGAGGACGCAGATGCGGTGGAGCGCGGTGTCGGCGTCCAGCCGTGCCTGCAGCTCGTGCTGCATCATGACCAGGAAGAGCTTCGCGGCGCCGTACCGCCGGAACCCGCCGCGGAAGGACGCGTCCTCGGTCGCCGGGCTCCACTCCCCTTTGGCAATCGCCTCGAAGCTGACGGCGTCTGAGATGAAGGTCTTATACTTCGGGTTCTCGAAGGCCTTGCCGCGCGCGTTTCGCGGGTCGTTGGGGCTGCCCGGTGGCGTCGCGAGTTAGCCTCCGTCTTGCGGTCCGCAGAGCATCTTGTCCCCAGGCCAAGTCGTGACATTCCGTTCCCTCGCGCATTCGGCTGCGGCCGCCACACAGGGGTTGAAAAGAGTGAGTGTCTCAAGGACTAGAGGCACTGCCTGCTAGAAACCGACACGACAGCGGAAAAAAAAGATTAGACACTCACTCGTGACCCTGGCTCCCGATCACAACGATCCGGCCGACCTCCCTATCTAGGCTCTGAAGCAGAAGCAGGGTGAGGAGCCAGTGGCCGAGGTAGTTGGCAGCGAATGTGGTGTCAAAGCCATCGGCGGTCCACGACTGGCGGCCGAAGTCCTGGAAGCCGGCGTTGAGGACGAGGGCGCGGAGCGGCGGGATCTCGCCGGCAGCGACGCGAACCTGCGGCCGCGGAACGTCAGCGCAAGTAGGAGCACCGGAGGGAGGGGACGAGCGGGCTCACATTGATCCCCTTCGCCACCCGGCGCACGTCGTCAGGCCTCGTCAGGTCGAGGGCCACAACATCGTGCGCATGCGCCCCGCCGCCGCGCACAAGCGCCGAGGCGAGTGCTGGCGCGTGCGCCGCATCACGGACGACATAGAGCCCGTGGTAGGCGGCGAGTTCGGGCTGCTCGGCGATCCGCTCGGCGATGGCGCTGCCGAGCGCGCCGTTGGCTCCCGTGACGAGGATAGTCCCCTTGACGCTGGCGGCAGCCATTTGTGTACTCTTCACTCAGGTTTACCGTTATAGGTAGTGAAGAGACTTGCCCGGTCGCTGTTTGGCGATCTCACTAGAGCAAGGGGGGGGATGAAGCCAACTAGTTCAAGCTGAGGAAAGACCAAAAAGGGGGGAGATGGCGAGTGGAAGGGAAAGGGAAAACGAAAGACCAAGAAAACGACATGTTGGGCAAACGGTAAAAGAAGGGATAACGGAAGAAGAGAGCGAAGGCTAGTTCGGCTACAGGCCTTCTTTGTGCTACCGTCCAACCAGGGGGCCCTCGCTGGAGCGGTGAGTCGTGAGTCGATGCCTCCCTTCCCTTCCCTTCTCTTCTCGGATGCAGTAATCTCCGGTGAAGAAGACGTTCAGCCCTGGGGTTTCTATCGGAAACATGGCGGCACCCAGTACATGACTGGCAGGGTAGGACGTGATCCGAATGGAAGATATAGCAATGCGTAGTGTGGTAATCGAGGGGCGGTTGTATCACGGCAACACAAGTTGTCCTTGCGCCAAGTTGCTTCTCTGGTGCCGCCCCCCCTCCCACTATTGGGTACCTAAGGTTACAAGTAGGTACTCCTTAGGTACGTTGAACGTACCGGGTATTACGTACCTTAGGTACCTACCTAGGCTAGGTAGGTAGGTAGGTATATTGGGCTAGGTACCCCAGACAGGAACCTCTTCACTATTTAGCGCTGACTTCCGGGCTGTTGCTAGCGTGTAAGCGGGGTCGAATTACGCTTGGATAGCCAGGAGGTGAGGACGGACGCAAGGGGACTGCAACTACTAAGTTGTCTACGCTAGGGAGACTGCGGAGAGAACGACACGAGACGGGGTAGCGAGAGAGAGAGAGAAGTAATTCCATTCCTACAACCACTTTCGTAGCTACGATATCAGCGCCATCCCGTCCTTCGCATGCTGCCCGGCTGCCCCCTCAAAGCCCCTCACGCCCGCAGCGAAATCCTCACCGGGAAATCGTCGCCCTCCTTGATCGACATGGTCCCTAGCACGGGTCTGCCCTCGTCGGCCCGCGGGAACGGCGGGTCGCCGACAAGCTGCACGTCGAACCGCCGCAGCAGCGCCGCCACGAAGACAGTCACGGAGTAGCGCGCGAGGAACCGGCCGCTGCACATGGTCTTGCCGCCGCCAAAAGGGCGCCACGCAGGGGAGCGCGCCAGGCCCGCGCGCGCATCGCCGCCACCGGCCTTGCTCGGCACCCAGCGCTCAGGCCGGAAGCAGTCGGGTCGCGCCCCGACCACCCGCGCGTCCAGGTGCAGCAGCCGGTGCGGCACCACGACACAGCCGCCGCGCCGCAGCCGTTTGCCCCCGACCACCGTATCCGCCGTCACCAGTCGCACGGATGCCGCCCACCCCGACACCCGCAGCGTCTCGTGCCACACTGCATCGACGCACGGGCAGCGCGCCGGTTCTTGGATCAGCAACGGGTCGACGAGCGCGCCCGACGGCCCGAAGGCGGCGGCTGTCTCGGCACGGTACGCCGCGAGCAGCGACGGGTTGTGGATCAAATAGCTGAGCATCCAGAAGGCCGTCTTGCGGGCGTTGGTGTTGATGCTTTGAAGCGGGTCGTTACTATTGTTAGCGGGCGCGTATTCTTTCTTACGTCGCGTTGCTTTGCGTACGCGTGAGAGAAGGAGAAATTGGGCAGGGAGGGGGAGTGGGAGGGGGGGGTGTTATCTCACGCGAGGTACAGATGAAACACGACGATGGCTAAGTTCTTGCCCTCGACACCGATTGCCCGCATCTCGTCTTCCATAGCGTTGACGAGCCAGGCCGCGCCGCCGCGCCGCTGGCCGGGCGGCACTTGAAAGTACCGGTTGAGCGAGGCGATGACCCGGGCGCGCGGTGCGGCCATATCGCCGGATAGAAACCCCGGATACCGGTACAGCATCTTCCAGATCAGCTCGTCAAAGGCCAGAAACGCCGCCGGCAACGCTGGGTCGATCCCAGCTAGCGTTTCGCCGAAGTATACATCCTGGCCGAGCTGGATGAAGGCCTCGGAGCACCACTGGTACAATGGCACCTCGATGCTAGCGGGGCTCGTGGACGCCACGCTCGGAAACGACGCGAGGTCGGCCAGGTTAAGATGTCCGTCGACCCAGGCCTGGACCTGCTTCTGGAGCGCAGCGAGGTTCTCGCCCGGGTGCAGCTGGTGCGCGTGCATTCGCTGGGCTAACACACCCAGCGACTCGCCCTGGGGGTTCGGGAAACCGGTCTTATCGGCGGGCAGGGCGGTATACACAGCCTTAATGATATCCTCGTCGTTGCCGTTGATACGCATCAGACCCTGAACGAAGGCCTCGAATGAGAGCGTCTCGGTGTTGCGGTAGACCTCAGCTGAGTGCTTGGCCTGCGTCACGACGTAGAAAGTCATCCCGAAGGCCGTCAGGGCGAATGGATCGTCCGTGTTGCCGAGATAGCTCCTAGCCAACATAAGCTCGCCAGTATTTGCGAGGTGGGTTTTTCCAAGACCCTACCTAGCTCTAGAGAGCAGGCCGTTCGAGTCGAGAAAAAAGGCTTGGCCATGACCTAGACGAGAGAAGAACCATTCAGATTCTAAGATCAGATCGGGTAGAGCTCAGGGGTTCTCACCCACAACTAGGAAGAACGTAATCAGTATACCTATGTCTCCAGCTGGTCCCGCTCAGTGGTAAAACCCTTTGACTTACATGGGATCCAGTAGGGAAATTCCTTAGGCTGGTCAGGATGCAGAAAAGGCAGCACCGTAAACCTCCATGCTCGCCACACAAACAGCAAAGACAACAGACAAACCACCGTTCGGGCCAGGACAGGGCCGAGCAGGCCCTCGGAGCCTTGAATAGCAGAGATCTCGGCACTAGTAGCCGTGGTGTTGACTACCGAGGACATGACGGCGAGAAGGATGTGTTCCGTTCTAGTATTCTACCCCTATTGGGAACCAGAACTTGGAGCCGGGAAACGGGCACGCATGTGAAGAACAACGAACAGCCCGGGCACCGAGCGCTTCTCCTAACGCTGTAGCTATAACTCTTCTCGCTTTCTCTCTCTAATGCCTGCTAATTACAGTGCTCTTCCCTACGAGACTGGAAGGGAGGGGGGAAGGCGTAATCTGTGTTCCCTCTGGCGAAGCTTGTTCACAGGATAATAGATAAATAGGCAATATAAACACGGCTGTGTTCTAGATCTCGGGAGCAGCGGCTCGCATACTCTGGCTGACGCCCTGCCACCCATACCGATACCAAGATGGTGCGGGTTGCCGAGTTGACTCTCTGGAACGGGACTAGGTAGGTATGGCATGCTGAGCAGCATATCCCGTGTCAAAAGAAAAGGGACACTCCGCCGCGTAGATGTCTCGCAGAGGTACAGGCCACCTATATTAATTAATTAATTCACTTCCCAACTGGCAACCTGTGACCGTCATTACCCGAATCGAGTCTACCGTTGCGATGTTTTTTCTTTCTTTTCGTTGTCTGGGTGGGGTTGCGCTGGTTAGAGGATTATTATGTACATACATCGGAAGAACGTCTAACAGCAGCAGCAACAAGCTCCGTCTATTTAATATCTGCCAGACATGTCCAAGCTACCTATGTTGCCATTTTTTTTTCTTTGCCGAGTCCAGGTGTTATCTAGATGATCGGTAACACATTCTAGATGGTCATCAGTGGCTCGCTCGCAAAGGTCCCGGATACTACGCTACTGCTGGCGGCACCTAGATCCGGCGGGTATGGCGAGTGTTACAAGCACCACGAGCGCCTGCGTAAGATTCCCTCCCACGTCCGCCCGGCCCAACTAGGGGAAACAGATTTGACTGATGGAGAGAGGTGCCAGTGCCTGGCGCTATCCCTCGCACTCAGAGGCAAAGTCTCCCTCCCCGGAAGCCCTGCTTACACGGCATCGCTCGAGTCATATTTCTCCTTACAGGAAGCCGGCGTCCACCCGGCCTGCGTCGTCTCACCCCAGACAGCGCAGGACGTGTCGGCGGCGGTGCGCATCCTTACGACGACCGCCCCTAGTCGCCCCAGCCCTGTAAGCCCAGCAGTAGTAGGCTGCCGGTTCGCCGTCCGGTCAGGAGGTCACGCTAGCTTTGCCGGGGCGGCCAACCTGGAGGGGGGTGTAACTATGGACCTCTCTGGGCTCTCCAGCATCGCGCTGAGGCCCCCGGGCGTGGATGTAGCGGCGGCGGGTGTCACCCCACCCACCGTATCCGTCGGCGTCGGATCCACCTGGGGCTCTGTCTACGCCCACCTCGACGCGCTGCAGCTCGGCGTGGGTGGGGGCCGCGCCACGGCCATCGGCGTGGGGGGTCTCACGCTTGGCGGCGGCATCAGCTACTTCGGCCCGCGCCGCGGGTGGACCTGCGACAGCGTCACGAACTTCGAGGTCGTCCTGGCCAACGGGACGCTCGCCAACGCCAACGACGACGAGAACCCCGACTTGCTGTGGGCGCTGCGCGGGGGCACCAACAACCTGGCTATCGTCACCCGCGTCGATCTGCAGACCTTTCCGCAAGGCGATCTCTGGGGCGGCCAGGTCGTGAGGCCGTTCGAGACAGCGGACGAGCAGATAGTCGCGCTGGCGGCGTTTAACGACCCCGAGAGCTACGACGAGTTTGCGTCACTAATCACGACATTCGCGTACTCGGGCGCCCAGGACGTGCGGGTTGTGGTTAACAATATGGAGTATACGAAGCCTGTGGCGGATCCACCCGCCTTCCGAGCGCTAGCCCGCATGGCTGCGCTGTCCAGCACCCAGCGGATCACGAACATGTCGGATCTGGCGGCTGAGACGCAGGCGAATAACCCAAGAGGCTTCAGGTGCGCTCGTTTTTTTGTCTCTCACGCCCCCCCCTTGTGTGTGTGTGTGTGTGTGTGTGTGTGTGTGAGACACAGAGATGCCGTCCCGCATACAGTGCCCACTTCGCATAGTGTTATCAGACATACATTTATTACTAACAGCCCGGTTCGCGCGCCGAGGGAAACAGGCAAGCCAGCGCCACGCTTACCATCACCTCCTCTATCACAGCCATCAACGCAACCGTCCTGGCGTGGAATGCCAGCGTCGCTTCTGTCCGTTCTATCCCCGGCATCGTGTGGGCGGTGGGCATGGACCCGCTACCGGCACTCCTTTACGCAAGACACGCCAGCTCCAACGCGCTCGGGCTGGCCAACCGGGACGGCAGGGCTCTGATTATTGTCAACCTGAACATGGTATGGACAGACGCCGTTAACGACGACGCTGTCGACAAGGCGGCTAGAGCGCTGGTTGCGGCTATCCAGCGAGATGTCGGTAAGCTGAACGCCTTAGATCCGTTCCTGTACGCCAACTACGCCGCGTCCTGGCAGCGCCCACTAGAGAGCTACGGCGAGGCCAGTGTGGAGAAGTTGCGGAGAGTGCAGAGGGCATATGATCCCGGGCGAGTTTTCACCGACTTGGTGCCGGGGGGGTTCAAGATCCCGGAGTAACCGAGTGAGGAATGCCCGGGTGAACTCGCGGCGCGGCGGTGCGTAAGAATGAATAGATTAACAAGTGCAGGATGCATGCAACTAGCCGGCTCCAGAAAAAAAAGCATCGACGCCTCGTATTCTGACTAGTACGTTGAATCCCCAGGAGTAGGTAGTTACAGGGCTTATCCTGCGCGCTGGCCCGCCCGCTCAAGCCCGGTAACTTTTTTTTTATTTGTAGATTACGGGATGTTGTGGTAAGCCGGCGAAGAGGTCGCCGGGGTGTGCCCGGGGATGGTGGCGAGAGGGAGACTGTCCCTCCCAGTTTGATTCACATCGTACGAAGAGCTGGCAGACGGCCAGGAAGCAACACGTTAGATATCCAGACAGACATGCGTTTCCCGTTAGCTTCGGATGCTGGGCCCCGGTCGCCATAATGTGCCTACCTGTACAATTTGGACTGACCAACGTAGTTGTATATGTAATCGACCCGTCCGCACCTCGGAAGAGGGGGGGGGGGTGGTTGTCACTCTAATTCCCTGTTCTGTCGACGAAAGGGGTAAATCCGAGCAGAATGCCTTCGTGAAACCCCCTCGAAGTAATGCCATCAACGTACAATACGTTACTAGCGGACCTACACTGTAAAGATTTCTCTTGTGTAGAACTCCGGGCTTTCACCCGGTGAGGACAATTGGCATACCCCCAGACCCGTGTCATGCTTGCCTACAAGCCGCCCGAACACGTAGGCCGTACTGAATTCTCTCTCCGCCCTCCCCAGCCCTAGCACCTTGTTTTATTTCTAGGCTTACTAGTTCGCCATCTCGTTGCTTCAGTTATGCCTGTCTCGTCGTGGCTTCTACTATCGGCCCTGGCTTACTTGGTGTGGACCCTCATCTGTCTTGAGGCCAACGCGCGTAAAGCCCGCTCCCTACAAGTGCCGGTGGTGCGGATCCCGTTCAGCACGGGCAGCAACATCTGGGTGCTTATCCAGCCCCTTGTGTGGACGATCCTGGGCTGGTGCGTACCGATTCGATGGAGCTCGTACCCAGATTTCGTCCGTTTCTCGCATCGGAACTGGCAGTTCCTCGAAAAGAGCAGCCCCACGGAGCGCTTCGGGCCAGTTTGGGCACTCGTATCACCCGCTGGCATCGGCCTATACGTTACCGATCCGGATACCGCTGAAGAGATCTTCTCGCGGTGGAAGGATTTTGTGCGCCCGGTTCATAAGTACGGTAAGCGGGGTCCTTCTCTAGAGTACGCAGCCGCACGCCCATCTCACCGGTGAGGTACCTAGGTATGCTAGCGTTCTATGGGCCGTCTGTCTTCACGGTGGGGTTGGATGACTGGCCCCGTCACCGCAAAGCCGTGGCGGCGCCGTTCAGCGAAGGGTTGATGAAGTTGGTATGGAAGGAAGCGCTGTGTCAGGCCGAGTAAGAAGATTCTATTTCCTACGATTCCTCTACTTGGGGGGGGGGCGCTGTCCTGGCTCAAGCTGACCCGGGCCGCTCAAGGGGAATGCTGCATGACTGGACCACCAGACACCAAGGGAAAATCCCGAGTCTTGAAGGAGATCTACGGGCGCTTACGTTCAACGTACTCGCGGCGACGGCATTCCAGGAACCTCACGGCATGGAAGGAGGTACCACACGGTCGAAAGTCGGCACAGAGGCTACGGAGGCCTACCGAGACACGCTCCACATCGTACTCGAAAACTCTATCCTCCTGATGCTAGTTCCCTACCGTCATCTCACCGGGACCTTAGTACCCGAGAGCCTGGCCAAGATCGGACGTGCGGCAGCGTCTTTCAAATCCATCCTGACGCAAATCGCTTTAGAGGAGACGGCCGCGATCGACTACGACGATGCAGCGCCCGGTGGTCTGCTGACGCCGCTCGTGCGGTCTCTGAGCTCCCGGGCCAAGGCCCCTAGACGAACAGAGGACGTAGCTAGTAAAGCCAAGAGGAGAGGTCTGTCGGCCGACGAGATTCTGGGAAACATCTTCGCTATCAACTTCGCCGGCCACGACACGGTCCTCATCACTTTGACGTTCGCCTTGACCCTCCTGGCGGCGCATCCTGACGTCCAGGAGTGGCTGTACGAAGAGATCGCCACCGTCTTGGGGGGCCGCGGTCTAGGCGGGGGCGCATTGGACTACGATGAATGGGACTACAACGTATTCCCGCAGCTCAACCGCTGCCACGCCGTATTCCTCGAGACGCTCCGACTCTTCGCACCCATCACGGCCGTGCCCAAGATGGCCGCCATCTCGGGAGCAACAAGCCTTCAGGCCGGGGACCAGGCGGTACTGATCCCTCCAGGGGTCGAAGTCTACCCGGCACTCCTCGGCATCCAGACCGACGCGCGATACTGGGGCGCTGAGCCCCACGAGTGGCGGCCGTCGCGGTGGATCCTGCGCCCCGGAACGGTCGCCGAGGAGGAGCTGCTGGTCCCGCGGAAGGGCACCTTTTTCCCGTGGTCGGACGGCCCGCTGAACTGCGTCGGGAAGAAGTTCTCCACGGTCGAGGGCGTCGCCGTGCTGGCCCGTTTGTTTCACGGGCACCGGCTGCGTCTAGAGCAGGCAAGCGGCGAGACGGAGGTCCAGGCGAGGAAGAGGGCGAGAGAATGTGCCGAGTATGTGAATTACAACCTGCTGCTCCGGATGAACCACCCGGAGAGGGTGAGGCTGGTGTGCGTGAAAGGTGGATGATGAGACCAAGGGGCCTAGACAGCATGGCTTAGACAGCATAAGCACCATCGCGTCATTTTGTTCTGATATGGAGAGCACGCGGGGAAACGGAAGCAACGGAGGTGCAAATCACTGCCTCCAGCTCCGAGATAAGCCAGCCACCTACCCTACATGATAGCAAAAGGAAATGCACGATTTCACCCTCGTAACGTTAAGGTATCGGGCCTTCTGTGATAACCCGCCAAATGTATGCATCAGAGAATGGAGGCGTCGGGTTTGGTTGGTTACACCTTGCTTATGCTGTGAGTATATATGCCGGTATGCTGTATAACGATGATGGGATACGACACCTATAATATCTGATGGGAGTGGTCTCCCTGTCTCGGCTGGGGATTGGGACGATTACCGCAGGCGGGCGCCGTTCGGGGCCGTATGCATACCTGTGTTCCTAAAAGATGGTGGGCAGACATCCAAGGTGGCTCTAGCCATACTCACACCTCCTCTCCCATGTCCTCCCTGTGTCAGTCCGTTTTCATACCTAGGTAGGTAACCCTCGGTTCCTTTAGGTACATCCCTATCTTCAAGCTTTAACCCGGCAGCGTCCCTCTTTACACGCAACTATAAAGTAGCTCGGGGGACCCCGTTTTCTGGACCCACGTCTCCCATCTTATTTTCGATATCTGGCGATTTAGTCCCTGTAAGTCTGGTCGCTGAAGAGAATCTTCCATTCCACCCAGGTCAGCCAGAATCAGAGTAGATCGTGCCCCCCTCAACGAGAGACTGTATTCGCCTAAGATGCTGTCTGAGCTGCTTTTGCACCCGGCATTGCTCGTCGTAGCCATTTTCATCCTGTATTCCACCGCATCTTTCCTCAGACGGCCCTGCCTCCCCGAAATTCCCATCATCGGATCCCGCAAGGGCGACTGGTTTCCGTTACTACAAGCACAATGGCGCAACACACGAGATTTCAAGGCGGCCTTGGAGCAGGCCCACGCTTACGGCCGCCCTGTACTCGTGCCTGTCGCCGGTGAGGGTCACATCGTGATACTACCGGCCGAGGAAACCAAATTTATTACTGACCAGCCGGATTCGGTCCTTGGCTTCAGCGAGCGCGCGTTCGAGTTCTTCCAGGTCGACTACACGTTTATAGATCCCGTGATACCGCGCGTGCCGCTCCATGAGGGGCTGCTCCGGGCGAAATTGACGCCCCAGATTGGTAGCCTGGTACCGGATCTGGCTGAAGAAGTCGCCTGGGCCTTCGAAACGCACTGGGGGGGTGCGGGAACAGATGAAAAATGGCGCGAGGTGTGCGTTTTCGAAACGATGCGCCACATCGTCGGGGGCGTCGCGAACCGCGCATTTGTCGGCCTGCCGTTCTGCCGGGATCCCGAACTGGTCAATAACGGCATGGCATTCGCCATAGACATCCCGCTAAGTTCCACCATCATAAAACTGGTTTGGAAGCCGCTGCGCCCACTCGTGGCCCCTCTTGCTACCATTCCTAACCGCATCCATACGTGGCGGTTCCGCAAGATCCTGATATCGGAGATCGACCGCCGCCTGCGCAATTACGACAAGCATCAAAGCGGCCCCGAGGCCAGCGAACCTCCTACCGAGCGCGAGCCCAACGACTTCCTACAGTGGTCGATCGAGCAAGCTAAAGCCCGGGGTGACCCGTACATGTGGCGAAGCAAGACACTCGCGGACCGGATCCTGGCGGTAAATTTTGCCACGATCCACACGACGTCTTTCACCTTGACCGAAGCCGTGCTCGACCTCGTCTCATCCAAGGCTGAATACATAGACGAGATCCGCGACGAAATCACATCTGTCCTCGCCGCCCACGGTGGTCGGTGGAACAAGCACGCACTCGGCCAGCTCAAGAAGCTCGACTCGGCAATCCGCGAGAGCGCACGCTTCAGCTCGATCGTATCGATCGGGCTCGGGCGCGCGGTCGTCGCCGAGGGCGGTCTGACCACTCCGAGTGGCGTTCACCTACCCCGGGGCACCAAGGTGTCTGTGCCCGCGTATTGCATCATGCGCGATGAGGGGTTATACGTGGGAGCTGAGACGTTCATGCCCTTCAGATTCTCGGACCAGCGGAATAGCGACCGCCGGGTAGAGGGGGGCGACAACAATCGGAAGGCAGACAATGTGCGCCGCGCGCGCGACGCCCTCCCGACAACAAGCTCCGATTTCTTGGTCTTTGGCCACGGGAGACACGCCTGCCCGGGGAGGTTCTTTGCCGCCGCGGAGCTGAAGCTGATTCTAGCACACGCGTTCGTAAATTACGACTTCGAAATCCTGCCGAAAAAGCCCGAGGGCTCGTGGGTGGGCGTCACGAGGCTCCCGCCGCTGAAGGCTACCATTAGGGTGAAGAGGCGGAAAAAGTAAGACCAGGAACAGGAGAGTGTGAGCGGATAAGGCGCAGCATCGTGAGGACGAGAACATACGCCGGAGTGTTCGACGACTGTGTTTGAGAATCGCGACGGAGCTTGGCACTCAGCTGTTACGAGATGAAACGCGGTTAGTCTGAGTAGAGCTAGGCCAGGGTGCGATGACTCAGCAGGTAGTCGTCGCTTAGGGCAGCTTACCTTAAAGGTAGAGGTAGCCAGGTCAGGTACTGAACTAGGTGTGTAAGAAAAGCACACACGTTTCCTACGGCTATAATGTGTAAGATAATGGATTCAAGCTTTAACCCGAACGGAAATGTTCGCCGTAGTGAGGAGAATGTACTCCTTTTTATTAAAATATGTTTTTAGGTAAAATTATTTCGCACTTGAACTGGTGGAGAGAGTCCCGTTGGTGGTAAGTCGATGATGCTAGGATGTAGAGATGTATACGTAGTTTTACCTTGATATTTATCGGCCCTCATTAGTACTTAGGTATAAGGAATATGTCGTTAGCGCTATTCTGTGAGGTAAATACATGCATGTAAGGCATGTCCGGGTAATGCCTGCTTAATACCTACGCTTACTCATTACCCCTAACTGCTTAGTCGGACGTCGAATTTATACCTAGAAAGAGAACTTCGCATTGATTGAAGCCGAACACGCATGCCCTTAGGACGTTGTACATCGAGAGATGTCTGCCTACCTCCTCTGTCTACTTAACGTTGTACTTGCACTTGAAGCATTCCGTAGACCTCGTGTAGGGCTCGACACGGGCCCTAGGCACGTGCTGACATGGTTTATTCTGCAAGATTGCAGATCGCGTTCATTTCGGCAATTGAGTCAAATGGCCTGGGGATGGTGGAACAGAATAATCTACAGGGACGCCCTACAACCTTTCGAATACGTGATAATATAACGTTAATAGTATGAGATATTAGTGCGTATTCGCCTGATAGTAAGAACCACCATCTTTGGTTAATACATTGCTTCTCTCCTTGAGCTCGACGTTTTGAAATGGAAAGGGGATGAGAAGCCGTGACAGACCCCGATCCCATTGCTTATCGGACCATACCGATTGCGAGGCGAAGGCCACAGGGAAGTGGGTTGATTCACAGTGCATACCTCTCACCGAACCCAAGTTCTACTCGGCACATGGATGTAAGAAAGAAACAGGAAGGAAAAACATGGCCTGATCCTCCTGCGCGTGAGAGCATAGATAGAGACTATTGGTGTTGCTTGAATGGTGTAAAGGTAGGTATAGACGGATTCTGTACCAAGCAATGTGAATCCGCTCTTGTCGCCTAGGGCCCCTTAAGAATCCCCTAGGTCCTCCCAACTCCACGTCTCACCGTCCACTGGAGAACTTCTCGTGCCACTTGCCTCTCGCGACAGGCGCTGGTTGCCCGGCCGACTCGGGCACAAGCTCGATCGTATCGTGTATTGTTGCGATTGCCTTGAGGCCCGTCTCTGGCATCTGCGACGAGACATTTGCCCCCGAGGTTGTAAGCAGGATCAAGGCATTCGAGGTGTTCTTTTGGCGCAGCCCCCATGACTGAGTACGGCTCTTTAGCAGGGCTGAGTTGGTTGACGATTCCAGCGTCAAGCTGCACTCCCAGTTCCCGTGGTTAGGATGAAGATAGAAGGGCCAGTTGGGGCGGGAGACGAGGGGGTATTTAGGCGCTTGACTGACATCGGCGGGTCTTCAGACTCTAAAAGTGCAAGCAACTCGGGCGGAAGCTCAAGCAGCTTGTACCCGACCCCATCTGGGGCGTGAGCAAACGAGATACCGGTATCCTTTTGGCTGGACATTATCTCCCAAGCGGAGCAGGCAGGGCACGGGCTCTCCTATCGAGTCGATTTAATATGCCAGAAATAATTAGGAATCTTGGCATTTATCGAGGTGGGCAGGTAGTATGGATTAAATAGCATCAATTAGAACAAGTCCGGTATGAAATTGGGAGCGGGCTTAAGATAGCGATGGAGGCACACCTCCACGCCGTGGGGCGGCATTCAATTACAAGAATCTCTATGCAGATTCAAGGGATAGCTGTGCATATATAGGAGCTCCACATTTACGGGGTACCTACCCATACTGCAGTCCTCTATTGGGATGTACACGCATTCAGAGGTGTGGGAAAAGCCGACCCTCAGACGAAGTCTCCCCCCACTTATTAGAGACGCGCCTGGGCTGATTGATTGGCAAGCGTGTCCACGTATCCCATGCCTGCGTACCTAGGTACCCGGTACTTATACTACACGTATAATAGGTTGCCGCATCAGCAGCAAGTTGGGCGGATTAGGTAATGGGTTGCGCCTGGGTAGCAGCGCCATCCGGAGTAGCTGAATACGCCAGCCCGAGCCTGCATACCTGCGAGGTTGGGGACGTAGCGTGTATTACGTAGAGGCACCTACGGTGGTAGGTAAGGTAAGATGTACTACACGTATAGTGGATGTGTTGATAGTTTTGCCCACGCATTGTGGATGGTCAGGAATACGAATCCATGCGACAACCCAAAACGGGACGTCGTGCTCGTTTCCCAAATGCCATTTTCATTTAGGTTTGTTTCATAAGGTGCGGTTGTGCACATGATATTGACGCGGCTGGCAAAGGTACATAGGTAATAACAGCCGTCTGCTCATATAATGCATCTCCCGAGTTTTAGTGGACCTCCTCAGAGGAAGGAAAAAGGAAAAGAAAAGAAATAAATAGATGAGGAAGAGAAAAAAAAAAAATACCCTGCCGCGCAAATGCCCGCCCGCCTTTATCTCCATCCTAGTCCCGATCCCAGTCGGCCAACTCTACATACCTACTCCAGTGGTCATTGACCGCAACCTTACCAATACCAATACCGATACCATCCTCGGGCTCTCTGCGCGTACGACCTCACGACCTCTCCTTATTATAATCTTCTTGTTCTTACCTTTCGCGATTCTGGAGATACATACATACGATTTCTTAGCTCCCTCGTGGTGCTCCCGTTGTTTATAGCCCAGCCACCTGCCTCGCCTCTCTTCCTAATCGCATGGGTCTCCCTCACTCCGGCTGCAGCCCGTCCGTAGTACGACCGAATCGGAGTGTGGTACGGCTCGAACAGCATTCGGCGAAGTAAACAACCCGCTGCAGGTCACGACACCCACCGCAAGCATCGCCAGCTCGTTTACCTTGACGAGCCCTCCCGAGTCCTACAGCGTCCTGCACGCTTCGACATCTCCCGCATATTTCCATCGACCTCACACTCGTTTCTGACCCGAATCCTCCCCCCCCCCTCCCTCCTCCTCCTTCGGAGCATGATGCGAAAGGCCCATTGAGGCGACCATGGTTCGCGTCACCGAGGAACTGGCCTTGTCGCCAGACCATCTCACCCTCTACCAAGCGACCGACCCTCTGCTCGGCCACCTTCCCTTGTTGATACTCCACGGGCCGTCTACCACCGCGAACTACACCTTCAACAGCTCGAGAGTCCAGGTCCATGTATATACCCCCGCTGGCTTCCAGTCCTTCCCCCGACTCACCATCTCCCCGAATTCTCCCTTGTATAACGTCGTCCACTATCTGCCCCGCGAGTTTCAAGGCGACGAGGTATACCGAGCCTTAGCCTTCGGATTGTTCAAGTATTTCTACGAGCTACCGGACCACGTCAAGGCTCATGTCCGAAACCAATACCCCGCCACCAAGGGCCGTCGGCCTGGCTCGTCCCCCGCGTTGTTCGGAGAAGAGCATGCCGCCGACATCGCCAAGTCCATGGTCAGGGCGGATAACACGCCGGACGTCATCCAGAAGCTCCACCTCGCTCTCCAGACGCAACACATAAGTAATATTGACATCGACCTTGTATTGCCTCCCGGGGCTATTATCCCCCTACAGCCCGCCGATTTTGAGGACGTGCCCGAGGACGAGGACGATATCTTGGACCCGACCTTGCGCCAGTACGGCATGTATACTTCGTTGGTCAAGTTCTTTGGCGAGCCCGTATTCTTGCCAACCACGAGATTGCGGCGGGCACCCTCCAAGCCGAGCGCTCTCAATAGGACCAAGTCGTTTTCTAAGGACCAGAAGGCCGAATTGCGGCGAAAGATGACCGAGCTGGTAGAGACCGAGGAGCGCTACGTCCAAAAGCTGAACGAGCTGGTGAACCACCTGGCGCCTGAGTATAGACGGGAAGCTAAGGAACGGCGGCCTGGCAGCCTCAGTCCTTCGGAGGAGGACGTCGAGAAACTATTCCCGCGATCGGCAGAAGAAATCCTGAAAATGAATTCGGCTTTCATGCAGGCCATAAAACAGGTGATGGAAGATACCGAAGAAGGTGCATCGAGAGATGTGGAATCAGGTTCCGTGTCGTCGAGGGCAGGTATGTCGGGAAGCGTTATTGGGAAGACGAGAGACGCAACAGGAGCTTTGACGATGGCAAAGGTCATGCTAGAATGGTTTCCGAAACTCACCGACTGCTACCAGGATTATATCCGAGCAAGCCAAAACTTTCCCCAGCTAATCACGTCCTTCCTCAGCCAGCAATCCAGCTTTTCTCAAAGGCTGGCTGTCACCGGGGAACAACACCTTCGCTCCACCGTCATCGAGCCCGTGCAACGGCTGCCACGGTACAGTCTCGTCATCGACCAGATCGTCAGCTGTCTACCAATCACCCACCCTGCTCTACAACCTATGCTGAAGGCCAGGGATATCATCACCAACATCTGCTCTATGGACGAGCCCCTCACTGACAAGCCTCACGTCAACACGCGCCTACGGCATATGGTCGAGAGCTGGCCCAGCGATCTTGAACCGGTTGGTAGGCTAATTGTTGCTGCCGACTTTGTCGAGGTATCTGCGCCGTACCAAGTCGGCGCCACCGCGGCAGTCTCGAGCGACCAGGCAGGTATCTTGCTACTCTTCTCGGATTGCGTCGTCATCGTAAGAAAGGCCTATGGCACAAACATGGCAGCGCGCGACTTGCTGCGGGAGATCGATAAACCATCCCCGGCCGGTCTTCTAGCCTCCATGACGAATGCGGCGGGAGGGCCTGGATCCTACGAACTGTCGTTTGCTGGCTGGCATACTCTGGCCGATGTTCGTTTCACTGAATCTTCGGATGGCCGTATGGCTTGGATGACTTCGCTCAGCGAGATGAAAGGCGCCAACGAGAGCGAATTCGTCACAAGCACAGCACCTACCTCGCGATGCTTTGTGCTACAAGAGTCATACGAGGGCAAAGCAGCAAAGTGGAGCGAAGATGTTGTTAAGGCCAGGGTAGAGGGCAGATTTGCCGAGAAGGAACGCGAAGATCCTTGCTGGAGTCTGCGTTCTGCCAGGATGCCCGATACAGGTCTGGGTGTGTTTGCTGCTGTCTTTCAAGAAGGCCTCGACCAGCTCGTGGAAGGTCGGAGGGAACCGGCGCCTGTCCGCATCGTCATTGATCACGAAAAGGGTACTAAAGGTGCACCTGTGGGCCATTACGGCGTAGAAATATGCTCGGACGTGAAAACGGGGAATATGAAGAAGATAACCGTGATCACAATCGGACTTCACGGGAAGAAAGCAGCCGACGAAGTTGCGCTGGAGGACTTTCTTCCAACCCTTGCCCGGAGGAGTAAGCTTTTCCCTCCCCTTTCGGTAGACGACTTGATAAATGATTGCTAACCGAACTACAGTCATCCAGCTCCTTAGCGCTCAATTCAACGTCGGGAACCCCGGGCTAACCCCAGCAATGGTATCATTCCATACAAAGGTGTTGCGAGGCTTAAGCGTTGCGAACAGGGCCGAGAAATCGAGATCCTTCCTAGCTACGTCGCCTGTCAAGTATCTCTCGAGCTTCCTCAGTGGAAACAGTTCCCCTGATGCCATTGCTAGTCCCAAGCATCAGCGCACGTTGACGGGAGACGCTCCCGTCCTTCTTCCCGGGCAGCTCAGCCGCTCTAACAGTTCTAGGGATGCGAGCTCTCTGTATGGCTCAGCCAAGAGCAGAGATGGCATCCGAATCGGCGGCTCCGACGACGATCGACCGGAAAACCCGCTGGTCCGGCTTGAGGAGACCTTCACCGGCTATATGGCTAGTCTCCAAGCGCGAAAGGGCGGCTTCATCGGCCGAACACTGCTCAACCGATCCGCCGTCGACGAGCTTTCCGTAAACGACTTATACAACAAGCTCATCGAAAGTCCTTTTGACATCGATGCCTCGTCCGACTTGACCCCCGATGTGGTTTTCGTTGCCTTCGAAAAGTTTGTACGATTTGCGTGGAGAGAACAGATGGGCCCGATTATGACGCCTAAGGCGCTGGACGCTCTTCAACAGAGGGCATCGAAAAGATTGCCTGGGGACTTTGCCGACTTTGTTCACTTTCTCTTCGCGGATATGGCGCCACAGAATAGGAGGGCCTTCACCGCTCTCATCAAACTCTTGGCTGACCTTCTCGACGGTTGTGGGAACGATAGTGACAGAGGAGCTCTCACTTTGGCATTTGCCGAGCTCTTAACGGACAATGATACCGCGCACAACTATATCAATCTTCTTGATCGGCTTGTCGAGGATTGTGACCACATTTTCTACGAGGGTCCGTCCGGTTTCGGTGCAGGCATGAGTCATATGGGTGCTATTTTCGAATCAATGAATTCGACTACTCGCAGTGTGAAGTCGCATAACGGATCTTTGACTTCGAATACATCATCTCTGAGAAGGAAATTTGGGTTTGACAACTTCTTGTCGAGGCAAAACAGCAAGAATGACGGAGACAGTCGTTCATCGGTGTGGCGTAGCCTGAGCAAGCATAATCGGCATCCAGGCACTGGTGAGAATTCGACCTTGACCAGAAATTCCGTGGTCAGGACCAAATCTATCGATGCCGGCGTTCCTTCAGGTCCGAACAAGTTGAGGCGGCCCGGGTCTCGCGACAGGCCTCCCATTGCCGGTGCTTTCGACGATAGTTTCTCACGACCTACCAGCTCACACAAGCTCGAAACCATCGGAGAGCCCGAGACCGAGGAGGTGGGTTCCGGCGATTCGAGGAGGAAACGTCGCAGCTCGTTGTCAGATCTGCAGGACCTCATGGACGCGACGAGCATCGAGGACGAATCTTTGCATCCCCTTTCCGACATGAAAGAAACCTCGGAAAAAATCAATTCTGGACCGCACGTGTCGTCTCCATCTAAAACTACAAACAATCCTAATTCACAAGGCCTCTCTAACAACCTAACGCTCCGTTTGTCCCGATACAAGGAAAATTCTGACGAAATATTTTTACCTCCGCTGTCAGCAAGCGAGACACCAAAAAAAGGGCACTCTAAAATGTTATCGACTTCTAACATTCCGACTTTGAGATCGCCCCACGACGTTGGAACAGCAGCCGATTCCGGCAGACCTACCTCTAGCCCTACCAAAGCTCAGGGGAGGCTTCGTTTACAATCGCCACAGAAGCTGCGTGAACGTCTACAAGTCGAGAAGAAAGCCGTTGATGAAGTCGACGCCAACCTACAATCGGAACTGTCAAAAATCGCCGCAGATATGGCCAAGGTTAACTCGACCCCGCGCAGTGCGACAATCGACATGAGAAAGTTGTCAGTTAGCGTGAGGGCTCTTGAGGATCGTATTCCCCTGGTCGTCTCTACATTAACCGATCGCCACGAGCAGCTCCAGCGGGACATGGAGGACATGGTGAAGGCGTCGGAGGCTAAGGTCAAAGCTATCGACCAGCTGTATAAGGAGGCGACGGCTGAGAACGAGCTGCTATACGAAAAGTTCAACAGCGAGCTAGGCAAGATCGTCAAGGCGCTCAAGGGGAAGGGGCGGGACGACAAAGAGGAGCTGCTGGTCCGTATGAAAGACTGCAGTGAGGAGACAGCACGCGTGAAGAAGGAGAACGCGCGGCTCCGCCGGGAGATGGCTAGCTTACGAACGCTGCTCAAGAGCAGCACTAATGCCGGTGACGCCTAGAGGGATGTCATTTACGAGGTGGGGGAGGCGTTGCGAAGACTGGTGTTCTGGTTGCTTTGGAAGGCCATGACGAACTTTATCGCGATTGCGAGATAATCCGTCGGTCGCCGTCGCCGTCGTTCGGCATCATAGTCGGCGTCCACATTTCTTGTTTCCTGTTGTTGTCGTTGTTATATATCATCCCCTCTAGCAGAGAACGGGCCTTTGCGCGCGGGCGGTTGTATGATTGATTGATCCGGCCGACTCATCGACTTGATTGATTGGTTGGTTGGCTGTATCTAGATGGCGGTTCCGTCGGGATGGTTCTTTTTTTTATTTTTATTTTTCCTGCGCTCGCGCTCTTAGACCGAAGAAGGGGAGGGAGACCTTTACCTTGCTGGCTACACTGGTATGGGTCTCCTGCGCCCGTTTTTTCTTCTTCTTTCCTTCTTCATTTTTACCTGAGAACGAGAAGACGACGGATAAGCCAGGGCAGCCAATGCGGGAAAGGAATTCACGAAAGAAAAAAGCAGAGGGGGGGGGCCTATAGAGAATAAGACTAATGATAACGTCAAACGACAAATGACGAATGCCACTACAGATGACTCCCATCGCAATGTATATCCACAGCAGTATACCGACCCCGTCTGCATCTCCGCGGCTTCCCGCGACGCAAGGGGACTTCGGCTAAGGTAAGAGAAGCGTGCGTATTGTCCGGGTAATAAGAGGGGGCTTGACTAGAACTAAGTTCGTAACAAGACGAGAGAGGTACTAGGCTTAAGCCTATCAACCCACACATGTCTGCTGCGAAATACTCCGGCCAGGATGTCGGAAGGCGTTGGTGGTGAGAAGGAGGGGAGAGGAGAAACTCGGAGTGAGGGTCCGCTCTATCGTGCAATAGGGGGGGGGGGGGGGGGGGGGCTAGCGCATCGCAGGTCTACTTGGTGTAGAATTCGACCCCTTGAGCACAACCCGCCACAAATTGCTTCCCTAGCCTTGCCTGGAAGACGGTGCAGCACATACGCCCCAGCTAAGCGTTGTATTGGGACAGAGGATGGCACCTAGTCTTGATCCAACACATTATACATAAGCATCCCGTATCCCTACGCACACCACACAGCTTGGCCCGCCGAAGAGCTCATAGATAGAAAACCCCGGCGGAGGATAATCGTGTTGACGAAACTTGGGGACGTTTTTTTTTTTCTTGCTTGTGGTTCTTTGTATATGTCATGACTAGTATAACTAACTAACCTACCCACTTGTATCTGCGCCTGGGAGGTGGTTGATCTGAAGATGGTGTTTTTTTGTTTTGTTTTGCGGTGACCATCGAGAAAGCGCTTCACGGTCCCGAACCCAGGCGAACGGGCGAGGCGAACGACGAGAATGCATCTGCGAGCATCACGGCATGCAGTTCTCCCCCCCTCACCCCTATTCATTCATTCATACTCGAATGTGGCCCCTCATTCCTCGAAGCCCCCGCCCGAGCCACCGACGACTTATTCCATTCTCATATCGAGCTTTTTATTAACTACCCACCCCTCTAAGAGCCTCAACGAGGCAAGGCAAAGGTGTTCGCCATGAGACACTACCTTGCCTCTATGAGTTTCCCCGGTATCATTTCAGCGTTAGCCTACGAGAGAGTCCCCCCTCTCCTTCGGTATTTTCCACCTCCCCGTCCTAAAGCGTGCCCTGCCAACAAACCGGTGGAGTCTAAGCGGTTTATTCCGCTGGGCGGATCTCATTCAATTTCGCTTTCTCGTCGTCTGTCAGCCCGTTGTACCACTCCCCGAAGCCGGCAATGTTATCTCGAGCAGCTGTCACGAAGAATTCTGTCAGGTAGTTCTGGGTTTCATCGTCCCGGTTGCGCATATTGCTGGCTTCTAAGAAGCCCATGAGGTCGTTCTTGGTGCTGCCGAGGTTAAGGTCGAGCGTATCCGGATCGTCCTCCCAGCCGTCGTCGTCGTTCTCGTCGGCAAACTCAGCTGCTGCCGCCGCCGCCGCCGCCGTAGCGGCACTGTTCATGCCAGAAGCCGAAAGAAGCTCCTCGATGAGGACCTTCAAAATCTTGAGTGGTGCAGGGATGATAGTATACTGATCCGGCTCTGCAAACTCGTTTAGCGGCGATATTTGAGGGATGTAGGGTGCTGCATTACGTTGCTTAGCACGAGAACGCGTCATGATCCTATCGCTTGCGGGCATGATAAGATCTCCCTTCACCATCGTCTGAGCCACTCTAGCATCGTTCAAGCTATACAGCTTTGAGAGAGCAATCACACTGGAACTCAAGTTAGCAGGCTCTAGATTTAGTTCCGGTCGGATTGGGCTTACTTCTGCCTGATCTCATCGTACCCGGCAAAGTTGACAGAATTTTCAAGCCACTTGCTCAGAACGATCTGGAGGCCACTCTGTCCATCGATCTGTATAGTACTAAGGAATTCCACCACATCATGAGCGCCCAGGAGCGAGAGCCTTGCGAAGACGAGAATGAGCGATTGAATAAATGGCGCAGCTTCAGCGGTCGCTAGACGGTTAGCGACAGCCTGCAATAACTGTGGCAGGAATGGACCAAGCCGCTCGTGGCCGGCCTTTTCGACTAGCTCAGCTGCGAGGCCGCCCACTTCGGAAGCAGCGTTATCCTCGATCGTAGGGCCCAGCAAACGGTCAATGATAAGGAGACAAACTTCGAGGCCAGATCTGTTATTCTCGTCGTGGTAATTGAGTACCTGCTCGTGGTCGTGCGCCAAGAGATACTTTACAGATTCGGCCCCGGGTCTTAGAATCTCCCCCTCGTTGGCCTCCATAAGCAGCCGGCTCAACTTAGGCAGCGTGACCGCTACGAATCCAGGGGGGAGGGGCTCGGAGGCATATTGAGTGAGGGAAGCCATGAGCTCAGCCGCAACCTGCAACGATTACGTCAATCATCTGGATAACCGAGATGCCTTCAAGACAAGGCGAGAAATTGGAACGGGCAGTTTCTAGACGCTGGGAAAAGTCTAGACTCACGGTAATGAGTGGGTTATCCGAAGTGACATCGGCGACGTTGAATGCGCCGGTCAGAGAAGGGAGGACTTTCTGGCAGAGCGCTTGAAACGACGCCGCGTCCGGCAGCGACTTGACAACATCTTCGAACTCCTCGCAGACAAGCATCGTCACCTAAACAAACAACGCAATTAGCCTCTCTGCGACGGCGAGATGCCCAAAGATGGACATAAGCGACTGGCTAATCAGTAAGGTCCAGTACATACCTGCCAATTGCTCGATCCATGCTTGGCGATAGGGAATAGCAAGTCCAAGGCTGGAACGTCGGGAGACACCGCGACTCTCTTGTCTAAATTTATGGCGGCTCGGAGAGTTTCCGTTAGCGTAACCAGCAAGTCGTCCGATTCCTCAATTTCTGTCATGTCCTTAATGGTCATCCACTGCTTTATGGCGTTGACTACGTTCGCTTGGAGTTGCTGGTCGCCCATAGCATTTTCGCTCTGGAGGAAGCCTTCAACTGCCTTGATACACGCGACTTGCACTAGCTCCGACTGCTCTGCTGTGATGGCTTCGACGGTCTGGTTCGTGAGCGTAGTCGCAGCTCCGTCAAATTGGGCCAGTACGCCAGCAACTAGATAGCCCCGAGCGCGTAGCAGCGGCTCCGCAGGGCGGTTGACGGCATAGGTGACCAGCTCAAGATAAGCCTGGCTAACCTCGGGCGGCGCTGGCTTGTTGCAGTCGAGAAAGTCATTGAGCAGCATGTTAAGCAGATACAGAGCGGCTTCCTGCTTCCTCCACGAGGCATTTTCCGCGAAGAGATTCTTAGTGTGGGCGAAGAGACCTTCCAGCGCCTTCTGGTTCAGCCACTCTCCAAGTTTGATGATGAGGTCTCCGCAGGCGGTCCGTGGGGTATAATTAGCGCTCACAGACTGCTCCTCTGCAAGGTACAGAGAGACGTCGATGTCCCACAGCTCCTCCTCCTCTCGGGTGATACGGGCGTAAGAGCTCGCCAGCTTCATGATGTCCAGCACCCAAGGGGTCTCGTGTGCAGAGGCGTGAATTGCCAACTGGGCCTCCAGCTCCTTCCGGACCGGCGGCGCTCGCATGCAGCTATTCAGGAAATCCAGCTCTTCTAATACTAGGAAGTCTAAGGTATAGGGAAGGCCGTCGGAATCTTCGAGCCTGCCTTGTGCTTCGTTCTCGATATACATCAGCTCGTGAGAAGGCTCAAGGAGCAACAGCTCCTCCCAGATGGCTTGGAAGAAAACTGGCGTCTGAGGCGCCAAGAGATTCGCGAACACGAGCTTCAACTTGAGAAGGCACTTGACAACCTGGAGCTTCAGAGCGATCAACCCGTTCCAGCTGTCGGGCTGGGATATCGACTGGGGGTCGCGGTCGGGCAATCGCAGCTTCATTGTCTGGTCGAAGAAGGGGAACCAGCCCTTCATAGCCTCCTCGGCAAATCCGTGAACCTCCTTGGGATGCTCGTCCTTGACCGTATCCATGAGATCGAAGCATCCGCGGAAGACAGAGACGGCAAGTGCACGTAGGGCAGGCTTGCGTTTCTCGTTGATAGCCACATCGTATACGACCTTGACAATGTCTCGCGCCATGGAGAAGAACTGGCCGTCGCTTAGGCTCTCGTCTACTAGATCGCGGAGGACGATCAGGGCGCCGTGAAGTTGACCATCGGTACCGCTCGGGATTATCTCGAGGAGCGTCGGCAGAAGAGAGGGCCACTGTTCGGGGAAGTCCACATTGGCGATCTTGCCCGCGGTGAAGCTAGGCAATACGGTCAGCGGCAACCGTCCATAGACGGGATCAGCAAGGCGATGAGGCGAAGTGAGATGGATGCGGAGCATCATTGGGAGGTCTGGGACGGGAGGATTTCTTAAGATGCATGGGCGGAAGAGGCGAGGAACATGTGAGGGGAGTAGAAATGACGAAACACTCGGGCGAGTTCGTATACGGGAGGCCATTGTACCTTGCGGCTGCCTTGATCTTCTTGTCATCCTCAGAGTTGAGGGCGAGGTCAAGGACCATAGGTCTGATCTGATCCTTGATAGAATCGGCAATGGGGATGGCAGGGCCACTGTCGCTCTCGCCGCTCCAGTTCTTCTCGATGAACAGCCGCAGCGCAGACAGGGCTGCTTGTCGGACGTCTACGGTGATGGAGGCATGTCGAGCAATGTTGGCGAGGGAGAGTAGGTAGGCAGGGTTGGTGGACGCGTGCTTCAAGTCAAGTTCGGCTTGTTTCCTAGGGCCCTCGGCTGCCAGCTGGGTGTTGGCCAGGACCTGGACGAGCTGGTCCTCCATCTTGGGCTGGCTCGAGATTTGTGCGACAGGCCAGTTGATCTGCGGGATTGATGAGTACTGGGCAGATATAGTGTGTCTGTGGAACCGCGTAGGGAGATGCAGGCGTTTCTCGAGCCGAGACGGTGCCGGTTCGAGGTGGTGGTGGTTTACGTGCGGTAGCTTTGTGCGGTGACGGCCCCGACGAGATGTTTGTGTTTTGTCCCAAGGCGGTCAAAATGACTGGCGGGGGAACAGAAGGGTGGGAGGGAGGGTTCGAGGGCTGCGGGCCAACTCGAGGTGTGGCCTGTGAACGGCTCCAATTTCTACCGTCCCTCTCCCAGCATGTGCAGTGTGGTGCCTAAGAAACAGGGGTACCACTAGGGTAGGAGTTATAAGGGTTGTCCTACTACCTAAGGTAGGCAGGTAGGTACCTATACCTTAGATACCTGCAGGTAGTTGTTATGAATCCCCTATAACCTCTTGCAACAGCTGTGTTTTGGGTCCCTGGTAAGAGCTTGCTTGCCCTGCCAAGTACCCCTCCCTCCCCCACCTCCAAACCAGAATTTCTGTGGAAAAGCACATGTGGCAGGGCCAAAACTACCTCCTACATTACCTGGGATTTGTGCCAGGGATAACCAACCTTAGGTTGGCTGCCTCTCACCAAACAGACCTGTTGTACCTACCGGTGCCTCCTGGTGCTTAAGCAAGGCATGCAGAATAGTATGGACCTTAGGGTATGTCTTGTACCTCTCAAGCAGTACCTACATACAGGCGTACTATAACGGGGTTCAGTCCAGGTGGAGTAAGAATTCCAGGTACTCGGTTGCCCCGTTGTGTGGATGAACCAATCCATCACCCCTCTCAGCCTAACCCAACGCGCCCCTCCCACCCCATGCACACATATTCTGCCCCTCAACGCGTCTGCCACAGTACATAGAGACTACGCGCGCCTAACGACAACAACAATATCATCATCCAGGAAGGGAAAAAAAAAGGATGGCTTTCCCACCAGAATCACAAGAACAGCCGCCGCTTCAGCCGCAATCCCACCAAGGGGAGCAACAGCAACAGGCATTCATACCATCTGGCCAAGCATCCTACCTGCTCGTCTCATTCACCCACTTCCTCACCGTCTGCATCCATAACATCCTCTACTACCGCTCCATCTACCCCCAGGAGACCTTCCTGATGAGCCGGGCCTACAACCTACCCGTCCACCAATCTCGGCACCCCAAAGTGTGTTCGTGGATCCGCGACGCCGTCGATGCTGTCCGCGCCCAGCTCGCCCGCGGCGCTGCCGAGCGCGTCGCTGTCGTCGTGTACGACAGCCAGGCCCGGGTCGCTGAGCGCTGGATGTTTGACGTCTCCGCCTTCCCCGCCTGGACGGGCTTCGATGCTGCCCCCCGCGGCCCGAGGACTGCGGAAGACGACGAGTCCGACCCATCCGCCGATAACGACCCTGAGGCTGGTCCCGGTCCCGGTCCCGGCCCCGTCAGGGTTAACTGGACTGACGTCGACGAGCAGCTACGCGCTACCGTGAGGAAGCTCGCTTACGCTGGCGAGAAGATGGCCCCGCTGCCGGAGGGTTGCACTTTCACCGTCGCGGTAGAGTTGCGGGACGACAGCGAGGCGCCGATAGGGGTGAGTGTTGCCAACCTTACTTACGTATACGCATACGCCTCTAGATAAAGAAGAGGCTTCGGACGGCAATAACTAATATATCTCAGCACCCGCAACCTTGGATCCCAACTCAGCCCAATCTACAGCCGAAATCTAGAGACAAACACGTGCCAGGCCGGGATATCGGTGGAGCCAAGACAACTCCTCTCCGGGCCGTAGAAGCTGGGCCTTTGTTCTTCGAATGCTGGGTCGAGGAGGGCAGAATCAACGAACAGGTATCGCCTTACGCTTCACACGAATAGCACGTCCTATATCCTCTCTAGTGGGCGCATGTCGATTCGGGCCTACTGTCCCCCCAATATTTCCGTTTACGTTCAGATAAAAAATATGATGAGCAAGTAATTTAGACAGGTAAGTTCAAACTTGTTTTCCCATTTGGGTACCTTCCTCGTTCACGACATCGTGGCATAATGAGGGTAAGAGGTATTAGAATAGATACATCAGCTACACTTTCGCCTTCTTCGCGGATTCTCACGCTTTTGTCCAGCTTCAAATGGTCTCGCTTGTCCGAGGTCCAGGTCCTCGCGAGCACGGGGCCGGTGCCGTTGTTCATGGCGCGCCTGCTGACGAAGGATGGTATTTTATGAATCGCACACTCGACCCATAGCTCAAGAACTCTTGTCTAGGCAGGCCCCGAAGTATCTAGGCCGGCCTATAGTCCGTCACGTTTAAAGAGTTCATCGGCCCGCTGCAACGCCAGTCGCAGGGTTTCATGGGATATGAATTGCGAAAAAAGCATGGATGCCACCAAGAGTTTATTCGGAGACCCCTGCGGATATCCGTGAAAGTGACGGGGGAGACCAGCAAACCAAGAGTATGCCGACTAAGCCACGATACCTACCTTTCTCAAAGCCGCCCGGCTCCATTGCCTCAGATGATATCACCTCCAAACCCTCCAAACCCTCCGAATCCTCCTCCAAATGGCCCTCTACCGCCACCTGGCCGACGGCCTCCGAGCCTAGGATGCCCCCCCGGGCCTAGGGGATCGTAACGGGCACCTGGCGGTACCTGAGGATCGAAAGTCTCGTCACCAGGCCGGTGGCCTCCGAAGAGAGGGTCGTCAAAAGTCGGGTGCATGCCTCGATTTCCACCAGGCCTTGGTAGTCCTCCGCCAATACCTATTCCGGGGCGCAACGGGTCGTGTGGTCCCAGACCCGGTGGGTTCAAGTCATCAGCCCCGATATTCCCGAATGGGCTACGGCCAGGCTGAAGGGGGCCTCGAATCGGGCGATTGATATCGTAAGGATCCTCAAAGCCTGGAGGTGGAAAATCGCCAGCTGGAACGGGGTTGCGGGGAGGCGGATGAAGCGGGTCATTATATGGGTACGGCTGAGCTGGCTGGGGTAACGGATCGGGCATCACGGGCTGTCGGGGTGGTCTCCGGCCGGCTTGGTCGGCATCCTCGCGCGCAACTTTGTCATCGGGAGATTCCTCGTAGCCCTCCTTCTGCAGCGATGGCAGGAGCCTCTGGATAATATTAATCTTGATAAGGTTGGCTAGATCTACAATACGGCTCTCGGATATGAAAACGCTCCGCAGTTTCTGCGTCACATTAGATCGGTCTTCGACGCCCTCGCCGTCGAATTCTATCCGCACAGGGAGAGCTGCGTTAGAAACGAAGTCCTTGATAGTGATATCGACGCGTGTGATGCGGTCGTCGTTGATTCCTAGTCCGCGAATCTCGGCTTTGCCACCCATGCGATCAGTTCTGATGACAAAGCGAAGCGCTGATTGTTGATGGGCATAGATGAATGCGTAGGTGTTGAAAGAGGCATTCCAGTTCGGTGGCAGCCGCGGAGCCAGCTCATGGCACTTTGCCTCTATTTAAGGACCATCGACGTTAGCGGAAGGGGGGACAAGACACAGGTTGAGCAGACTAGTACCGACCTTCCAACTTGTCCTCGTCGAAACCTAGGAGGCGGAAGCCAAGTGAAGCCATGCAGGCGTGCGTAAATAGCGCCAGAGCCTCATGAGAACTACTAAGATCAGATGTGGCGTCGCCCTGAGGATGGGTGGGCAGAGCATCGGCCATCTGCTGGAGGATGACCGACGCGCTCAGAGGGTTCGCTGGCATGACGGCAGTAGACTGAAATGATGGCTAATGATAGATTTCTATTTTATTCGGGCGGATCGCAGACGGGAATGTGTAGACGGGAAGATGCATCAAGGGAATCAGGTGTGTAGGCGAAGAGAGAGGTCGGATGGATGGGATCGCCGAACCACACCATGCAATGTGCCACTGCACCGTGGGGGGGGGAGTTATGTCATCGATATGTTGCCTTCAGCCCTACAGAGGATGGATCTATTCCCCCGTTACATGCATATGCATCGTAGAGTAAGGAGGACTTGTTGGGCGGGGTAGCTTTATCTTATCGGAGCTTGCTGCCATTTGCTGCCGTGCCCATGCATGCTGCCAAGCTAAGCCTCCGAGACGCTACGCAAAACACGACGCGTCCGGGTAACCAACCTGTTACCTTCGCCCCCCTATTCTATTGTCCAGGGATACAGAGTCGAGCCTCTGCCGTTCGGCCTGGTTGCGGCGAGCATCCTTCATCAAAATCCCGGCCCTATCAAGACAGCGAGACTCGTCCATGCTTTGCCCGCTATCCTCGTTATTACTTATACCTACCCACTGCCTATCTTTTTAGACTGCGGCCAGACGTGCCCATTCTCCAACAGAATCCTACCACCGCCAAGTGTCTAGCATCGCAGACCACGATTTATGTATGCGGGTCACTTTCCCCAGAGCGATGAGATCATTCATTCACTGTAGTGTCGGAGAGCATAGGCCCGCCGAATTCCGCCCAGCTGGGAGACCTGAGTTCCTGGATTGACGGGTAAATGATCCGCGGGCCCTGGGCTAACCGAATGGATGCCTAGTATCTAAGCTATATAGGCCTCTGGCCCCTTGTGAAAGGGAGGAAAAGGGCTGGCCTAGCCAACTCGCAGCTGATCTTGGCGGAGTTTACGGTGAATCGAACCTTGACTACGCATCCACCCCTTCCTGACATCGCCGGACTGTCGCGCCTCTTTGGCATCACGTAAAACTATCCGCAAGCTGAACAGCCGGACCTCGTCAACATCTCGACCGCTTCGAGCTACGCGCGATAGTACGTGGTTGAGGCCTTCAGCTACCCCACACGGCTCAGGTCTAGACCTGACATCGCGTTAGACCCATTTCGATAGTTGCGACACGGCTCTCCCGTCAAAGCGTCGCTTTTAGCTCGAAATGTTCTTAGGGCTGGGTCGACTCCTAGCCAAGTGCTAATAGCGCTCTCATTAGGAACTCGGCTTAGCTTCCCTGGCCGTTCGTGTAGCAGGGTGCTCTAGCAGACGAGATGAGGCTTAACAAATGAGACGGCGATGGCGCGCTTATGTCCTCGGTTCGGCGGTACCTGGGAGATATTCCCCAGGAAGACTCCAGCGTTGGGCTGACCCTCTGACAAACTCAAATAGGGGACGATGTCCTCCACGTTGCTTGACGTTCCCTTCCTCCGCCTCACGTCGCTCGTTTACTCTGTCGCTCGGCTGCTGCTTGACTTGAAGTCAGACTTCGTACGAAGTCATACATTCATTTATCAGTCAACTCAAGCTGCAGGCTCCGCTCCTTCTTCGCCATGAGGTTTGAGCCGATTGTCGTTGCCCTCCTTGCCGGGGAGGTCGCCGCCAAATGCAAGCCAGTCTCTCTATCGAACTCGAAGAGCTCTTCGGCGACGGCTTCGGACTCTGGCTCACACCCGTACCCAACCGGACCGGCTCAACCAGGGTACCCAACCAGACCAGCTCAACCGGGGTACCCAACCGGATCGGCTTCTAGCTCTTTCCCGCCCGGCTATCCAACTCTGTCAGTTTCGAAGTCTTCCTCATCTGGATACCCGATACGATCATCTTCTAGCTTTTCCCCGCCCCGCTATCCCACCGGACCAGGTTCGAGCTCTTCCCTAAACGGCTACCCAACGGGGTCATCGTCAAGCTCTACCCCGAGCGGCTACCCCATCGGACCAGGTTCAAGCTCTGCCCCTAGCAGGTATCCAACAGGATCGGCTTCGTCAAGCTCTTTCCCGAGCGGCTACCCCATCGGGCCAGGTTCAAGCTCTGCTCCTAGCGGGTATCCAACAGGATCGGTTTCGTCGAGCTCTTCCCCGAGCGGCTACCCGGGAGGGTCATCTTCGTCAAGCTCTTCCCCTAACGGATATCCAACCAGCTCCTCGTCTACGTCTAGCACTATCTCCAGCACTACGTCAAGCTCGTCAAGTGCTTGCCCGACGCCGACTGACTTTGTAGTTGGACCCGGTGGATGCCAATGCTCTTATGACTTCCTCGATGGGTACAAGATCGAGGAAAGGCCGGACGCTATCTCGGACGCAAACTCCTTCGAGGAGTGCCTGGAACGCTGTGATGCTACCACGACTTGCATCAGCTTTTCGTTCCAGTCCGGAGCCTGCAACTTCTTCGGTAGCCGGGTTAATGACGGTGTCACCGCTGTAGAACATGCCGGCTCGAAGGTCGGATCCCTGATTCTGGGGTCTTGTCATGGGACCTGTACGGACCCTTCCCCGCTCCCTGATTACGAGCCTCCGATTGTCGAGGATCCTAGCATATGCGAGACAACTTTTGTGTGGAAGCCCGTAAACACTGTTGTTACAATCTTGGACCCCAGAATAGTCACCATAACAGACTCGGTGACCGCAACTACCACGGAGATAACCACCACGACGCCGACTGAACTCACCACCACCACGGTGTTTACAACCGAAACGGCTACGGTGACAGAGTCCCAGGCAACGGACACGTACACCACAACATCGACGGAGTACTCGACATCCACCGAGTTCCATACGATTACTGGTACCATTACCGTGATTCGAACTGTAGTGGTAAGCATGCTTTGCGACCCAATTCATCAGAAGAGGTTAATTGCTAACTCCAAGTGTTAGAGCTCCGTCCAGCCACCAACGAGGACGGTTAGCGCACCCGCTGGTTTGTATGTCAAAGCTCATTTCCTTCTACCCCTGGCCCGTTACTGGGAGATATTCATTCAACTAAGACGCCCTCTTCCCCCCTTCTAAGGCTAAGCGATTACTGACCCGCTTTCTATAGCACACCCATCAAGTCTGCTCTCCCTGGTATTGTGGCGAGGTCCGTCGGCCGTCTCGTCATCGGAAGGTCGCCTCGCTCTCGCATTCCCGATTGTCCTGTCGCTACCCCAACAATTGGAGAAATCGAGACTTACGCTTCCCACGTTGCTTGCAAGGTTAGTATGTCCCGTTTTCGCAGTCGCATGACATACTACGAATCCATGTTTTGCGTGACCGCGTATGCTGACTCTGGTTCTGTAGACTACGTCCTTCACTACCTTGACCACGACAGTCGCTACTAGCACAACCACGGAGACAATCACCGATTCCACTTCGACCTCTACGGAGACGTCAACCAGCACAATAATCACTACCACTACCGAGGTGCCGATCCCCGCGGAGACAACCTCCACGGTATATACAACGGAGGTTATTACGACGGAAACGACCGTGCCAACGACCAGAACGGTCACTATAACGACAACGTCAACAGCTACTGTCGGCCCGACACCCACGGCATACAGGCAGTGCCAGGCGGACAATCTGGCGTCGAAGATCAACGGGAAGGCCATAAACTTCTTCATACAATCCCACCAGCTCGTCGGCTACGGCTTTGTGAGTGAGGACGTGGATTGCTGCGACGTTTGCCGCAAGACCGCGAATTGTGGCGGCTTCAAGCTGCTCGCGAACGGCTACTGCCAGCTAGCCAAGACGACCACGTGCAACGGCGCCCTCAAGGCTGCCACCATAGGCAGCTGGCCGCAGCCCTTGGAAGACATCAAGTTTGTCGGTAATGGCGCATGCGGCCAGGTCCGAATCTAGAGAGCGGCCTTGGGCGAAACTTGACATACACGTCCACTGAGCAACCAAAATATCCCGGGGCACTACTTCTCTAGACTACACAGGCAACTCGTATTGAAGCTATTACCCACGGCGCACGGTTGGTGCCAGAAGAATCGATAAGATTATGTGCTGTAATACCGGCTGGGCCTGCTTCTATGCAAGCCAGGCTCGGCGTAATATGGAACGCAATAATGCTACTATTCTAGGTATATATTGATATATAATTACTAGCTTCCCGCAGGCCTGCGTTCCATATATCCAAGTATTGTGAGATCTCACGACATGAGCTTAGACAACTTGGTCCTTACAATCATAGTACCCCTAATCTATTTCCTCTGCATGTCGTATTCGTTGCCCGAGAGCATCCGAACCTATTCATCCACTTACAGGGCTCTCTATCTACCTACAGGCTGCGGGTTTGCGCAGCGCTCGCGTGATGGATGGCCAACGTTTCCGCGCCAGAGCCGCCTCGATCTCTCGCGTACGGGAGTTGGTAGGGCCGACTACGGCGTACTCCTCGCACCCGTCGAGAACATCCCCGGGTCGCCTTCTGCGTTCTTCCTACCAGATACGCGACGGGGCCATGACATACCTAGTCGACCGCTTCGCGGCATCTCGCGTGGCGCCGCCGTCCTCTCGGTCGCCATTGCTCAGCAGAGCTCCGCCCTCTTCGTCGTCGTCGTCGTCGTCGTCGTCGTCCTTGTCCTCGGCTGTGCTCGCGTCCTCCCCGTCCGTCTCCGTCTGCTCTTCTTCTCCTTCGTCGTCTCCGTCGCAGCACTCGCAGTCGGTCGGGCACGGGCTCTCGCTGCCGCTCCCCTCGCCCTCGCCCAGGCCGGCCGACGCGTGCCCCGAGTCCCACCCCGCGCCCCCAAACAGCCGCCCCTCCCGCTCCGCCTCGGCGCACGTCGTCGCGTCCAGCATCACGATCTCGGGCCCCAGCTCGCACAGCACGCACAGCTCGTTCGCCACCTTGCGGTAGAAGGACTCGCCGCCGCCGGCAGGCTTCGCCGCACCCGCACCAGTAGTAGTAGCAGCAGTCGCGATCGGCCCCCGGTATTCTATCCCCGTCCGGCACCGCCCGCGCCGCCCGTTCTGCCGCGCCATCCGGCACGTGTGCCCCGCGACGTGCGGGTCCTTAAGCAGGCCCGTCCCGCACCCCCGGCACACGTACAGCCAACAGATTCCGGTGCACATAGTCGCTAGAAAAGAGAACGAGTTGCGGTCCAGCCGAATCGAACGGTTGAAGAGCCCTTGGTTCTCTCGCCCACGGCGGACTAACTAGGCCTGAAGGGTGGGGCGAATACGTAGTGGAAGGCGAGGAGCCCACAGGCAGAGCGCTTGCTGGATGTTATAATCGATTGTTTTTCGGGCGTAGGTGTGGACATTCGGCGCACAATATAGGGCGGAGAGAGCCGCTACTACCTACGCCCTTTATACCGCACGGCGGACCCCAACCATATGCTCCTATTGTAACAGTTGAAAGCACATTGTTTCGAGACTGACGGACAAAGGACGAGTTGAAAAGGAGGTGAGGAGTTGACATCTTCTAGTAGGATTGAGAAGACGCATGATCTAGAAAATGAGTCGGTGAGGTAGGAAACAAAGAAGATAAGAAAGTCGGTTCCTAGCAAGTTCCACCCCATCGTAAAGCAGCGCGACATAGAGACACTATTACTAATCGTCGAAATCCAGTTGAAATTCCCGAGACTACTTGAAAGAGAGAGAGAGAGAGAGAGAGAGAGAGAGATGGATGCTTGAAATTGCATGTTGATGCCTAACCTTTGTCCGTAATGCCTATGCACCTAAACTCCAGGCTCATCTGGTGAACCGTAAAGCTCTGACTGTTACCACATTTACAACGATGATGCACGCACCGTAAATTCGTGAATAGCGTCAGTGGCCCTCGCACCGTTATCTCCAGCATTGCAGGACGGTTGGGGTTTTCTAATCCTCGTCATAACCGAAATTTTTAATCAAGCGTCCCTCCGACCCGTCCTCGCCTACAGCCTATCCCCCTCTTACTCCGGGAGAGGGAATTGATGTCGTGAAGGGTGAACTACTCCAAGGTGGCAGTATCCACGATGAATGGATTCAATACCAAAAGCGCCTATATCGGTCAGCTGATAGCTCCGCTAGCTATCTTTCCTGTTCCGGTGGCCTCAGGCAACGGGTGAGGGCATCGAAGACGCACTGCTCAAGCGTCATCCTCGAAACTGGGTGGTCCTCCTCAGCTGCCGATATCCTTGACGATAGCAGGCAATGAAATGTTTAAATAGGTTCTTTAGGTTTTACATAAAGTTCCTGAGTTCTACCATCGGCGTCTGTATTTTCGATCAGCAATCAAGAATATGACGATCGGGTATTAGGCTAGACCTACGAGTAAGCCTCAATGACTCTTGGCTGTCGGCGCTTGAATTTGGGCGTCATATTATTAAACGGCCGCTTCGGCATTTCTTTCTCGGATTCGCTTCCACTACTTGACGGTTGCTCCAGGCCTAGCAATTCACGGTCGATGGAATCCAGCGGAGACCCTTGGGAATCAGGCGTGCGAGTTCTGGACGAAGAGCCCCGACTGTTTGGGCGACTTCCACGAGAGCATCGGGAGCTATGTCTGCTCAGTGGCCGACTGTGAGATGCGGGGGTATCCTCCATCGATCTTAGCGGCGGCGGGGAATATGTTCTGTCAGAATCATCTCGTTCCTTAAGCGTTTGCACGTTATACTGGTGACGTTTCATATCATGACCCGACGCGAGGCCCCTACTATTGGGGCTTTGAGATTGATTATCAGGATCCTCGATCAATTCGCCTGGTTCCATGTCCAATTTAGCATCTTCGTTGGGAACCGGAGACGGCTTCCAGGGTACGTCACGGCCATTTGTCTCCAGAACCTCTCCAGGCTCAGGGGATACGGGTTTCTGTCTCTTGGTAGACGGCTCATCGATCGGAGAATTGCGGAAAAGTCTTTCGGCTTTGAGGATATCCACATCATCATATGATTCATTCCATCGCCTTTTCCCCCGATCGAGCTTGTAGCGAGAATCGCGATTCTTCCCGAGATATCGTCCTAGCACGCCTCGCAAATGCCCATGGCGGTGCCGATTAGCATCATGTGAATTGCTCAAACGATCCCTGAAGTTATTCCTATGGGCCGTATCTATTTGTATTGCCCGGTTGTAATCATCTAGCTTCTGGAGGCTTACTTCAGCCGGATCTAGAAATATTGGATGGTGTTGCATTGTGTACCAATCTTTGGTCTCGCGGATGCTTTGAGAAAAGTCGTCGACGTTGCGAGGTGTGATATATTGCGACTTCAAGCCCTTAGCATCGAAGGCGGGTGGGATCATGACGTCTTCGGTATACTCAGTCGGGAGGGGTGCCGCAATAGGGTCTGCTTTCGTAGTTGTCGAAAGTTCAATGAATATAGTGTGCTCATCCCAGCCCATGTCTTCAACGACTTTGTCTACAGTTGCGCTGGATGCACTTTCCAAGTCACCACGCTCTGACGCCGAACCTAGTTCGGATACTATCTCACCAGGTTCACGATCTTGATGACCCTGGGCTGGTGTTGGTGTTTCCCTTTTCTGAGAACCCCGATCCTGGACCACCACTCGACTCGGGGTTGATACAGAAGGCTGCCTCCGCCGATGATTCCTGTCCGATTTATCCAAGTTCTTGTATGGGTGGAATCGATCCTGGCGGTCTTGGCGCCGCTCATCTCTAGGCCGGCCACGACCCCAACGACGGGATTGTCGGTCATCTCGATAAGAAGCTTCCCCGTGTCGACTCTCGTGGTACTCGTCTCGGTGATCTTGATAGTTCGGCGGTGGCGGATTATCCCAGGGATTATGCCGAAAATTTTGCGCGTGTCGAACGTCCGTTGGGCGTCTATCATCGTGACGACGTTGGTAGTCTCGATCACGTTGGTGATGGCTTCTGTCATCTCCGTACAGGCGGTCATGAGAAGAGTCCGGTGGCGGGTACTGAGGATAGAAGACAGGAGACGGACCGCGCTGTGGGAGGGTGTATTCATTCTGTGTATAACTCGGAGGGGTCGGGTACGCATATGGCGTAGGCGGATGTGCGAAAGTAGGGGGCGGCAGCGGTGGCGGTGGTGGGGGGTATGACAGGGGAGGACCGGCGGGATATGGATGGTGTGTCCCATACTGAGGACCTAGGGGATAGTGGCTAGGAGGCGGAGGATAATGGATTGGTCGGTTGGGTGGGCCTGCAGGATAGTCACCGGGAAGATACTGGCCGGGGCGGCTAGGAAGGCTGTGGTGGTATTCGAAAGGCCCATGGGTGGAACTCGAGGAGCTATAGAAGCTACTATACGGCGGTGGGTTGAATGGTTGATGAGGGTCAGGTGGAGGGCCTATAGATCCTGGGGGGGCCGGAGGTCCGTACCGATCATACGGCGGCTGGGGTGGAGTAGGTTCTCCGTAGAGAACCGGATTGTACGGGGGTTGGGGATGATATCCTGGGACCGGACCTGACTGATAAGGTTGAACTGGAGGTGCATGGTGAGAAGGAGGGGGCGGGGGAGGAGGAGGTGGAGGAGGAGGATAACGTGTGATCACCGGTCCCTTGCCTCGCTTGCTGGATATAGTATTATCATTATGGGGGCTCTTGCTCGATTGTCGTCGAGCCCAAGATGCCTCCAAACCGCTAATCACATCTCATCAGCTATTATACCACAGGGTGCAGGAGGAAGCTAGTCCTGGCATAAAGAAGGGACATTACAAATACCTACGCTGGCATCTTGCGAGGATCCTCGGGACAAGCTGTGAACATGTGGCCCCGCAAGCCACAATTATAGCACGGGGGCTCATTATGCTCCGGCTCTAGGCCCGGAGCTACTTGGGCCATTTTTCTGTCGGAGGCGATGAGGAGAAGTTGAAAATAACACGTCGGATACCCAAGATTTACCCTGTGAAGACAGGATCTGATGACCAAGCCGTTGGCCGGTGGCTGGGCAGCTAAGCGCAATAGTCAGGAATAACAATGAGTGAATGAACGAGACGGCGCCCGGAGCTCATCTGAGAGACCGCTCCAGAAACGGGTCGCCGGGTTAGCAGAAGCCCCGTGGCGGTAGGTCGTACGGCGGCAGGCGGGCCCTCAACAATCCAGACGAGGCGTGACGACGGTGTAGCTAGTCGGTCGTCGCGCGCGACCAACTACACGTACGCGCGGGGTTCGACTGAGACTCCGAACGGCCTCTCATCCGAAATCTAAGGAGAAGCAGGTCTGGACCTAGGTCAATTCAAATATGGAAAACAAGAGCAGACATCAGATAAAGGGCTGGAACGACGGGCAAGCCACGTGTAAGTGTAGGTAGGTATATACTAAGACAGGGACGATCAACGTATACGCACCCTAAGCGGCTGATTGAGCCTCTCACCGCGCGACAGCACGACGACGACCACCGACACGAAGCCCTCCTCTCCAGCGTCGCAAAGCGTGATGCCAGCAATTCATCAAGAATCGTCTGTCCGCGCGATCATTAAGCCAGATACTGCGGTCGGGGAGATAATTGAAGGGCGAGCAAGCTGACATGGATGCTAGTGAAGATGGGCTGAAATTGGAGGTTGCGCGAGCGAGACTGCAGAGGGTGCGCGGAATGGCAGAAAAAGCATGGTAGGTACATGAAAAGTACCGAGGTACCCTGCACCTTCCCAAACTCGATAACTAAGGCTGCTCAGGGTGACTGCCCTTCCAGTTGATCCTTGCCCGATACCTCCGTCCAAGTACCTCCAGCGGTACCTGTCGCGCCGCCCTTGCTAGAGGTACGGATTCGAAGTCGCGCGCTCGGCGGCGACTCGAGGCGGCAACGGCCGAACTTTGGTCCGTCGCTGATGAAAGATCGCGTCCATTCGACTACTAGAGGGGTGGGAAAGGTCGAGGTCATATCCGGCGAGTGCCCATCAGCAGCACACAATACACGGGACGTAACATAGAAGTGCCGGGTATACCTATATGAGTACGGCAGCGACGCAGTCAGCCATTCACTGCCCCGCGATGGGAGGCGACGAGTATTATCACGGGACGAGAGCCCTTCTCCTTTACTGGTATGAAGGCATCAAAGCGGCCGATATCCGGGCCAGGACCACGCTTTAGGCCCCGACCGACGGCAGAAGCGAGTCATGAACCATTAGACGTGGGGAAAAAACGAGTATATAGATAGCTGCATGTGTGTATATAGTAGGTAGGTAGCGTACCACCCATATTTATATACGACATACGATGACACGTTCTAAAGGGCAGGCAAGTCTGGCCGAACACGAAAGACGCAGAGACACAGATCGGCCAACGGCGCAAGTCGAGGCGCCGTCACGGACAGCTTCAGCCCATCCGCCCCGGTCTCCAGGTCGTACGGCCGGTTGCCCCGTGATCGATCATGCCTCCGGTGTGGTTCAAGACAAGAAAAGTCGAATGCAAATCAGAATGCAGCGCCCGACGAACTGGAAATATGAACTTCCATGTCTCCTAGATGTCGACGGACCAAACTAGTCGGACGGGGGCACGCGGAGAGTGTGTTAGGAAATCAACGAGAGAACGGGTGTTCTACTACGAACTGCCCGGTTTCAATCCATGGAGGGTGTGCTCCCAACTGAGGAATGCAACACGACTCGGCGCGCTTCTTGTTGCAGACGGCCATGGAGCCGTTGGCAAAGTTGAGGCCGCAAAGGCCCTTTGCGGGATGAAGTTGAAGGGGAGAAGTTGAAGTCGGTGGAAAACCTTGTCCGAAGGGCTTTAAGCTAAGGTGCATTTATGATCAACTGGGGACCGGTAGATTATGCATTAAGCACCGTGTATGTATATATCGGTCATATATGCATGTATCGGATCGCATCCCTGATAGGAGGATGAAGGCAGGTAGGTAACTTTACGAGAGTCTACAGATCAGCCCAACTAGTCCCCTGAACCTCACCCCAAAGCGGGTCACGGCTTCCTGAAGATTCTATTGGCTCTTTCCTACGACCGTACTCCACTAGTTGGTTGGGGTAAGATCCTTTTGATTACTTAAGCCTCTACCACCGCTACCACCGCCACCACTGCCACCACCGCCACCACTGCCACCACTACCACCACTACCAAGTCAACTGCACCACTACCGCCGCCACCACCACCACCACCACCGTTAATCTAATTATTTATTGGATGCTCCTAGGCCAACTTTTAATCACGAAAAAGAATAAATTAAGTACACGTTCGTACGGTGGTTAGAAAGGAGAATTTAGTGACCCTTGTACGAAAAGTTTGGGTGACAGGGATAAAGTTTGGTTGACAGGGAAAAAGCTCGGCAAAATCGCCTAATCCGGTTAGAGGTTGGGGTAAGGTACAGGGGACTAGTTGGGCTGATCTGAGACCTCCTTTACGAAGGATAGATGGAATGGTTTTGCTTCCGCCGCGCGCGCTGGCCCGGATCGCGAAAAGTCGTAAGTCCCTTCTCTCGCTTCTCTGTCCGTCAATACGTGCTTTGAAGATCCCGCAGCGGCCACAAGAGAGTGACACCTAGGTCGATTACCCAATACTACCCGCACACCTGCGTCGTAGGAGGAAGGGCTTATTACCTACCCCGTTGCATCAACGTACATACCTACCTACTTCCTCCCCCCTACCGCGTCATCGCCCAATAAATGGGATGGGGACTCTACAGGTGAATAGCAACTGGTCAGCCAGGCAGATAGACACCTGCTGGATGATACGTCTTAGGAATTAGGTACTAAGGTCAAGTTAAGATTCAACTCTTACAGGTAGGTACCTCCCCTACCTAGGAGGTAGGTACCTACCTAGGTGCTATCACCGCCGCAATACAATAATACGAGGCACCTATCAATCTAGCTAGGTGCATACATCATCTACTATTATCGTATCACAGGAAGGTATACACCGCTACACGCATATCGTACATTTGCATACCTACCTATAGGAGAAGAGAATTCGGACCCTGTCTTGTGTATGCGTGTATACATCGGATGCATCAGGTACATCTCTTCTTGATTCTTGGGATGGGTACGAGGCTTCCTGTAACTCGTCGCGTCAAGCAGCTGCCGTCCCTGCAACCTCCCTGCACCAGGTGATACAAGCCGGAACGTGGCATACACGGGGGCCAGTGTTCCAGCAAATCTAGATGTCTCGCAGCTGGCCCGCAGGTGACAGTAGATACCGATAACAGCCTTTACCTAACCGGGGTAGCTTACCAACTCAACGTCCTTCCAACGATTCCGCCCTCCATCGAATTCGACTCTCAACTCCATAACATCAATTATCTCGCCCCCTCTCCCTGCCCGCGAGAAGGTGCTATCTTGTTGTGTCGCGCCACCTTATCTCAACCCCCCCCGACCGTATGCCGCCCTACCCTCCGAACCGCACCGCGAGCTGGCCCGATACGCTCTCCATGTGAGCCTGCGAACGCCCTCCCGCCTTCTAACATGTTTGCGGTTCCCTCGACCTCCCCATTCGACTTTGCATCTCCCCGGAGCCGAAAGAAGCCCACCTATCGTTAGCTAGGACGAGTAGCTTCTTGAGAGAGAGAGCGAGCGAGATAGAGAGAGAGAAGACGAGGTTGGGTTGATCTGTCGGTGTTTTCTTTTCCCGCGCCTCTCTCTCTCGGAGTTGGCTAAAGATGCCTGGGCTCCCAGGTTTGTCTTCCTCCCCGCTCATCCGTGTCTGCGTAAGACGAGAATAAGACAATCAGGATTTCCATCGGCCGTAGCTGATGACTCCATCGTCTCCTAGCCTCGGTTGATCTAGATGAATGCATCTCCCGTTTGTACAAGAAGGAGCTCTTAGCCGAGTCGGTGATCGAGGCGATATGTGCCAAGACAAAGGAATTGCTCATGCGGGAGAGCAACGTGGTCCATGTTCGGGCCCCAGTCACCGTTGTGGGGGACATACATGGCCAGTTCTACGACTTGATAGAGATATTCAAAATTGGTGGCTGGTGCCCGGACACGAACTACCTCTTCCTCGGTAAGCGCACAGAGAACCCACACTATTATCGAGGTCATAAATACGAGGACCCAATCTTTCTAACTTCGGGTACGCTATTCCAGGCGACTATGTTGACCGTGGTATGTTCAGCGTGGAGACCATTTCTCTTCTCGTCTGTCTCAAACTCAGGTATCCCAACCGCGTGCACCTAATACGTGGCAACCACGAATCACGCGGCGTCACGCAGTCTTACGGGTTCTATACCGAATGCTCGCGAAAGTACGGCAATGCTAATGTCTGGCACTACTTCACGGACATGTTCGATTTTCTCACCCTCTCGGTCGTCATTAACGATCAGATTTTCTGCGTACACGGCGGCCTGTCTCCGTCAATCCACTCCATCGACCAGATCAAGATTATTGACCGGTTCCGAGAAATTCCTCACGAGGGTCCGATGGCGGATCTTGTGTGGTCGGACCCGGATCCGGAGAGAGACGAGTTCTCTCTATCACCGCGCGGCGCAGGCTACACATTTGGCGCCCGTGTGGTTAAAAAATTCTTATCGGTCAATAACATGAACCACATCTTGCGCGCGCACCAGCTCTGCCAGGAGGGCTTCCAGGTCCTCTACGACGACCGACTAAGCACGGTGTGGAGCGCACCAAATTACTGCTACCGATGTGGAAATATGGCTAGCGTGCTAGAGGTCAGCGACGCTGGAGAGAGATTTTTCAATGTGTTCGCGGCTGCCCCCGAAAATGATCAGCACAAGGAGATGCAGCAGCAGGGGGTGGAGAAGAGCGCTGATGGGAACTCGCTGCCGGATTATTTCTTATAAGGACACTAATGCTGGCAGGGCCAGACAAACATAGGCGTCCAAGACATACATGCCTACTACTGACATCATTTCGAGCATGTCTGTGAGATGTAGGAGTAAAGAGGGGGCCAACGTGGATAAAGGGGGAAACTTAGAAATACCCAGTGTTTTTTTTTTCTTTTTGGCTTTTTGGTATTTTGCGTGTGTATTAACTCATGCCTCTGATCCCCAGAGACATGAAAAGAAAGAATCATGCCATCTGTTGTGAGGAAAGCTCATAAGGTCTAGTAGAGGTGATGACGGCAAAGGTTGCCCTCTCCCAATTCTCCTGAAGTAGATCAACTACCTAGACTGAACCATCGGGGTCCTTTCTTACAAACAGGGCAATCCTGTTTACTTACAGGCCAATAACAGAATGAATTCATGATCGTCCGGGCAGATCCGCTGCCCATCCTTCATCATCGTCAAATCTAGAAAGTGTCTCTTTTTGCCTTTGTTTTCAGGAGGGTTTCCACGTTTACATCATTTCCCTTCTCGGTCGTGAAGCCAAACAAATCCAGCAGCAAGGGAACGGAAAGAGAGAAGGGAAGGAATTCCCCCTTGACCGTTGCAATTCCGGCCGCAAGCAGGACTCGCCGCATCACTTACCAGTCTTTGGTAATGTCGAAGCTCCACTCAAACTGCAGATGGGTCTTCTTGTCGTCGTCAACGAAGCTCGACACAGCATTATAGTGGCCTCGGGCCAGCATGCCAGACGGAGCCTCTTCTTCCTGGACTGCGGATGCCGTCAATAAGAGAAAGAACAAAAACAATACCTTTCTGGGATTCGAGTAGTTGGGAGGAGGGGGGGGGGGGGGGGGGAGAAAAAAAACACTTACAGCGCTTGGAGTACAAAGGCTGCTTGTCGGTGTTGGGAGCGTAGCTGCCCTGTAGCGTATATGTCAGTCCAATAATACTCAAGTCCAGGGCCGTGGGACTAGATCGGTAGGATATGGGCGAGGGAATACGATGTTACTACTTACCAACATCTCCGAGTCCTTGCTAACCTTGATTCCCTTGCGTTTGACGACCTGGACATACTGGAGGCCGCTAAGGATCTCGTGCTGGACCTTGAAGCTGGCAACCATAGTGAACTTGCTGCCCTCCTTGATCTTGAAGGGGTGGTCCTTGAGCGTGCTCTCGCTGCCCGGGGCGGAAAGGTCGATGGTGACCGGGGGGCGGCCGGGGGAGTCCATGGTCAGGGAATTGATGATGCAGACACGGGGGTCGTTGGGGTCGGAGAGGTCCACGCCGCCACCAAGACCGAGGGACTGCTTGTAGCGTTGAAGAGACTCGTCGCCCGCATCTGTAAACATGTTCTTGTTAGAGGCTTTCTTAGTAACCTTGAATTGAGAGATGACAGTTTTGTCACTCCGCGCACCCGCGGTAGAAGAAGATGAAATAGTGCGAGATGAGTTTGCTAGAGCACCAGTGACCTTAACCTCCTGCTTCACAAGCATGGGCGTATCAGGTAGCCCCCGGCACGTCATGTAGGGGTCGAGACCGTTGCTCAAATATGACATGGAATTGGGCCGGCGATGCGGGCCCATCGTGACCTTCTTATTCTTGAGCCAGTTCCCAAAATTCCTACGCAGCTGCGGAAGCTTCTGAAGACGAGTTTCAGTTCCACCAGCAGTGATGGTGGTGATGGTGCCGAGCCTGGGGTAGTTCCTCAGACACTCCTCTGGGGTTTGTTTGGTCTTCGCGGGGGTGTCAGGGCTGGGGAAATGAGCGGAGGGAGTCCGGTAAAGAAGAGGGGGGATGTAGTGGTCCTCGGAGTATCGACCAGGAGGTGGCTGAAGCTGTTTACGATAGGCACTGTCGAGATGCGGTGTGGAGGCTGTATGATGGATGATTCCACCTGGCCGATGACAGGAGCGAGGTGTGGATGGCTGGTGAGGAGGCTGCTCATCCATATTGAAGTGACAGAGGTCGATATGTAAGTAGGTATGGCATCACTCCTTGGTGAGGGAAGCTGGTCTCCCGGGAGCGGCAGAGAGGAGCTCAAGAGGTGAGAGCCAGAGTAGGTTGGTTGTTTGGTCCCGTCGTGCACCCGGTGACAAGAATTGCTTGACGTGTGCCGGACTGTGCTGTTCTCTTCATAGGCCCAAATCTTGTCGTGTCGATACCATCCATATCTCCCGTGCGGCTGGATTCACCACTTCTATTCACCAGGTAACCCATTTGTGAAGGTAAATGGTACGTTGAGCCTCATCGCTATCCCCCCTTTTCCTACACGTCCAAGTCCCTCCAGTCCTTGCCATTGTTTGGGGAGGTATCGCCGAGTATGTAGGTAGTGTGCATGAGGCAGCAGCACATCATGAGGTCTCCATCCAAATAAGGTCAAAGTGCTATTGGATAGATAGATATAAAAAGCTTGCCATACTCACCCATATTCTGATACTCAGCCAAGGTCTGCTTGGGCGCTGAGAGCTTGTAGCCCTGAGTCTCCTCGGGCAGGTGATCGTTCTCGTCATGGGAAGCCATCTTGAAGGAGAGTATGAGAAGGAGCGGGGGGGGGGGGGGGGGGGATAACAAGGAGAATGAGAGGTGAAGATGAAGATGGAACAATACTACTGTTTATATTGTTTACAACAGGAGTCGAAGCAAATAATGGGTGGTGGTGCTGTGGTGTAGTAAAATACCGGTAGGAGGGGTCAGGGAGACTGGACTGGCGGTGATGGTTTTGTACCTGACGGAGGTGTACCTAGTTAGCCCAGCGATCCACACTGGAGCGGTACCTAAGGCTTGGGTACCGTAGTGTGTGCTTCCCAGGGTTCTACCGGTATCCATCTGATAACAAAGAGTGAGATGAGTAGGGTACGGATATCTGCATCAGGGTACCCTCCTGCCCTCAGCTCTCGGGGCTATATGTACTTAGGAGATAGGTAGATAGGTACTGAGTTGGTGGGGTGTACATGTGTGCTACATACCTGAGGTCATTAGGAGCCAAGGCACCTGCAGTACCCGAGTGTGGAATTCTACTTGGTATGGGGGAGGCTTCGATGGGGGCCGTCTTTGGTGGCTTGCTGGCAGCCAGGAGCAGCTTTCGTCCTGGGGGAGTGCACCTGATCCTTGCGCTCCAAACTAAACCGCTCGGCCTGTTAGCAGATACCGCATAGCCCCGCACAAAATACATAAAAACACATGGCATTTCTCCTATGCATATGTGCCTTATCTATGTATCTGAATAGGTACCTACCTATCTGAGATACGAACGTATTACTTACCTACGTAGCACCTGTTATATGCTGTGAGATACGGTAACCTGGCCGTAGTCCGGTCACGCGGTCGGTGTGCCACCCGCCAACGACTGCCCTATGTACCACCTTCATAATCCGTACGCGCCTCTCATGCAACCTCTATCCTCCTAAAGTGGTACCTTGGGGGTAACATTGCACATGTATCTTGTCAGCTGCATGCCCTTTGTCAACGCATACGATACGTGCATGTATGCATATTCCTATATCTTATTAGACAGTATGCAAAACAGTACCTCGGTATTCATTTAGGGAAAACATTCCGTATAGGAGCCGTCTCGCGCATCAAGTGTTCTGGGTTCACGAATAATGGAGCCCTTGAATTTGGTGCCTTGGGCACCTAGAAGTCAGACTTAAACTCGCGGTGGTATTGACCCAAGGTGACGACACTGCTATGCGCGTATGTACAAGCACATAATAGTGTTAAAGGGAGTACTACGCTGTGAGAAGGCACTTGCGGCGCTGTATTCGCATACCCAACAGTGGATACCTCTAAAAACTAAATTGTACCTACCTACCTCCTACGCCTAATGTATGTACATACCTACCTACCTACGTACATACCTCTCATAGATACAAGGCCTGTAACCTTGGAGACCAGTGAGACCTGTTAACTTATACCAGCGTCATCTGTGCAGCAGTATGAGGTACCCCTCAAGATGGTAAATATTGCGTTAATAATGTGTACTTGATACATCTTACCCACATCCCGTTCCTGAAATGGTGATGGTCCGAGCTTGACTTGAAAGGCGCTAGTCCTAATTGGGGTGTTAACGTTCCCCCCTGCTGGAGCTTGGTGTTTCTATTGGACCAATACCTCGTAGAAATTGGTTACCCCTAAACCCGGAACGGAAACCCTCCAATTCCTAATTCGCAGGCGTTAGGTAGTTAGTCCAGGACAAATCATTAATGCTGACAGAGATACTTCTCTGACAGGCAGCGTGCGCGACTCGAAAACCCCCAGCTTTCTCCCCTTCTCTCGCTACCCTCCCTCTTCCTGACCTTACCCTTTTCCCTGAGCCGCCTTAGCTACGAGAAAAAAAAGAGCGAGAAGGGGAGAGGACGTTTTTTCCCGCGCAGGGTGTCAGTTCGTATTATCATTGCCGACTCCCTCTCTCGAACTTGGCTCCGAAGAAAAAAAAAAAGAAATAAATAATAAATTACTTCATCTCTCTGCTTCGATTTTCGCCCGAAGCTCCTGATCATCATACTAGCCTTGCTTTTGTTATAGTCATCTCCCTCTTCCTCCACTATTTCTCGTCAGGTCCCCATAACGTGAGTGAGATCCGTCCCGGCGACCCGACCAGTCGAGAGTGCCCCAGGCTCGCGCTTCTATGGCGACCCGCGACATCACATCGCATCGCATCGCATCTCGGCGCGACTCCATAGCAAGCAGTTGCTAACCTGGCGACCAGCCTCAGTTCTCCTGCGTTACTTTAATTCTCTCACGTTGGTCGCTTACCATCGCATCGAGCAACCTCGACAATTAGACCGCAGCATTTCGTCCAGTCGCACTTTCGACACCAAAATCGTCGCCCAAGATGGCCGTCCTTAGGCACCTACCCAGCAAGCACAACCCTCTCATGATTGACGATATCCCTCCCTGTACGTCAGCGGTACCCCTGGTCACCGTCGACATGCGTCGCTTACTCCGTCTGCAGATAATGAGCTCGTGTCGCGTCGCCGTCTCGGCCAGACCCAATTGACCGCGAAGATGGTCGCGGCGGGCGCCGCCGGGGATATCGACCCTTCTAGCCTAGGAGTTTTTGATTACGCGCACCTACGGGCTCCTCTACCGAAAGGTATCAACTCGGGCATCTTCAAGTCTTCGCCAAACTCGTACTTCCTCATGCGTCGCAGTCAGGATGGGTTCGTCTCTGCCACCGGCATGTTTAAAGCGACCTTCCCTTATGCTGAGGCGGCGGAGGAAGAAATGGAGCGCAAGTATATCAAGTCATTGCCCACAACGAGCCACGAAGAGACTGCTGGCAACGTTTGGATCTCCCCGGAGCAGGCTTTGGTTCTGGCTGAGGAGTACCGCATCACTACCTGGATTCGCGCGCTCCTCGACTCGGCCGACATAGCCATCACCAACAATTCGGAAAACCCGCCCAAGAGAATTGCCGCTCCGCCGAAATTTGAGACTTCCCTGCCGACACAGCCTGTTCTCGCGCCGCCGACTCCCTCATCGCTCCCGCGTAGCACACGAGCCCGCCGCTCGGCCAGTCCTGCGAAGAAACGAGCTATCGCGTCTCCACGAAAACGGTCGACGAAAGTACCCGCATCCCAATTCTCCCCCACAGAAGTCCCATCTCTGAAAGAAGAAACGGAGTCTATGGCAAATGGCTTTAAGACCGACGAAGATGCTGCGTCTACGGCTGCTACCGAGGAGATACCAACCAAGACTGTCGAGAAGGAGGCCCTAGGGGTCTTTGCGTCGACCGAGGAAGAACCTGAGGTACAAATCAGGGTTGGCCAGGAGGTCGAGTTCCACGGCGACGTCGCGACGACACAAAACACCGTTGAGGCGGAACTTGCTTACAGCGAGCTACCTAATTCTGAGGACACCGCTCGGATGATCGAGGAGGCGGAAGAGATGGTGAGGAATGTTGCCGCTGAGACTTCCGCCCCGTCGTCGTCGAGCAAGAAAGGCAAGCGGAAGGCGGATGATATCGCGGGTAATGAAGAGGAGGAAGGCAAAGAGAAGGCTGACGAGGTTCCGGAGGAGCCACGGTCAAAGAAAGCCAAGACAGAAAAGACAGAGGTACAATTGAGAAAGGAGCGTGTCAGAAACCGGGCATTGGTTGGTCTCAGCGCGACACTCGCAGTTGGGTAAGTTATTCCAGTCCCGTAAGTTGCTGTGCCACGAGCTAATTATCTCCGCCAGCGCTCTGATCCCATACGTTATGGGCGTGTTTTAGGCCATAAACGGCCTAGTTGCCTGTATCGTCGCTGTTCAGTGTTTTTGATTTGGTTTTTTCTTCTCGGTTAGCTAGTATTTATCACTCTGCTCGACCATTTGTGACGAGTCTAGGTGGTATCGATGGGTTTTGCGCTCGCTCGGAGAGGGGAAGCTGGGTCGCTCGTCTATTACTTTTGCACATACCCCAACTGCTGGTCGGAGTCAGCAGTTCCGACTCGGACTTCTCGGAGCCGTACGAAAGAACGGCTCATACATACGCTCCCCTTAGGTGTCCGGGAGCACTTCGGTCTACCGGTCCCTAGAGGCTCATAATGAAAAAGAGACAATTCACTCGTTGATCAGTCTTATAGTCCCGCAAAGCTCTACCCATGGCAAATGCTAGACTACCGGGTAGAATTGTCTACTTTATTTTGTATCCGAGGAACACGAGCCATGAGAGAAACAGGGATTGGTTCGAGACCTGTCAAGTGCGAGTGGCCTAACCTGTTTAATACAACAGGACATATATGTACTACTAGCCAAGTTAGTCACGGGTCAACCATCAGAAGGGGAAGATTCCACAATCCCCAGGGCGGCTAGAAATAGGGTTGGAGTCGGTGTATAATTTTTAGGTATGGAATTGGAGTCTAGGATATGATTAATGGCGCCTTTGGTTTCTGACACAGAGGGCGATTACATTATCCCCTCGATGCGCGGCGGGTGAGGGAGTATCTCGGCCGTCCTTCCTTAATTGTATGTTGTATGATCTGCCACAACATGCTTCCTGGTGTTTCCCATCGTACCTCATTCTGTCGTAAAACTATCCATATATGTGTGTCTGTATGTATATATGCCACTGTTGCGCAAAACGTAGACGTTTACATTCTGCGGCTTATAGATGGATAAGGTCTCGTGTAGTATAATTGTTCTTCGGGTAGGATTAGGTGTTTCGGATCGAGGACGGCTCCGCGCATACGCCATGCAGCGGAGAAAAATAATAAAGATATAATTTATCTCTACCACTATGAGTGAAAGCTTAGGGAGCGCCATCAACGATCAAGTTGGCATCAGGGTCATCGTTTGGTTTTGGCCGAAGAAAAGCCGACAGGAATAAAACAAGCTCAAGATAAACGAAAGGAGGAAAAATATCGCGGTCGGCAGTGGTCCAAGCGTCGAGAGATACCAAATGGACTAGGGACAGTTAAAAAAAAGCTCTGCCAGCTTCCGCCTGATCATTTCATTCCTCCTTCCACATCATCTCTAGTCGAGCTTGCGCAGAAGCAACAGGAAGTCAGGCAGTCATCTCGCCGATCGAAAATCCCCCATTCTCATGGCTGGATATAACTAGCATACATATCTCTAGAGATCTTGGGCGGAACTAATTCAGTGAATCCGAATCCCTGCCTCTGTGCTTGCCTCCCGCCGCAATGCCTCTAAACGACCCAAGTTGGATCACCTTCGAGATCGACGCCGAATATGTGTCGGAGCAAGCAAGTGGGTTCGTTTGAGAGACAGCCTCAGGGCTAGTTGGGAGAGAAAAAAGAGAGGCAGGCAAGGAAAACCGGGCGAGGTAAGGGAAGATGGGGGACCAGCTTAGCGGCGGTAACAGTCGGTCTTACTCGACTCGATCCCTCGGATAATCCTCAGTACCCCGCGACTCCGCGACTCCATGCCGCGCGCCGTTTTGAAGAGACTTGGGGAAATCTCCAATTGGCCCTGGACCTACTCACACTCACTCCTCGCCCACCATATCCTTTTGGCTGCAAACCGCCGCCAGTTGCTCCCGTTCGCGCTTCGATCCCTCCTATAACGCATGTCCATTCGCATACAATGCCGTCCGTCACGAGGAGCACCCATTTGGTCGCACGCAACCTTTGTTGGCCTCGCAGACGAGCCTTCTCGACAACGCCGAAGCGGCTGGAGAGCTATGGCTTCATCGGTCTAGGACAGATGGTAATGCACACCCCAACCCCTAACCCCTAACCACCCGCCGCGCGTCGTGCTACCCGACTATGTATAACCTCCGGCTTCAGACTAACGGACGCGAGACATTCAGGGCTACCAAATGGCCAAAAATCTTCAGTCGAAGCTATCGCCGAGCGATTCGGTCAGATTATTTGACATCAATGGCGAGTCGGTGAGGCGCCTCGCCCAAGAGGTTCGAGCATCTAAAACCGGTGGTGCCGCTGTCGGGGTCGCTCACGACGTGGAGGACGCTGCAAAAGAAGCAGTACGTTCTTGCCGCCCCTCCTGCCTCTCTTACTTCTCTTGTCCCGTATGATGAGTCTGTTCTATCTATGATCTAAGTTGGGGTCGGTTCACCGGCCTTGCCGTGATTAACACTTCATTTTAAAGCCAATCCTCTGAAGACATCACCCACTATTCTCTTTGATCGACTTTGCCGTGTGCTGAGCGTCCGAAGCTAACCGAGTGCCGGTAGGATATCGTGATCACGGTGTTGCCCGAACCCGCACACGTGAAGGCTGTGTTCAGCCAAATATTATCTCCGGACCTGCCTAAGAAGAACAGAGTGTTCATCGACTGCTCTACCATTGACCCTTCGTCATCGCAAGAGGTTGCAGGTTTGGTTCGAGATGCGAAGCAAGGCCAATTCGTGGACGCTCCGATGTCGGGCGGCGTCGTAGGTGCAACTGCAGGCACGTTAACCTTCATGTTGGGAGCCCCTGATCCCGTGGTGCCAAAAGTAGAGCCGATCCTGCTACGGATGGGCAGACGAGTGTTGCATTGCGGCGCCCAGGGCAATGGACTCACCGCAAAGCTGGCTAATAACTACCTGTTGGCCATCAATAACATCGCCACAGCCGAAGCGATGAACCTGGGCATCCGCAGGGGCCTCGACCCCAAGGTTCTCGCAAGTGTCATCAACGTGAGTACTGGCAAGTGCTGGCCCAGCGAGGTAAATAATCCTGTGAAAGGGGTTGTCGAGGGGGCGCCGGCCAGCCGCGATTACGCCGGCGGGTTCGGGATCAGCCTGATGGCCAAGGACCTGAGGCTCGCCATCGTGGCCGCACACGAAGCCAAGGCTAAGCTGGCACTCGGTAGTAGGGCCAATGAGGTGTACGAGGCGGCGGAGAAGGCAGAGCTGTGTAAAGGAAGAGACTTCTCTGTCGTGTATAGGTTCCTCGGCGGTGAGGAATAAAAGCTCACACCAAGAACAACGCCACCCGATCTCATTTCAAACCTGCGTGGCAAAGTGTTGAGCCGCCCCGTACTTCGCTATAGCGCACACCCGCCGCTCCTTGACTATCCGTAGGGGTTAGCCGTCTGTGCGTCGAGGTGCCAGCGTAGAAACAAACGGCCGCGTTACTCGCCACTACAGTTTAAAATAAAAAGAAAGAATCCCCTAGCACAAGAGGTTGAGCAATATATCCTTATTCACATCTATGTAAGCGTAGAGTACCGATACAGGCAACCCGCTCGCGGTTCACAATCGGAAGGATCTATCAACACATGCGTGAGGGACCCTGGCCGAACTAAATGTGTCTATGGGTATCCCTATACGTGTATGTTGCACCTTAGCTGGGTCGTCTCATCTCACTTTCCGGCATCTGGGTCGCGGGATTCTAGCTAGGAGAGCGGGTTTACAGCCAACGCCGACTTACACGGGACGGATTCGGTAGAACTTGAAGAAGGGAAAAAAACAAAATGAGATAAATCAGAACGAGACCTCGGATTCCTTCCCAGGCCACGGTGTCTCGCTTCTCTCCCTCGCTGGCTCCTTAATAATTACACCCACGATGCGCTCTCTCTCTCGCTTGCGTACGCGGGGACGTCTGCCCATTCTGCGTCTCCCTCCGATGATAAATTATCTCCCTTTTTGGCACGTAAGCGTGCGATACTCGCCTGAGGACGATAGCTGTCTGGGTGTCCGTAGTTATAAGCGGAGAGCCTATACCGGCCATGTGGCACGACCGGTGGCATCGTCGATATACGCGAATACGATCGAAGCTCATTTTTTTTCCGTCTTTTTCATTCCCCTCGTCCCCCCTCTGTCCCCTTCCGCCCCCAGCTCGGCGAACGTGGTATGATCACACCACTAATGCACCGAGACTCGCCGACTAATTACGATCCTGCTGCTACTGCCATTCTCGGTCTTTTCGAGGGTTTCCTTGTATCCCATCAGACCGTGCACGTTAGATGCCCATTCCCACTCGCTTTCATCACCGAATAGTTGCCACATGCCTAACCGTTCCGTCTCCTCCTGAAAGCGTTTTTGCTCACCCGCGCTGAGCTCACAATCCGATGCCATTCGTGGAAATTAACCCGGCATCCCTCCTTCTCGCCATTATCGGGATAGCCGGGCACGCCTCATGCTACTAGCAGCGGCAACACCCAACTCTGCATGCTCCGCCTTCCGAGCGTTACGAACCCCCCGGAACTCGGATAGCAAAATAGACAGACTACACGCATACTTATATACTTATACAAAAAACCGGGACCGCCGGACTGAGAGGGACCATAATGGCCCGGAAAGAGAAGAGAAGAGAAGAGAAGTAGAAATGTCAACCAACACCACCACGGGAGGAGAGCCGCCCGACCCCGGCTTCCGACTCTGCGTCCAGGTCGGCCCGGTGTGTCCCGTCGAAGCCACCGTGTTCAGCTCCGACCCGAATCTCGGCATCGACGCCTTTTTCGCCGCCGCTTCCGCCCTGTATCTAGTCGGCCTTGTCGTTACCGGCATTTGGAAGCGCGCCTAAGGCTACCCGAGCGCGCTCACCGGTGAGTTTACTGTTTTCTTTCCTGGCTTCTCCCCCCCCACCCCCCTTTTCCTTTTGTCCTGAGACATTTCATCCATATTTGTACATCTTTTCTTTCCGCTTCGAGGGAACAGAAAGAGAGACTGGCAGGAAGACCTTCGCTTCGGCACCTTCCGCTACGTTGTCACCGGCGCGTATACGGGCACTCTGATCTGCTGCACCTACCGGGGAGCTGTTATCCCCTCTCTGCCCCTCGCCAGGAAAAAAAAAAAGCAGAGGAGAAAAGGAGAGAGAGCCTCGGAGCGAGACACCGGGAGGCACGCTAACTAGGCATCCTCCCCCCCCCCCCCCCCCCCCCCCCCCAGAAAAAAAAATCGTCGAGATGTCCGGCGGCTGGGGCGGCTCCATCATACAAGACGAGCCGTCAGTCATCGCGCTCGAGGGACGATTGTACATCCTCCCATTCCTCTCCCCGCGACGCCAAGCATTACCCCTTAACCGACCGCTCTCGTGGCCCCGGGAAGCTGGGGCGCGTAGGCCGGGCGCGTGTCTCCCGAGGCGCGCTATAGCTGAGCGACGGGCTCATCCCCGGCCGTGGTGCGGAGCAGTTAGTGTGCCTTGGGCACAGCTGCATGCTAGACTTCCTATCGTTTATGGCCATCCAGAGGAGCTTGTGGTTCCCCCCCTTTTTTTGGTAGGTACCGTTTTATTCCCGTTCTTACGCGTAATATCTCTCTGCTAGGTTAGCTTGAGGATGTATTACATATGTAGTGCGCGTGGGTGTAGGGTGCAGTCCTTGCGCCTATCATATAGACACTTGCAAGTTTTGAGGATAAATATCTAGATGGGTAGACTAGAGACCGCATAGAAGCCAGTATGCTCAGGACATGCCGCCAACACGGTCGTAGGCATCTATCGATAGCCTGCCTGCGCCTGTATCTCCTTACCCCTAAAATCGCTCCCGGAATCCATGCTCATGCCATCAGAATTCGCTTCTAAACACCCAGCGCCTGCATCGGTAGGTTGCGTTGCTTGGATGGATATGGGCCGCGGCGGCATTTCTATAGTATTAAAAGCAACGGGTCGCGGACGCCCTAACTAGTCCTCCCTTCATGTAAGATCGTGTATGTAGAAACTTTTTTTGTTCCTATGCGTGCGCGTATACGTCTGCCCGTCTCCACGCACCCTAGTCTAATGCAGTATGCAGAAATGCTACGGTGGAAAGGACCTCAGACCCTAGCCGTTCAGGAACCCTTCTAATTCAGCGTTGGCATCATCTGTCTCATACTCGCTCGACTCCTCCTCTTCCTCTTCTCCGCTCTCTTCTTCTTCTCCATCTTCTGCCTCCTCTTCAGCACTCACTGCCTCCTCCTCCTCCTCCTCATCCTCCTCCTCTTCTTCTTCCTCCTCGTCCTCGGCGAGCCAGTCGTCTAGCGTTTTGGCGCCTGTCCCTGCTGACGTCGAGAGCCCGTTGCTCCTGCCTTGTGCGCCCCCCGCGGCGCCGCCGGCCAGTGCCCGTGCTGCCGGTATTGCCGTCTTCGCTCCGTCGAACTCGCTTCCGACCCCATCTGGACCCCGGAGTTTGGGGTTCGGTTGTCTGCCCTCTTCAACCCAGTCCGGCAGGGATTCGTATCCGCGGAGGCCATGCACGCCTCCCCCACCGGCAAGAACCAATGTAGATGACCCTAGCATAAACCCCTTTCTCATTTCCGACGGACTGGGCGTTTGGGGCGCGGGTTTGGGTGCGAGAAGCATAAGAGTGGCCAGCTGCGGGACGCTGAGAAGGGCCTTGTATAAGCGCATGCGATCTCGTAAATCGTAAGACGTGTCGTAGCGGACGAGGAGCAGAGCGTAGTTCCATAATCGAGCTACAGGGTGTTCCTCCGGACCGGGAGGGGGCTGATCTTGGTTTTCCTCTTCCTTTTCCTTTTGTGCTTCGGTCGTCCTATTAACGTGATGTAAATAGACTTTGGAGGCAAGGAGGACAATTTGCCGCTTGACAATCTCCGACTCGTCCACGAATCCCTTGAGCAGTATGCGGAGCACATCGGCTGCTATATTGTCTTCGCCGTTGAGACCTGAAAATTCGCCCACAAGCCAAACTATGGTTGCGCGGGCCTGCGGATCGGTCGCAGAATCGAGATTTTTTGCTAGGCGTACCACGGTTCCCACATGGGCTTGAGGGTCCTGTTGGATGAGATGGCGAATGACCGTTAGGGACTCGGCCGCGAGGGTACCATCGAGACTTGTTATTTGCCCCAGTAGCAATCGCATACATCGGGGTGCCGTGGTCGGATCCGCCTGTGCGCAGCGACCGATGGCCCGTACTGCTTCGCGAACAAGCGATTTGTTCGTTCCGCGAGAGAAGTGCTCGAGTTCGTTAAGGATAAGGCTCTTCGTATGCAAGGGGCTGTAGGGAAATATTAATGTGAGCACCTCGAGCTTTAATTCCCACACTGGCGCCGGGTCGGTCGCGCGTACGAGGAAGTGGGAGGCGTATTTGACGAATGACGCCGGGTGTACGAGACAAACAGATACTATATTGTAGAGCGCAACCTGCTGGATGTCCTGCGCCCCTCTTAGGAGCGCCATCAACGGCCCTACCGCAGCTTTCGTATACTCTGGAGTGCCGATATCCGCGTAGCAGCGCGCCACGGCCACTACGACTCCCGAGTTCCTGCTCTGGAGAAGCGGTTTTATGCCGTTGAGCAGGAGGATGAGATCCGGGTCAAGGACAGTGATCTGCTCCTCGTCCGAAGCCGATTCCGACGGGCCCTCTCCATAGGAGTCTTGGAGGCCAGTCGGGCTATGCTTTGATTTACCGCTCTTCGTTCGTCGGGGGAAGCTTTTTCGCGCATAAAGAGTCATCATCCTTAGCATTGCAAGCTGGCTCCATTCGTCCATGTCCACCACCTTTTTAACAAGGCCCCGGTAGTGCTTGTGGATGAGGTCGATCCTCTCGGGGCATATTTCCATGAAGGCACTAACCGCCGCCCCTGCCACAAAGTACTGATTATCGCCCAGAAGCGTCGTTAGGTATTCTATCAATTGTGGCAGCGTGCTCGGTTCTAGGCGGTAGCATTTCGGTATGGCGAGTGCGGCAGCCTTGCGCACGTGAGGAGACATGTCGGCAACGCCCTTCTTGATAGCCAGCGAGACGATCTGGCTGATCACGGGCACCCGGATGCCGGACATGGTGCGCAGAGCAAGGGCCCGAACTTGGGGGTTCGCATCGGACAAAGATTTCTGGATCGTATTGATGGATAACAAGGCCATGTCAGGCTCCTGCTCGGCATGATGTATCAGATATATATATACGAGCTTCTTGATCTCGAGGTTCGGCGATGCGACGTTCTTGACAATAGAGGAGAAGAAGGGTAGGGTTTTCTGCTGGCGGTACATCAACTGATCAGGTGAGAATCGGTTAGCCGGCGCGCAGAGAGGGAGAGACGCACAGAGAAAGAGGGAGAGAGAGAAGGGGCCGAGGGGCAAGGCATTTGTAAACGCGCACAGAGATGATACGACGAAGCCCGTCGAGAACGTCGCGGTCGTTGCGGCTATCCAGGAGCTTCTTAAGTTGGGCGGTAGGCAAGGATCGCGTAGTGCTGCGAGAGCTTCGGGCCGCTTGGGCGGCGTCGAGGGTAAGCTCTCGAGCTACCGGGACGCGAGTCGGTAAGTATAGGTAACCATGGCAAAATTCTCACGGCGTGTGCATTTTTCTTACCGCTTTCGAGCAGATTCGATATCCGAGATATAGACTCCATGGCACCGAGAGGGGCGCGCAGCTAGCTCGCGAGCTGCTGGCGGTCGCGTGTGGGGTGTTGTGTGTGCTGGCGAAGAGGTTAGGGGGCGTGACGTCGGGGATAGTGCGAGAGAGTTGGGGTTGATGAAACTAGCCCGTCGGCTCAGTGATGAGTAAGCGCAGTTCAGTGCCCAGCCACCGTAAGTGCATACTAGGTACGTGCTGGGTGGCTGTCCGTACGGTTGACGTCGGCGGGCTTGCATTGGGTCGAGTTCTGGGTGGGGCTGCCGGTTCAGCAGCTTCCCATTCCCGCCCCAGTCCTTTGGCGGGGGGCGGATGGCCGGCCTAGGCCCCGCACATCGGGCGGGAACCTGAGGAGGGAGTATCTGCAGGAAATCTGCAAGGGGTGCCGTACCGCGCCATGCCTCACCGTCCATCGGTTAGTTTACGCACAGGGAGGTACCTGATCGATCACGGGTCTCATGATCACAATTATGCATAATCGTGAATACCTGTTGATTATTATTATACACCTATTTATAATATTTATGTCCTTACCAACCATAGAAGCTTACCCACCACCCGTCAACGTCTCTCCCAAGAAGCAACACGCCGGTCCATGTCCTCAGCGCCGTTCATCTTCCTCTCCCCGGCACTGCCCGCCGAGCTCCTCACTTACATCCTGAGCTACCACACGTATCCTACTACGCTGATCGTATGCGCCTCCCGGTCGGACTTCCTAGCGTCCCTTGCCGATGAGGCCCGGCGCGAGGTCGAAGCCGGGGTGCCTTCGCCCCCAGCCGCCGGCGGTGTAGACCCGCAGCAGGTGCCGGAGGAGGCTACCGACAGCCGGACGGAGCAGCGCCTCGGACGACACCGCCTCGCGTCCGCCCCGCTGCATCAGGTCGCCACGTCGCGGCACCTTCGCGTCGCCTTCGTCCCCACCGTGACGCACCTGCGCGCCTACCTCGCCGTCTTCTCGCCCGACGCCTCCAAGGTCCCGCCGCCTCCGTCCGCGCCCCAGGAGCAGCCGCGGCAGCTCCCTGGGAGATGGCCCGCGCCGCCGCGCCTTGTCCTGTACGGCTTCCTCGCCCTGCACCACGACACGAGCGAGTGGAGCGCACAGGGCCTGGCCGACTCCGCAGCCGTCGCCGTCGAGCTTGGCCATCGCATGTCCTGGAAAGTCGTCCTCGTCGAGCCCCGGCGCCCCGCCACCGCCCCCGCCCCCGCGTTCGAGGACGTGCTCCGGGAGGCCGTTCCCATCCTCGGCGGCGGTGGCCGTCGCGCCGGCCTCGGCTCCGAAGAGGGTCGCTGGGCCGGTCGCACCGTAGAGGTCGGCAGGGTCATGAAGCGGTGGTTCCGCTTCCAGCGCGGGCCGTGGGATGACGAACCAAAGAAGGAGGAGTAAACAATGAAAGAATGAGTGCATCGAGGCGTGGGGTGAAATTAAGAAACTCGGTCCCAAACGGTGGGGTTTTGCAGTAAAATGATGGGTAGAATGACATGTGTGGGTGTATCTCTTCCCAGTGCCGAAAACAACCGCCATAATCGACAGCGAAGTCAGTCTATCTACATCCCGGCCCGCTCTCGGCCAGTGCAGTCCTCAAACGCCCGAGCGCCCGCCGTGGTATCCTTTCCGCATCCCATCGTTTTGCACATAATGAGCAGGTACGGAGTAGTGGTGTTAGATGGCCTGCTCCATCTCCGTGATGTATAATTTGATATGCGACTCCATCTTGAGATACTCGTCGTACGCGCTGTGAACCTCGTTCTCAATGTTCTCTTTAAGATCCAGCATCTGTCCCGCACCCTTCCTGTTAGCAGATCTGTCCATTGCGATAGCCTGAGACGTCGGCTGGCTAGCCGGTTGGGATGTGAGAAGGCACGTACCTTTTTCTCCGTCTGCTCTATGCGAACTCTACGTCTCTCAATTTCGGTGCCCTTTGCCGCACGCTCTTCTGTGAGTTTCTTGTGTAGCGCCCGGAGCTCCTCCATCTTTTCCTTAGCCTCCTGGGCCTTCTCCCGGCTCTGGTCGCGCAGCTTCTCCGTGCGCTCGTTCCATTTGCTCAGCTGCCTCTGTAGCAGCGCCTCCGTCCTTTCCACCTCGCGGACGTTGTTCCCACGTTCCGACAGAGCATCCCGCTGCTTCGCGATCCTAGCGCTCTCCTCCTCCTCCTTAGATAACTCAGTCGAGATCTCGTCCAGTAGCTTGATGCACGATGCGACGTCCGTCGATACGACGCCAAACGAGTCGGTCGATGTCTGGAGCGCTCTGGCCCGACGGTCGAGGGAATCGATGTGCATCTTATCTGTGTTGAGAGTATTGCTCAATTCCGCGAGGCTTGTCTGCAGCGCTTGGGGGCTCTGCAGGGTGTACGGGCGGAGCTTGGCGCTCTCCTGCTTGAGCAGCATCTTCTCGGTCGTTTTCTGCTCGAGCCTCTGCGCCAGTTCCCCCTTCTTTGCCTTGGCTTCCTCTAGCCGGACGGCGACCTTCTCCTGGTTCCGACGTAGCTCCAGCAGTGTCTTCTTCAGCTCCTCGTTGCGCTCTGTCTTCTCGCGCACCTGAGCTTCCATCGCCTTCCGGTTGTGCCGCATCTCATCTAGCCTGGCTTCCATGTCCTGGTTCTCTCCGTACAGCGTCTCGATCCGCGTCTTGGTCTGCTCTGCCTTGTTAAAGTGCTCGTCGATGACATTTGTTTGGCTCTCGCGGAATCGGACGAAGTTGATGAGGTAGCTGAAGATTTTGACGAGCCGCGGGTGCGTCGGCTTGTACAGGTCACTAAAACTGAAGTCGGTGATGCCGCACTCGAGCAATAGCCTGCGTAGGGATACGTAGAAGCCCATGAGGTTGCGCGTGTCGGGGGGCACGATGTCGATGAACTCGCCGCACACGTCCTCGGCGGCGGCGCGCATAGCGGGTTCGACGGTCTCGCGGGTCGCATTGAGCAGGAGCTCGGCGAACCACTCGAAGATCATCTGCACCTGGAGGGGGTTGGGTTTCTGCAAGTCGGCAACAGTAAACGGGATGCCGATATCTGTTATGCAACCGACAATCTCTCTATCCGGGAGACGCATGAATGCATCGGCCTCCTCCTCCTTCTTACGCGTGCGCGACTGCGTTTGCGACGCCGGGATTATCGACATTCGCGGGTTGTACGCCATTGTCGGACTTGTTCTCGGACGGTCCAGCCACTTTGCGAATGTATATCCTTCTATGGATGACCGTACTGGATCGGGAGCGAGGGCTGCAATTCTAGGCAGCTCATCGGACCGCTGGCGCTGGGTTGTCAAATTGGTTGGGGGGTGGTTGAAAAGACCGGAGATGTTTGGGTGCAACCCGTCGTCTGTCGTTGCCAGGACGGGTCCAGCCGCTGGCCGGTCGAGTAAACAATCGATTATGTCATCCACCGTTGATTGGCCCGAGCCATTTCCCCTGCTCCCGCCCCTCTCTCCCTCTCCCTCTCCCCCTCCCCCTCCCCCCGTCCCGCCGGCCAAAGCGCAACACGCACTGACACGATGGCATCTGCGATGCATGCATTAATTGAATTGACACGCACCCACCTGACAACTCAGAATGGAACGTCGTTTCTTGCCCTTTTGGAAAAGGGGATCGCCAGCGAGAACAGTTCTTCCACAGGTACCTACTCGGAGTGGTGCCCGACTACCTACTAAGACTAGGCACCTATTGGTAATTAGGTGCTAATTTTTGAGGTCGTCTACTCGTGGTTGTATTCCCTACTCATGTTCTTTGATAACCCCTCTCCTCTACTATCCATCCTTTCTAGTTACTGGCTACGTGGTGGTCAACCACTCTTCATCGAGCTATTCCTTACTTGCCTTCAACGTTTTCTGCTCCCACCACTGGCATGACATCCCCGTTGGCCAGGACGACGGGAGATACCACCTATTGCGTAGTATACTGTGTTCCTATGTTGTGCACGCGTCTAGCTGTTGCGGGATCACGTACCGAAAACCAAGCAGCTTGGCAGGTCCAGAATAGAAACCCGCGTGGTGATTCGTGGCGATTCCATCGCACCTGATATGCATCACTGCCCCATTCACAGATCTCTGTTCGTCTTGCGGTGCCTGGCAGCTAGGTGGCTAAGTGCTCGCCTACGCTGCTAAGCCAAACTACTCCATCATGATCGATACATCGTGATGCGAATAAAACGCCAGACATTCCTACAAGAACTGCGGCGTTATCGTCGGGCCTCGGTCCACGCCTAATAGGCTGCTACTGAGATGGGTGCTCCGAAACGTCCATTTCCTGCGCCAAGGGGCGGAGCTTGAAACACCTTCGACCTGAAAGTAACCCGTCATCCAGAGACAGAAACAAGGCCTGGTTAGTTCCCTGAAGTCAAGTTCCGTCCTGCAGTCACATCCAACAATCCCCGTTGTACAGCATCTTAACAACCACGCCTAGTCGCTAGGATTTCGATCCGTCGGGCTTGCGGCGCGTCCAATCAACCTGCTTGGCTCGCGGGTTTTCTATCCCGCGTCATTTGCCTTGAAATCATCAGGACCAGCTTCTGCTTCGGGCCAATGGGAAAAGCGGTGCGGGATAACTGTGCTTTGAGCTTTGCGAGCCGTGTCGAAAGGAGACGAGGAAGAGGAAGAAAAAAAAGGAACTCCCCCAGAGATCTGTGAAATATTCGAGAGAGGATTTAGCGAATCGAAATCCATCGCCCTAAATCACCCTTGCGCCTCTCTCACCCCGAGCGAAGGCCGCAGCAAACCACCTTAGCTGAAATTCGAGTTGCTCACACCAAAGCGACGACAAAGAACCCAAACATGGCCTTGCCTGAATGCACGTTTGGGGCTGGTCGTCCATTGAGCTTCGCAGGAGCGCTTCTATCGTATGTGAGCGCAGGGGAGATGCATGCGTCGAGCGCACAACCTTCTACGTGTCAGTCTCGAGAGGTATAACAGGTATGCTCGAGTTGCCCTCGCTACTCCCGCATTATGCAAGAGTCACGAATCCAGGTTCACAGAGACAGCCGAATAGATTGCCGCCCGTGGCGAGTTGTAGCTGTGCTTCTTGTAAACGTCAAGCTCGAGCTAATGAGGTGGACAAGGTCACATCGCGCCTGGAAGCTCGGCATCACCAATGACGAGGCGCCGTAATGCAAGTAGGGATACTTGACCGCCCTACGGCCGTCTCCTTCGCAGAGAGCGTACATCAATTCCCCTTTCCCGCCTCAGAAGGTAACCTCAGGCTGGGCACATTCGCGGTGCACCGGGTACGTGTACCACCCAATGTGTATGGCGACGCAGGAGTTTCGCCTGGTTGCCGCTTTGAAATCCCCCTGGCGTCTTCGACAAACGTCTGGAGGCCGGAAACCCGACAAAAAAAGTCTGTCACCATATATAGTGTCTGTTACGAAGTTTGTGACAGTAGTACTTGGGAGACACCCTTGGCGATGTCCTGAATACGAGCTTCGGGGCTTTTTTAGGGGGGGAGAGGGGCAGCCTCTAAGTAACCCACCCCCGAAAATCTACCGGTAACAACGTCTGCCTCCATACCTACGGGTCGCCCGTCTCCCCTACGGCTGGGGCGTTTGCTGGTGGTGTGCAACGAGAGCGGGCACGCATGCATGCATATTGCATACCTAGGTAGGTAGGCATGTGCAAAGAGTTAGGGAAGCACGTACACACGAGACACGGGGGGGTCCAGCACATACCTGAGGTACCTAAGGTAGTAAGTTGTGTACGGGCCCTCTGGGGCATCGCGGTCTCAGCCCGTTGTCGCTAATTGCCGAGACGTCGCTATATGTACTGATTTGCGCAGAACCTAGTGTGATGTTGATGCTTACAGGTGTAGCGAATGAGCCGGCAAATCACCGCTCCATGCTGAAGCTCGTTGCCATCTAATGAATCTGCTGTTGGTATTGTTAGATGTGTGCTTGCTGGCTACTTGAGTCGCCAGTGGTCTGAAGATGAAAGTCTGGTTACCCACCCGCCGTTGCATGAGGAGACGCGCAGGGTGCGGCAAGCCTCGCCTTTAAACCATCATCTACAAAGGAACCAGGAACGGAGTGAACATTAGCGATCTCTTCACGGTAAGCACTAACACGGACCCCAAGAGTAGATAGTACAGAGAAAGACAGGTAGGGTGCTTGCAATGAGAACGCTGTTGGGGCGATTTTTAATTTTTCTTGTTACCTGGAGGCAGTAATTGAGCGCCTCAGTATGTCGCAAATGGAGCTGCCACTCAGACTCGTGACTCGGTAAGAGTTTGTGGGTGGATTGTATGAGTACGGCACCGGGCTACTCTCCCATGAACCTAGCATCATGGGTCCGTTTAGCCATCAAGTGCCGTTCGTTGACCATTACGACCCACACTTGACTCTCTAGCGGTTGGGGTCGAGCGGTAGGAATTTCGATAATGAATGGGCTCGAGTGAAATGCCAGTAAGCAGACATGACGGACAGGCTAGTTTCTACATGCCTACCTAACCGGGCATTGTGGACGTGGTGTTGCCGATAGCGGGTTTCCATTGGCTGCCATTCATATGAAAGGCTCGCCGGCGAGCCTCAGCGTCCTACCTCTCTCTCTTTCCTTTTCCCTTAGGAATAACAAGTAAGTACGCGATGGTAGAATGTTTGGCAGGGGATGGCCTCACCAGGAGACCATCAGCTGCAGTACCTGCAGATTGCATCTGCTGCTAACCAGGTAACCTGCCTGGTGTACCAGATGTCGAAATGACCCAGGCGCACATTGAGGGCATTCCATTACGTGAAGAATCAGGTCCCCGACACACCTCCAAGGTACTCTTCTTGGGGCAAACATCCGCATAACCGTGTTCCCCCGTTGGGATGGATCTCGTGAGGTTGAGCGACATACTCATATGTACAGGTCTCCCCTCCCCTGATAGCAGCACCTAATTTTTCCATATGACTTGAACCCGGCGGAGCTGAGATTGGTCTCGTATAAACGCTGATTCATTCTATTCGCCTGCCATTCCTCGGGGCGTTAATTATATGCCCAATTTTATTCTACTGATGGAGGTAAGAGATAGGTCCGTCGCATTTAAAGAGCCTGCCGTTGGTATAGCACCTCAGGTATCTTTGTACTTCGACATTCCGTGTATCGAGCCTTCCGATAGTACGGTGTAGGTACCCAAGGTCTCTTACGTAGGTACATTAGCAGGTACCTAGGTCGGTAGTAGAAACCTGCATGCAGTGGGGTACTACCCAGCGTAGCCTACTTGATCCGTGTCCTGTGGATCGACGGTTGGCGTACCTACCTCTTGGGGTTCGGCGGTTCGGGACGGTTAGGTCAGGTTACGTAGCCATTCCCAGTTTGATGTGGGCCAGACGAGCGGTTAGGTCGCTTAGACATGACTCAGGTAACTAGGTACCTACCTAGGTAGGCACCTATGTACATTGCTTCTTGGGTACTTCCTCCCGTACCTAACTTCTGCACGGGTACCTACCTACCTACTTACCTACCTGTACACGTACCTACCATAGCGGGAGGGGGGGGTCTATCGACAGTATGTCTGCAATACTAACACGGTATGGAAGTAGTCTTCAAATGAGGTCATAATGACGAGCTCTTTCATTCGGTATAAGATACTTACAGCAAAGGTCATGGTACGGATTTTATCATAGTTTAATATAAGCATTACGTTATAGTCATTCTAATAAGGTAGGTATTCGTTACCTTCTTGATATCCCATCGATTCGGACATGCATTCTAGCTTGACATTATATAGGACAGCCATTCTATCCTTAGAAAGAGCTACTAGATTAATATGGCGTTCGTATTATACCTATGTCGCATCCTAAGTTTAATTCGCTTTAGTATCGCGATAGAAATACTTTCAGCTATAGTGATCCTTTCTAGGGAGGGTAATAGTGCGTGACATAGTGTCGACAGACCCCCATCCCCCCGTATGGTAGATAGGAGATACCTAGGTAGGTACCTACTATGATTTTGTAGGTACCTTAGGTACCCAGGCAGTGGAAGGTGGTGAGGTCGCGTGGAGGCATTTGTCTCAGTGGTTGTACGTGCATGAGGTACGTATTGGCGCCGTACACGCGACATGTGATACCCAGACCACATCTCAGTCGGTCGCCGGGGTAGAAGCACGGATTGAAGTATCGAATACGCCTGCGTACCACGTTCGCATGTCAAGAGGTGTGAGATTCAACCGCCCCACCGAAAATCAAAGTTTTCCCAGTGCCTGCCAGCCCGTCAGCGTTACCGGACCCTCCACCCCTTTCTCCTCTCCTTCGTTTCGCTCTTATTCCCCGAGTGTGACTTCATCTCGCAAAATCTATCTCATCGTCACGGCTCTACCGCCACACCGATGATGGAAATAGGAGTGCTTACCTGCCTAAACTTAACCTCCTTACGACCTACAACCTAACATCTACTGACGAGGTACAGAATCGACCTCAGCTGCTGAGAAGGGTAGTAGATGTAGGTATGCATCCAGGTTTAGGCAGGTACTAAGAGCCTATATCAATACTAAGCCTCGGGTCGTGTACCCTGCTACGTAGCAGGTACCTGGATTTGTAAAGCAGCTTGACATGCACGATGAGGTACGTGCCTCTCATATATATAGCGATTTACTGCCTATTGAAGTTAGTAAACACCTACCGCCTGCCTTGGCAGGTACCTGCCTACCCGTCCTATCCAAGTACCGAATGTATTACCTAGAAATGTATGTACGCTGATACTTGTTGCCCTCCACCTCCTAAACTAAACCATCTCCCTCTCCGTCTCCACCCGCCGCTTCTTCCCTTTTTCCACCCATCCCATCTCCACTACCGACCGCCACCCACTACACCCACGCAGACATCCGCACATCTTACTTCAGAACTGTCAGTCACCCGGTCCCTTGCCCTTTATCTCCCTGTCGACCCCCCCCCCCCCCCCCCCCCCCCCCACAAGACTGAACCACCTCGAACCACGGTCGCCTCTACAGCACAAATGTAAACCGTTAACCCTCGCGCTGCATTCCAAGCACGATCAATCCTCCCTCCCCATACCTGCGCTGGACACGCACTGGAACCATTCGCGTTGGCGCAACATCAACACATCGCATTATCCATCTTTACGTAATTGCTAATTGGCCTCTGGTAGTTGAAGTAGAGAAACATCGAATTCTCTGCGTGCCGTACCATTCCGACGCTGTGGTGCGACGACATCCTAGAGATCCCAGCAATACCGACCCGAGCAAGACACGACTGGACCGGGAAGTGTATTCTCCCCTTGCGAAACCGGCTGATACTCTTCATTTACCCGTCGTCCTGCTCTCTCGACAACTCGACGAACCTCATCGTATATGCGCAACTTGAGTTAATCCGCGCCCATGGCGACAATCATCCCGCGGCGACCGTCACCTAGAATCGTCGATAGCCACACGCAACTGCGCACATCGATATAGCTTCGCCAACGAGACTTCCCCCCTCTCGTTTTTCAGAGTTACTCCTGCCTGTCGGAAACATGACCTTGTGGCCTTTCCGCCGCAAAGGCTCACGCACACACTCAAAAACGCCGGGCCCCGATTCTGATGCCGAAACCTCAAGACGCGGGCGCCAAGAAAAACCACCGTTGCGGAGCCAGACCGAACCATACACCACGGTTACGATTTCCGGTCCTGTGGGGGCGAATCGAGATGGGCCTGCCAAGTTGCGCCGGCGTCCTCGTACCTATAGCTTCTCCCCGGGGCGTCAAGATTCTCTACGCGTCGCAAAGGGCAAGAAAGGGCCAGTCTCATCCATGCCTCCGAGTGCCATCCCCGCAGCTGCAGCTCAGGGCCGCAGGAATCATGTGCCCCCAACGGGGTCTAATGAGGACGCTGCAATTCGAGTGCCTACCTTACATCACGACAACTCTGGGAATAAGCGAAGAGGCCAGCCTCTACCGCGCAAGAAATCCAGCAAGCGACGTAAAGAAGATCATGCCCGAGAGGCCGAGATCAAGGCAATGAGTCAGTTTATGCCGGTGCGCCCCGCTACCGACTTCTGGACAGCAGGCCGCCCGATGAAGAAGGAGAGCAAACGAATAAGGGCGGGGTTCAATAGGGGGAGTTGCGATGAGCCCTCCGACATTTCGCTGCCCGTGCTCAGTTCTATTCATTCGGCCATGTCGTCAGATTCGGAACACCTCTCCTGGAAGGTATCTGCCCTGGACGCACTTGCGCCGCGCCCAACGCTTCGATGTTCCACGAACCCCATATATGGCCCGGTAGCCGCCGCGGCGCTGACGCGATCTCAGTCGACGAGGCGGAAGCTTATGGATAGGGGCACAATACCGGAGGCGACACTGAAGGCTCACAAGCGGGTTGATAACTTGGCGGACGATCTAGATTCGGCAGACCTGCGACAGCTTATGGAGCGAGACCAACGAAGGAGGGAGAGGAAGAAGGAGAAGGAACGGGAGAGGGTAGAGCGGCGGTTAGCTAGGAGAGCAGAAAGGCAGCGCGCAGAAGAGGCTGCAGCTGCCAAGAGCGGTACCCCGCCGCCTCAAAACCTGGAGAGGGGTGTGCTGGGTCGTGAAAGCATCATTGCCGGATGTGATCCAGCTTCGGTGGTTGTCACCTCGTCGAGAATGAGGTCATCAAACGACTCGAACCGTAGGCAAGATAGCCAACAAGACGAACCGGATGTCCGCGGCGATTCTCCTAAGCCGTTGGAGGAATTCCACCGTACGGACAGCATCCCACTCGAGCCGGCCACCCCTGCCCAGGACGTTGACGCCAAGTGCAAAGCTGCGCCGGCCGTAGGGGGACCACCCTCGACGCGCTCGTTGAGTCCCAAGATTTTGAATTTCATCCAACCTAGAAAGTCGCGGTCAAAATCGCCGAAGAGTTCGGTTCGGGCGAGGTCCGAATTCGAAACGCCGTCGCCTTCGCGGGCGAAACCGGAGGATGCGGACTCCAGTCAGAGGACGTCTGGTAGCGGATCGTCGAGGTCGTGGAAGTTATTCTTCAAGTGGGGAAAGAACAAACGTGGTTCTGGCCCTTCGTCTTTCTCGAACACTTCGCGAGATTCGATGTCGGCGGGCCCACCGCCAGTCCACACGAATTACATTCAGGCTCGACGAATGAACTCGAACATCCCCAAGAGAACGATGTCACGCTTCCGGGAGGACCTCCCGGAGTTACCACTCTCTCCTCCAGATTCTCGTGTCGCATCTCCCGAAGCTGACCCGCTACCTGTCGACCCTTTACCCGCGATTCCCGATGATGTGCAAATGCGGTACGATACACCCAATTCCGGCCATCGGTCCCACGAAGCCATGCGAGCAACCCCTATTTCGTGGCATCGTGATGAAGCGCAGCCTTCACCAGCACCACAGTCCATGTCACTCGCCTCCATCGATTCAGAGGCCTCTTGGCTCTCTGGCCGGATCGGTAGGAATCGGGCTTCATCAGGCATGCGAAACTCTGTTCAACAGCATACTCAACCCGCGATCCCAGGCGGATCTGAGGGGCGACCTTCCTACGACCAAAATATTGTCGAAGACGAGTATATGAACAGTGTCGTTCCTACCCAGTCGCATCGCAAGTCCACGGGTGAAGCTCGTCCTAGCAGCGACGAAGATTACGAGAACGAAGCTAAGTGGGGTTCGGTTGACCATATCCCGACTGTCACGCATCATACAGACACCATGAGGAGCCGGGAAGGCCTCCTGCTCCAGTCACTCGATGATGATGATGATGAGAAGGGAGCCAGCAGAAACAGTGATGATGCGGAGGACCACAGCCCCGTCCAACCACAAAAGGCGATGAGTGTTAGCCTCGCAAAGGGTCACGCGCGGAATTTCAGTGCGGGCAGTGCTAAGCTACTTGAAATCTCGCCCCGAGCCTCGGGAGAAAACCAAAGAGGTCTGCTCGAACACGGCACTCAGTAGTTTGGTATATTGACCCGGACGGGCTGGTGCAATTGGTACTTGGGGACTAGTGGCCGGTCACATACCACCAACCTCAGGCACGATCTAAGACAGGAGACACGACTGCCAATCATTTCTCAATTTCCTTGCCTCATTTCTACGACGTCAGAAGAGTTCATCTCGACGGCCCTCATTTACATTTCCTCGCTTTGTCAGATACCGACCTTATTCGTTCACTACAACTTTTCTTTGGTTTCCCAACCCGAAAATCTTTCAAAAAAATTGATGAAAATATCAGAAAAGAAACAAGTCTGTCTCCTAAGTCGAATATCGAGGCCGGCACCCTTGGTATGAGGTCAATCCAAGCCACCACATTAACACCAATACCCTCCGAGCTTCACATAGCCAATACTGGCTCTTCTCCGGCCATTGCCTTACCCATAACCACCCAACACACAGGCCTTTTCAAGTCGACCTGACTTTTTGCCGAATACACGCGGCAAATGAAGTGCGTGCGAGCTGTTTTCTACGCTTCTCTTGATATACTACGATACCACAGGGATATTGGGGTTGTTTTTTTTTTTTTTCCTTTTAGGCTGGTTTGTTTTTGATACCACTTACACATATGTTCTGCTATGGTGCAGAGGATCGTGGGCGCTCGGAGAAATGCTTATTTATGAACGGCGTGACGCGCGTTACCCGATACATTACTTCGCCTGAATTCCGACCAGCTGTGCCGCCCACCGGGCGCCGCTATATTGGCAGCCAAGACGGTCATGGGCGTCTCGAGTCGTCCCGCAAAATTGACGTTACCATCAAGTCTTGAAACTTCCGGGTTTGCTCGCGTACGGGATCATGGATCGATTTTTGGATGGCCCGTCTCTACTATCCGGCTCGCATCTACGTCCCGTGGTTTCAATAGACGGCACCCAAGTGAGCGGGGTGGAGCTAGTAGTCGAGTCGGTGAACTTTGTGTTAGGGCTGAAGGTTCGAGAGAAAACCCGTGATTTTTTTTTTATAGAGGCGAAAAGGGGTGAGGATGGAGGGCAAGAGAAGGAAGAGGGGTTTGGGGAACGAGAGGGGAGGGCAGCACGAGGCTGACCTGAGCCTCTTTACTGTCCCTTCTCGCTTCGCCGGCGTAATCTAGCGGCGAAGGGTAAAGAGAAGGGTAAGGATATCCCCGGTTGGCTGTATACGTATAGTACGTGTATAAAGTACGCGCGCGCGTCCTCGTGAATGGAAAATCTCCAGGCGAGCTTACGGAAAGAGAAAAAGGCAGAGCCCATGGGTGTCGCTTTTCTTGTGAACCATGACGTGACGAGACGAGACGAGACGACGTAGTAAACCGAGAAATGACATTCCTAAGATGGTCGAGAGAGTGACTTGCCTGTATCTCGTCCGATATCGACTCCGTGGACGTTACTGGATAGTTTCCATACGATAATAGTCCCGGCGGTTACCAGGGAGAGAGGATCATCACCTTCGTATATACGTAGAACTAGCATCATTGTAAGCTATGGATCTACGTCTTTCCCTCCAGCTGACGTCTAGCTTAGTAATACCGGCTAGGGCTGGCGTGCGTCACTCGACAGCGATCCTACGGCAGATGGAACAGGTTGGGCGGGTGGGCTGCGTGGCAGTGCTTGGGAGCTGAAGCTACCTACCGTATACCTACTAAGGGGGCAGGGGAGGGGACGAGAGATTGGGACGTTCTTACGGCTGCCGGGGTGGAACCGATCGTCTCGGGAGCGTCGTGCGAGACGACATCAGAACGGGCGAGGGAGGGGCAGGATCCTTTGGAGACGAGGCGGCGGTAAGTAGATGGATGCGATGGCAATTGGTTGCGCATTCGGCCTGGGCAGCGGGGTACGGCTCGCCCGCGACGGATTCCGTAAGAGGGAGATCGGCGATGTAGAGACGGGTGGCGGGGGTTGGCGTACGTATAACTGGCTACCTCTAGCTAGAGATCGATCGATTACGCCTACCACCTTATGCCTGTATATAGGTAGATATATTGCCGGTCTCGGTAAAGACGGGATGAGAGGGCGAGCAGGGAAGGGGGAAGGACCGTGTCTTGCGCTCAGAATTTTAGTAAGTCGGCGTGACGAAAGAGATGCGTCGAGAGCTCGAGGCTACGTGGGACCTACCACAGCAGCAATTAATTCATTTATAAGCACTTGGTGTGGTGGCATTGTTTATTATCGTGATCGTTAGCATCCTCGTTGCCGTTAAGAGCCTACCTCACGTACCTACCTCACGTACCTACCTATAGGTTAGCGGGTAGCAGGTATCCGTGGTAGGCCCATGCTTTCAAGTCATCCCCTCCGTCAAAACTCGACGGCATAGCGCTTGCGACTTGCGGCTATGAGTGATCGGGTTAGGCCGTTAGTCACCGTCGGCCGACGTTGAGGCGGATGATTTGGCAGCTTGATATCGGATATCGGGGAGATCGGGGAATTGTTAAGTAGGTAAGTACACAGGTACTTATAACAAAGCAAATCCGGCTAGAGGTACCTCTTAGGCAGGCAAGTTGAGAGTACCTAACCGCCTCTGAGGTGCTTATCTGGATACCCTGTGTATAGGTACACGACACTCGTCTGCAGGCTGGGCTTAGGTACCTCTCTACCTCAGGTACCTATTAAAATGTGCGAGTTGAATCACGTCATTGCTATAATGACAAATCAATACCTGACATACTATGCCGAACTTGCCACAGGGCCTCAGGTAAAATGGAAGGTACCTAGATCGACGGCTGGTGCTCACCTCCCACCTCTGTTTCGTCGTTGAATGTAGTCTATTTCCTAAGTACCTCCCCACGGATCGCACACGGATAGGTACCTAGCCTAGTATTAAGCACGCCCGAAGACCTTGAGTATAGCACAAGTACCTGTCTGCCTACGACAAGTGCTAGTAGCGAGCTTAGGTACATGCCGAAGCACCTATTGTCCTGCGCAGCGAGAAGTATAGAGAGCGTCAGAAAGTTAAGGCCGTCTCCCGTTCCCTCCCCTTCTCTTCCCTTCACACTCGCCCGTTACCTGTCAAGACGAGAATTACTAAATATACAATTCCGTCAGGTCCCATCTAGGAAGTGCAGCATACCCTGGAACTGACCTTGGAAAGCAGCGTTGTAGACAATATAAAAGCCCCTTCCCCCCCTGCCCCGCGTCATACCGTCTCGCGGCTTTTTTTTCTTCTTCTCTTATTTCCTCCATGTCAACAAACCTCCTCCGAACAACGGCCCAGTCCACATTACGGCATTCCCTCTGCTACAGACCACCCGCCTATTCGCGCCTCACGCCCCTGAGACAATTTCACGCCACACTGCCCAAGATGACTGTCCACGTCCTCGACACGTAAGTACCGCCTCCCGTCTTGATCTATCGCACCACCACCAGCCTACCCCGCCCTGGCGTGCCGCTGCCAGAGCTTCCCACATATAACTACCCTCCCCCCTTTTCCGTTCCGCTCGCTTCAATGCCCGCCCGACACTGACGTTATGCAACAGTCCCGCAGCCTTCGAGCAGGCTGTCAAGGACCATAAGGTCGTCCTGCTCGACTGCTTTGCTACTTGGTGCGGTCCGTGCAAGGCCATCGCTCCCGTTCTTGCCAAGTAAGTCCTATATGCCTCAGCTTTCCGGCTCTTCGTGTTTCTGTCGAGGACACAAGTCGCATGCCCTGTATACACAAACGCAAGCACAAGTCTTGATTCGAACGTAGTGTAAACTTCTCTCGACGCGTATATCTCGGGTATATCTAAGAGTGCTAACCATCGGGTCGCTACAGATACTCGGACCAGTTTCCGTCCATCTACTTCGCCAAGATTGACGTTGACGAGCTGCCCGAGCTTGCCCAGCAGCTTAAGATCACCGCCATGCCTACGTTCCTCCTCTTCACGGGAAGCACCGAGCCCGCCGATATCCTGATTGGTGCCAAACCTAATGCCATCCTGGAGTTGATCGAGAAGTACAAGGGCTTGGCTGCCGGCGAGGCGCATGCTGGCGAACAAGCCACGTGACTGCAGAAAGTTGACGCCGCAGCAAAACTATGACGTTTTCGCAAGGGAGCAGGCAAACCGTGACCAAGGCCGTAGGAGACATAGATAGACGTGGTGGTTAATATTTCCATTCAATCGGCATAATTGCGCAACGTACCAATGGGTAGCCTGGGTTCCTCCCGAGGCATCCTCTATTGACTTTCCTGAGATACGAGGGCATGTGCGTGATGCACTCTGTTCTGACTTCTACTAAACCGGCTTCCGGCTTTTTTCCTTTCTTCCCTTTTTTTTTCCCCACGTGAAGTTTTCGATACGATACCCATATTCGCTACAGCCTGGCCCGAATACCTACCAGAAGGCCTCCAAGGGGCCACGCAGCAAGAGCCGTTGACAACGGTTGGTTCCCAAGCGATGTCTGCTTTGCGGTTCTGGTTGTCGCTTCTCGCGGTCCCCTCTCAGTATGGCGGGAGCTTTTCCCGTTTTCCGGTCGTGTCTCATGCTGTCTTCGGCCTCCGCAATCGGGCTACCAACCGACCGCGACCTGCTCTCCGCAAGCGTGGTGCTCGGACGAACAGGTGATGTGTCTCCCTACCTCGTCGCATATGTGGGCTACATTGGGTAGGCAACCTTATACCTACCTACCGTACTCGCGTAGATGCTGAGGCACTTAGGTATACCGTGTGCCCGTGGACGTAAAACGTCTTGAGCCTCCCACCTCGAAGCCTCTGACAGGCAGATGCCCCGCGTGCGGGGTGTGACGTCATAACGACTTTTCTTTTCCACTGCTCTCTTTTTTTTCTCAACTCATGGTTTGCCCAGTCTACCTACCAGACAAATTGAGCACCCGCTTACATTGCCAAAAACACTACTCTTCATGACAGAACGCGCCCCGAGCACATGAGCGCCGACGACGATCAGAACAAGCAGCGCCGCCGCCGCCGCCGAACACCGCATCCTACACTTCATCGAAGAAGCAGAAGCTCATCCGCCCTGCACGACTTGCCGCCAGAATTATGGGACAATCTCTTCCGGTTCCCTGACTAAAAGCGCAGTAACTGAGTTCGACCGGGCCGTCGAAAATGCTGGACGTCAAGCGTTGGACGAGTATTTGCGGCCCGGACTGATCGAACTTAAGAGGCGGTATGGGCTTTCAAAAATTCAAAAGAGCAAGTGCGCACTCCAGGGAGCAGGGGCAGATTATCAAGTAAGTCAGTGGTCCCTCTCATTGAAGGGGCCTTCATGAGGGACCTTCATGAGGGCACTGGCACGTCTGGAGACGTACCTTTCACGAAGCCGGATCACTTGATGGATGGCTCGCCACAGATTAACGCACGGTGTCTAACTGGAAGTGCGGAAACCACCCGACAGGGAGTAAGGGCTTACCAGAATGGGACGGGCTGGGCAAAGGTGCAGATGGATGAAGCAATCAGGTAAGCAAGCCAACGAGAAGACTACCTAATACGACCAGTGCGCCTACTTCAAGGGACCGACCGCGTTGCTTTCGGCCGTGCGCCTGAAGGATCCGCTGATGATGGAGGCTCGCGTTGACCTTTAAGCAGACCTCCGTGGCTTGACGAAACGCTGAAACGCAGTGACCCATTTGCCCTATTTTTGCCCTATTGGATGCCACGTCGCTATATGACTACCGTCCTTCGATCCCGAGAACACGTCTCGTTACCGTCCTGGGGCTAAAAGGCCCCCCTTTTTATTTTACCCAGGCCCGCTCGAGGCATTAGGGGTAGTCTCTGCCCTGCAGAAAATCAGGCCTACTTCCCCGGCCTCACGCCCTTTTCCCTGATCAGCATTCGCGTCTGTGGGGCCGTGTTGTTGTTACCGGGATGCCGTCTCGAGCGCAGATCGACAGGGAAACTCCCCGGAGGTCTGGCGATATTGCGACCAGGTCCGGCTTCCGGGATGCTCTCGGTACGCCAGATTAAAGTGGTGGAACCGCATGGGGAGGAAACTTTATAACAAATGTACGCACAATGCGTGCCTAACCCGGCCGATTATATTACTAAGGTGAGGCAGGTTGGTCACCTATTTATTACAGATGCCTACCGAAGAGGTATCTAGTACCGTGTATAGATGCCTTGTATAGCACGGGTAGGCTGGCAGTAATCCAACGTTATACCTCTATATATACCTCTATATATACCTATATTTGTAGGTATATACATGCATGCATTCGGCATGTAGGAGCCGCCCGCCGTACCAAACTTGGCTCTCGTTAGGTTCGGCTCTAGGAAATGTGGTATCGTCGGGGCTGCAGATGGGACTTCTTCGGGCGTTTCTATTGCACCGTCCGTCATGGCCGAGATCGAGGCTCGTGTCACGCCCCATCGAAAGGTGCAGAGCAGGTGGGTACGGCTCCCTAAGCTGGCATCCGGAGCGTCCTGAGACGTCTGTTAAGTACCTAGTAGACTCCATCGTGAACAGGTAAGTATGGGCACCGGCTGCTCCTCCTTATCCGCCTACCTGTACATGGTGGAATTGAGGGTAGAAGGGGATGCGGTGTGTGAATTTCGCACTTAATTCGGACTCACGGTGTTCCCTTGTAGCCAACGCAGATGGCGCGCCGGAGGTTAGGTTTTCCACGTGGGCTATATTTTCCTTGGGCTTTATTTCCCTCGCCTTACGCGGCGTAGTGGTGTATCCCAAGTCAGGTCGCCCCCCCTCTGGGATTCTCAGACTCGCGAGTGTGCTATTATTACCTAGCTCGCACTGTGCTACATATGATATATCTGATAGGTATACTATATTACCTGATGCAGGCTGACGACCCCAGGACATTTCGACGCCTCAAGATCACACCTGAGTGGTTTGTCCGCGTTGTCAAACAGCCCTTTTATTTGAACATCGGCGCGTCGGCCCACTGTAACTTGGATTAATATCCCTCAGCTAAATCCAAGGGCGGTCGCGGTTGTTTACCTACGACCTTGTCGAAGTATGAGTATGCACCTACCTACAGGTAGCTATGACACCCAGAAGTGCACCGATGCGAACCGGTGAACACGCGTCGACAAGGGGTTGCTAATACTGCAATCTGATTGGTTAGGGTGCGTCAGCGATCTCTTCCTAAGTTGGCCGACGCTCGCGACGAATCCCGGTTCCGCAGGTAGCCGCGTAGCATCGGCGCTGGAGGCTCTTCTGTGCTACCCTCGTCCAAGGCTGGAAACAAATTCCCCACGTCCGGTATGTAAAGCACGGCCTTCCTGGTGCTAGGGAAACAGCCCATATCTAGCGAGAGACCAAGATTCAAGTTTCCTCTCGTCGGTCCGCAACGGGTGCCTTTTGATCCGTAGTTGCGATGTGTGAGCTGTGAGAAAGTCTGGGCCCAGGCTCCGTCCGAGCGTTTATATCGGTTAGGTATAGGTATTGTAGCCAACAGAAGTTCCCATGTATGTGACTCCCTATACATACACGGCCGTGATAGATCCCGGGACTCGTGATATCTCTTCTCACTCAAGGCAGCATCGACATTATGCATCTATCGTTCGATGCAAGGGGCCGGCTACCCCTAGGATGCCCACGACCGCACTTCGGCTAGACTCGAGATCGCTATTTCGGAACGAGTTGAGCCTCCGAAGCTTGACTGACATCCATACAGGCCCAAGGCGTGTTACCTCCGTATCGCCCCGAGTAGGGTGGTAAATGACTAAGGACTGCCTCTGATTTGTCGTGAACAAGACTCTCAAGGCCTCATCCTTCTTATTTGACATATCCGCCGATCCCCACAACGCAAGTTGCGTGACCCCATCCGCATCTAGGCTCTCTGCAACCTGATCGGATGCTTCTCGGGATATGGATCTAAGTGGGGAACTAAACAACTTATAACCTTGTCAGTGGTGTAAGAGGGTCTTTTACAACGAGAGCCCGATAGTACCGATTCTATACTATCACCACCGCGTCTGTGACGGAATCCAAAGATTTAAGTACGGAGCGTGTCATAGATAAGTGTGACGATAGTTAGGTAGCCTTTCTCCCGAGTATAATAATCCTCACCAACGACTCTGTTTCCTAAGTGGCCGTCACTAATCACTCTTGGTGACCATCTCCACGACTTTTGCCATCTCTCGGCGTTTCTGAATTTATTTTCCTTTCTTGTCCTTTTTGGTTCGCTGGCATTCCTTTTTCGTGTACCTGACCCGTACTCCACGGCCTAGCGGGTGTCTGCAACATGCGTTCATTCACACCCGTCGTGCTATTCGCAACCCTCGCGGCCCGCCGCTGCTTTGCGGCGGCCGTGTGCCCATCAGTCTGGGGTGACGTAGCCGAGGACTTGAAGTCGAGCTTTGTGGACGGGGACGGGAAATGCAACGACAACGCCCGCGGCGCGATCCGACTCTCTTTCCACGACTGCTTTCCCGGATCTTGTGACGGATCGATCATCCTGACAGACGAATGCACCGCCCGCATTGAGAACAGTCAACTGGTCAATATCTGCTCTATCGTGGGAGATAAAGCGAATCAATTCAACGTTGGCGTCGCTGATCTGATTCAGTTCGCTGCCGGTGAGTCTCATAACCTCTCTCAATCGTACATACCTTGCTGTGGGCGACCTCAGCTAAATTGCGTATTCTACGACCAGCCATCGGAATTGCCTCCTGCCCAGGTGGTCCGAAGATCTCCGTGAAGGTGGGCAGGACAGACTCGTTCGAAGCCGATCCCACGGGCCAGCTAATCTCGCCGAACGCCGATGCCGCCACGATCATCAGGCAATTCAGCGAAAGGGGCTTCTCGATCAGGGAGTTTATCGCCCTCATGGCGACGCATAGCACCGCCAAGGATAGAAGCGGGAATTCTTTAGATACGACGGTGGGAGAAATGGACATGCGATACTATACCGAGACGGCAGACGGAAGCATATCCGCGAGCCTGAATAGCGACAAGAACTTGAGCAACGCAACCGAGACAGTGGGCGACTGGAACGCATTCGCGGAGGATCCTGTAGCCTGGGAGCAAGCTTTCATCCCTGCGTAAGTAGACCGGCATATCCTCATCGCGCTCAGGAAGCAGCCAGCTAATTTCTGTCATCCAGCATGGAAAAGATGGCCGTCATTGGTAACGACCAGAGCCAATTGGTAGACTGCTCAGAGGCGCTCAGGCTGGTCTTTCCTTAGCTTCGAAGACTGAAGCTTTTTTCAGACCGCGTCCACCGACCTTGACGACCATTTTACTCGTGGTGGGTCATGTGCGTAATTATGGGGATGGCATCAACACGGCGTTGAGAACGGCGTTGAAAAGACCATATCAATACCGGGGCTGTGTCGCATGGACAGGCACAGAATAAGAGGGTACCCTGTGGTGACGTACGGCACTCTCAATTCGCATTTACAAGACCGAAATTTTCACCAAGATGTTTTATTAGCAAGCCCATCGGTCATCCTAAAATTAAGTCCACACATTCTTCGCATTAACTGTAATAGTACTGGGAATATAGGACGAATCAATTTTGTAAATACTCTGCCTATGTTTTATTCCAACTGAATCTAGCCTCCGATACATCTACGTAGAGGCCACGGCGCCTTTTTTATCATGTCGAGAGCTCTTTACCATCATGAAGCAACGAAAAGTGGGGGGGATACAAAAGAGTGTACGGAAAGGGACTGGCGTTATGACCAAGAGTACCTTTCCTGCTAACTACTTACCGTTCTCATACCTGATGAGTGCGGGAGAGCAAGACTTACCGTAGCGGTGTACTTTAGGTTACTAAAGGAGATCAGATTCACCCTGGAAAGCTTCAGGACCGGGGCGGGGGTCTGTTCGACGCGGGGCTTGGCCTCGAACTCGCAAGCGGTCTCCGAGGAGGTGGTGTTGGCGTCTTGCTGGGCCTCGGGTTGTTTCCCCGCCGAGCCGCCGCCAGCTTCGCGTTCGTTGCCTCTTGTCCCTTTTCAAGGGTCTGGATGGAGACGCTCAGGTCTCTCTTGAAGGGGCTGACCATAACGAACATCAGCGTCTTGGAACCGGCAGTTAGGCAAGGCCGAAGCGCCCTGAGAAGAGGGTCGTCGTATGCCACCTGGGTCCCCTGTCCGAGAGCGGCAATGGCCCTGTTTAGACTCAGGAGCGACTGGTTAATCTTCTTCCCCTCCTGCAGCTGCTGGCCTCCCATACCGCTAGCCGCGGGCCGCTCCGAGCCTGCAAGATCGATGAGATTAAGGATGCCGTCCTTGACCTGCTCCTGGGATGTCGTGTTGATGGGTTCCCTGCCGATTTTGAACGTTAGGATGAGATGCGAGCGCGACGATGCCGCATTCTTATTGGTGGACGACGAAGCTCGCATCCCCGTTGCCATGTTGATGATCTCCTGGGCCGCTTCCAGGGACTCTAGCGCAAACGAAGACGCCCCCTCGATCATCGTGGTGACTTTCTCCCCGGTAGGCGACGTTTGCAGAAGATCATAGACGTTGTCGAGGTAGATTTCCAAGATTGATACCGAAATCGAGTATTTGTATCCCAGGAATCCCTTCTCGGCAGTCTCAAACAGCAGGGCTAGTGTTCTAGGAATGATGCCGTCGTTCGACGTGTCCGGGGATCCTTGGTTGCTGAGCGTATATGTCTTCCCAGACCCGGTCTGTCCGTAGGCGAAAACCCCGACGTTTTTGCCCGAAAGCGCCAATTCGGCGAGGTCACTAACCTCGTTGAATATGTCGTCGTTCGATTCTTCCTGCCCAAAAATCCGCTCGAAGGAGAAGTTCCTTGACTCTGTGACGATGTCGCCTTTGAAATCCTTGCGCTCCTGAGGTATGCACATCTTGGCCCAGTGGTTGGAGTACTCCCCCCTCTCACGCGGGCCGAAGTCGGCAAGCTCCTCCTGGGGAGTATCAGCCGGTGCAGGGCGAATCCGACACATGACCCGAATATTGCCCTTCATCGACTGGATCTCGCGGAAGAGCTCGCGGCTGCGACGTTGCTCTTGCTCGAGATCGTCCCTCAGCAGCTTCTCCCTCGTCTTTTGTTCATCAACCGTGGCGCTCAAGTCTTTTGCCATCGTAGTGGTTCGGTTTAAATCGTTCAACAATTCACCCTTTCGATTCTCTAGTTTAACCAACTCAGCCTGGAGTCGTTTAACTTCAGCGTGGTCGACGAGCACTTCCGGAGAGCTTGCTGGGGAGTCGGAATGGGGGGTGGCTACAGAACTGTTCGTCTTCCCACTGAGTTCGGGGGTAGTTACGGAACCGTCCGTCTTCACACTGGGTTCGGGAGTGGTTACGGAACCGTCCGTCTTCACACTGAGTTCGCTTTGAATACGGATAGCCTTGAGTTGTTGCTCGAGTCCATTCACCACGTCATCCCCAAGGATCCCCAATCTTTCCTCGATTCGTCGTGATATTTCCTCGATTTTGCTTGGCAATATGTCCATGCGAGAATCGATTCTCTCAACCGTCTGCACAATATCCCCGAGACGCTTGAATTCTGCGCTCCTATCGTCATGGATGCAAGCGGCGAGGTTACCGACAGTGTTTTCGAGGGCCTGTAGATAGCTTTCCATGTTGGATGCTTTCCCTGAGAAGCAGCCCATTACGGAGTCGGTGAGACGAGGAGGAAGAGGAAGCAAACTGGTTTGATCGGAGATGTTATATAGTTGGATGTGCTAGGAGTAGATTTACTATATAATTAATCGCCTGGTCTTGCCCTCGTTTAAGTATTGGAAACGATGGCATTGTGCCACTCAGGGAGAGAGCTCTTTTGTCGCGACAGCAAGAAGATTGGATAAAGAGGATTGAGCCGAGTCTCTTTATCCCGGAATCTCGATAACGGCCCTTAAATCCCCGCAGCGTTCGGAACAAAGCACTGGTCATAACACAAGGAATTGAAAAGAGCTTGCAAGGGCTCCTTTCTCTTCTATTGTTCGCAACAAGGGATTGTTAATGAGAATCATGATTCCATCAGGCGAGCTATTCCTTCAGAGTGCTCGTTCGTTTCATGTCTCGATCAGTGGCTTCCGGTCCGCATGAATAGATTGGCTGGCCTATCGCGGTGTTTGAATTGCAAATCCACTTCATATTCAATATCTTGGCCTTCACCGCGGAACCCTAGGCGCGCGTAAACATGTCTACCCACTGTGATAAAACGGGTTAGCGGTCGATGTTCAAGGCATCCAGGCGCCAAATTGAAGCGCGGAATCTATCGTGGAGGTCACGAGATGCAAGACGTCATACGTCTTCGAGATGAGACTGCCGGGGGTTAGAATATGTGAGATTAACACACTTATTGATGCTTCCGTAGTAGCCTCTAGATCACCCCTTCGCCGCGCCTCCTCGAGACCCCACTGAACCAATTTCAGGGCAATCCCTCTCCGCTGGAAAGCCGGATCAACTGCGCATAACTGGAGGTGCATCAACGACGGCGGTTGTGATGTCTCCTTCTCCCTGACTACCTCTACCCGCCGCTTCATAAATGAGCGATAGAACTGGCACAGGTAGCGCTGCTCGGGCTCGTTTCCCGGATAGAGCGCCTCGAGGTTCAAGGTACTGCGTAGATCATCTGACGGTCGGTCGCCGCAGCCCTCAACCACTGAAAGTTGACCCCACTGTGATAAGGACACGTTGGTTAATATTAAACCTCGTTTATGGATGATCTTTGAGCAGTGGCACGTTTAGAGGGGGGCGGAGAAAAAAAAAAACACATCATGCAAGCCAACCACGTAGGGCCTCGCTATCAAAGACCAGACGACGAGGAGTTAGAAAACAATACAGAAGTTACATACGATGGCAATGCCCGCAATAACTTTCCGCCCATCGGGATCAGACACGGTCGCCTTGAGGAAAACGGTGTTCGGATTTCCGTCCTTGTTCGTGGTGGTGGCACGCCACTGCTCTATCATTCGCGCCGCTGCCAGGGTTCTGCCATCCGGCGTGTCCCAGCCCGGGTTCATAGATATCCAGAATGCATCACGGGCCTGGCGGCCGAACGCCTCGGCCACGCAGTTGAAGCCGCTGGCGATATCCTCTGGCTTCTCGATGACCTCAATAAGAGGCTCCGCCTTGGCTGATGTATCCTGTTGAGACATGTTTTCTGCAGGAAGATCTGCTCAAACAATGACACTGAGGCGGGGAAACTCTGCTGGTGGCTAGTCCGGCCTAAGCGATTTATAACCATTTTCAATACAATGTAACGCCCAAGCTAGCATTGCTTTGCCTAATATAGCAAGAGTCCGGTACCGGTATAGGGGCTTAGTCTGCCAAGAGAATTGAGGGTTTGCCGTAACCTGAGACCGGTCAGTATCAGTCTTTATGAGCTTCGGAGTGGGGTCGGGACTGACCGGCGTCGAAGAGACCACATAACAACGGACGACAATCGATATGATTATCTGTCGATTGGTTGACGAGTTGAAGATAGGAATGAGTGTTGTGCCAGCTCGACTATATTAAGTATGTGGCTGTGGGAGAGCGACGTAGGTACATAGAGTAGATCCCAAGTTGATAGACGGATAGACACTGTTATTACTTGTTTAATCAACATGGCCGTGGGAATAAATATATACCTACCTGGGATAAGAAGAGTTCCGCGTGAGAGGTTAGAGTGAGATGCCTAATCGATTAGGTGCCTATTATTATACGGGGTAGGTTTCTATACATTAATAGACTTGTATTGCACATTCGAACCAATTGCCAATTAATACGTAAAGTGGTTGACTGGGACCAATACAAGTCTTAGGACGAAATGATGGCTGCGCTGTTACACCCCCTTTTCCAGACAGAACGAACCCGCTCGTCTGAGGACCTCGACGTTCATCGTCGCACAACAAAATTTAAGTGTTCAAAGCCTAAATTAAATGCATATTTTCTTTCTCCACGAACGTCTATCTCCTAATACCACATCGGGTTTGCATTAATATCCGAAAAAGAATAATTACACACATCTTTTAGAGGCACCACCACATATTCACCATGCTACCATGCTCGTACCTTCCACTCTCGGCGAAGCACCGAGAACGCGCTGCTGAGAAAAAAACGTCGGCATGGGAAGACTAGCCCGAGTACACGGGGGGCCCGGGGATCTTGTACTCCTGGAAGCCGTTGCCCCAGATGTCGACCTTGATGCCGGGGTCGCTCGAGCTGTACGCGCCGGGGAACTGGACCCCGGACGGATTCGCGGAACCGCCACCGGTGACCGTGATTTGCTGTGACCGGTCTCGTTAGCGTTTAATCGCCATGCCGAATTTGAAAGAATAAAGGGGGGAGGGGGTATCATCCCGAAGACGACGACTGTCAACGGTTGCGGTACGCCGCTCGAGTTACACTCACGTAGCAGGTCATGTAGAACTGGGCGCCGTTGGACTGGGATGCGGTATGAAGCGCGATGGTCTCGGCACGCAGGAGATAGTCGCCGGGCGCGATGTTGGAGGGGATCTTGATGTCCTGCTTGCCACAGCCTTCGTTCAGGAGATCATTACCCCAGGTCTTGGTGGCAGCGTCGTAGCCCAACTCGAAGATCTTGAACCAGGACGATGACCCGTCGGCCGAGGCCGCATCGCCAACTTTGCTAAGGTACACTATCACGGGCCCGAAGTGATTTCCTCCTATTGCCTCCTTGCTGCAGTCGCGGTCGCCGGGTTGCTGGTGCATCTCGACGGTGACGGTGCTTCCGGCTGGGGGTCCGTTAGGGGATATGAGTCTAGACGGAGTAGGAGGGGACCGCGCTCCCACCTGGTACGCTGCACTTGCTCGCAGCAGCCTTAGTGCCGCCGACATTGCAGCGGATATCGCTCGAAGACACGCTCGTGACCGGGTTGTTGTTTGCCTTGCAAGCGTCAGCCACTACCAATCATGGATGTTACCCCAGAGCTATTGAACATACGGGAAGTCTCGCGCAAGTTGACCCTTGGTCTTCCCCGGCTACCCATAGTTGCTGGAAAGTCGCATGGCCAGCAACGGTGGCTGCAAGCGTGAAAACAGCGAGACCAGCGATAGTAGTCCTCATTTTGGAAGATATGAAGGTATTTGGGATGCGAGATTAGTGCTAGCTGATCTCCTGAAGCTAAAAGAGACGGGGGACAACTGTCAAGGGCGAAGCTAGGGGTTAAATATACTCGAGACTTTGTGGCGGCATGACGTATTATCGGTCTTCAGGCATCGTTACGTGAAAGAGTTGCCGGCGGCCAGAGAAGATCGATGCGAGTCTATGCCTCGACTTGATTAATATCCCGCAATCCAAGCCCAGATGTTTGGCATGTTGTTTCCGTGACCGATAATATCGGCGCCTGATATCCGGGGGGGCCGTAATCTGCCTAAATTGTATCTTCCGTCCTCGAGTTCAGAAAACGACGGACGATCTTGTCTTGAACGAGCCTCATAGCAGCGAAGAGAGAGAGAGGAGGAGGGGGGGGGGGGAGGTATGGAGATTAGCTACCATACCCTAAACCCCCGAATTGAACAGTGGGCCATTTCCCTACCATCCTCCATTTGGACAGCCCGCAGATGTTCTATTGGCCCAGAAATCACAGATCGTCTTCCTGCTTCGGGTTCCGGCTAAGGAACCCGTCTGGTCATGCATAGCAAACGTCTGAGGATCCAAGGAATGCGAATGAATGTTCGGAGGAGCCACCGAGCCTTGCGTGTTCCCCGGTGGGCGTAGTTATTGAGGGTCAGCTCGATGTCGCCGATGCGGTATTTATGCACTTGAAGAGAGTAGCAAAGTCGATCGACACTAAGCTAGACCCCCGCTCTACGGACCACCCCTTCACGGACTACCATTTTTATATATATTTACATATAAACGATTTTTCCCCGTAAAAAATCGGAGAAAAATCGGAAAAATCGGAAATTTGATTACGTAATTGGCTTACTTAATTTAATTAACATATGTTTTTTCCGAATTTTTTAGTTTATAAAATAAAGAGTTTTATATGATTTTAGTATTTTTTTTCTTATATTAATAGTTTCCCATATAATTTATTAGGGAATCTAATATAATAGTACGAAATTACCCTTTTGAAGTATTTTTTTTACCGTAATAAAGTGGAGCTATTACATAATCAAAGATAGGCTAATTAGAGAAATGGTTATTATTACTTAATCTTATTTTTATTAGGTGATTTTATTTTTATTTAATTTATTATCTTAAAAAATAGACGTTTTTTGATTAAAATTTTTTCAGAATTTTATATGGGAAATCGGGTGAATTTAAAAAGATTAGGTTTTCCATATAAAATGAGGTCCAAAAAAATTTAAAAATTTACCTATTTTTTTAGAATAAAATTTTAAATAAAAATAAAATAAAGTAATAAAAATAAGATTTAATAATAGTAATCATTTTTCTAATTAGCCTATCTTTAATTATATAATACCTCTACTTTATTACGGTAAAAAAAATACTTCAAAAGGGTAATTTCATACCATTATATTAGATTCCCTAATAAATTATATAGGAAACTATTAATATAAGAAAAAAAATACTAAAATCATATAAAACTCTTTATTTTATAAACTAAAAAATTCGGAAAAAACATATGTTAATTAAATTAAGTAAGCTAATTACGTAATCAAATTTCCGATTTTTCCGATTTTTCTCCGATTTTTTACGGGGAAAAATCGTTTATATATAAACACATATAAAAATGGTAGTCCGTAAAGGGGTGGTCCGTAGAGCGGTACCCTAACTTACGTACACGCACTCCGCCTTTAAGGTATTCCGATTGTCTCTAGCTCTGGGGCAAGGGCGAGTGTTATTTTGAATACCCTCTGTATAGGTATACGAAGTCCTCATGGGGTCATATGCTCTTCAAAGCCTTCAGTGGTTCAAAAGAGAGGATGCGTATAGGAACCAGGGAGTTAAAGCTCAAAGTATGGTAAACTAAGTAACGTATAACGACTGCTTGCTCTCTGACCTAATCTATTCAGTTTTCAACGTTGCTTAGTTGGACGAAAATCAATAGAGGTGATTGAAGAGTAATGAGAAACGACAACCTCCAGGGGTAGCTCTCGGCGTAGAATCGAACGACCACGGGAAGCCTAGGACAATACACCGAGATGTCTTTGTAGCTTCTCGAGCACACCGAGAGACCTGTGGACCCACAGGTTCTTAACGAACAAGTGTATGAAAACCCACCGAGGCTATTTGAAACTCATGGTAGGTATGGTAGTTGCGCCAAGCGCCGTCGCAACAATCTCCTCGCAAAGACATTCTAGTAGAGAAATACGCTATGCAATGACTTCCGGATACGCCGAAGAGGGGTCATCGTGGGCTCGAGTAGAGTAGAAATGGGCTACTCGAATATTACAACGAGCAATGCGAAGCTGTTTTGAGGGACTGTATATTGGAAATTATTACACATGAACCGGGAGATGCTGGTAGATAGGAACCTCTAATACGGACCATTGCATAGTACCACGTAGTTCAACTCGCTTATGTAGGTAAGTAGGTATAAAGACATAAATTCTCACACCTTAGGTTACCTACATACAGTAGGTACCTGTACCTCTTGGTAGGTGCCTAAGGTAATGGAGGTGTGGTGGTCTATGCATTCTTTTGACGTATATATACATATGTAGGTAGGCACTTAGGTACGTGTTGGTGCCCACTCACCAAAGCCCCCTCAGGTGCGTCCGGTCTTTTTCGTATAGCTTCGGGTCGCAATCATACTGCGCCACGAAGCTGGAGAGGGCCGATCGTAAGGGCTGCCTGTTTTTTCTACTTCTTCTTGATCAACCACAGTCGCTACGCTTCGTCTTCCCTACATCGCCTACCTACCTACCTACGTTTTCTCCCGTCTCTGCTCCTGTGTTGATGAGTGCTTGATTAATCAGAGGCATCGTCTGCCTGCGCGGCACTTCTAATTAGCCTACGACAGGGTGGATCAAAGGCCCTCTTGCAACAACACCGTCATTTCGGGCTACCTTCGGATGCATACGTAGACGCGGGCCGCGAAGTCCATGATACACTTGCCTGAGTGCCCTGGAAGCTGGGACTTGGCTGCGACGAGACGCACATCCGCCCACCGCGAGATCCCGCGGCACTAGGACGGAAACATCATGGGGCATGGTAATCTGGGGTCAGTCACCGGCGACAAGGCGGCACGCTTGGCAGGGCCAGTCCATCGCGCATCGGACGTCGCCGAGCCAAGCAGCACAACCTCCGCCGCACCTACAGAACTCGCTACCCATGTCCCGGCCGGCCAGCCGGGAGCATCACCCGTCGAACTCCCGGTCGCGAACGCTGGCCCGCCGCACATGCCACCACACCAACCACCTCCCTACTCAAGCCCGTCAGACAGGTCACTAGATCCGCAGGCTTGTTCCCGACCGGCCCGCGACCCGCAGTACTACCCCGGTCTTCCTGTGCTGGACTATCGCCAGTACCTACCCCCCATGTTTGAGATATCCGCCGACACTACCACCATCACCACCAAGGCCAGCTACCTCTCCGAGAACGCGAAGGCTCTGGCGACTCTGCTGCGGTCCCTGGCCGCTGTACCCCCGAAGCCCCAGATTCTCATTCAGGGCCAGCGTGGGAGCAAGGTTGACTTTAGCCTCAAGCTGAACTTGATGAATCTGCTGGTTCCCAGCGGTCAGAAGGAGCGCTTCGACTACCTCCGATGTGTCGGGAGGGACGAGATCGCACTGCGCGGTGGCAGCGAGCCGGGGTTGAGGCCTGACGTCGGCTCGGATAACGAGCTCGAGGAGTGGTGTGAGCGGTTCGTCGCGGACGAGACGAGGATCAAGTCGTTCACGCTCGAGCGAGTTGTGGCGAACCTCGACACGAACTGGATCGAGGGGCAGACACGGGGCCTCGTGGCAGCGACCGGATACAATGGACAAGTGACGGTGCAGTTCCCAGTGACGCACGCGCGCGTCGTCATCCAGAATCCGGACAGGCACAACAAGTTCCTGAAGGGCGTGACGGCGCTATTCACGGGCAAGAGCAAGTACGAGAATCCGGACAAGCACGACAAGTTCCTGACGAACATGACGGCGGTATTCACAGGCAGGAGCAAGTACGAGGTTGTCAAGGCCGTCTGGCCCTTCGCCACGGGCCGCAATGGCGAGCCCGGCCGCCGCTGCCTCGTCCAGAGCGAGCAGACCTGGTGGGAAGAGTGGCGCGACCCAGTCAAGCACGCCATCGCGACGAAGCGCCTCGGCTGGGTCACCAACGAGGACAAGCTCGAGTGCATCATGGAGGGCAAGGCGAAGGGCGTCTCCCTCATCGACTGGGGCCCCGAACTGTAGACCGGGAAATGGTTGCGACCGACTCGGCCACGGATAATAGCCCGCTTCGTGTATAGGTACAACAACGCATATGGGGTGGGATATGTATATAGTATATGGTTTCTTCTGTTTTGGAGTTCTGGTTCACAATAGTCGGAAAGGGTGGTAGGCTCGGATGGACTGGCTGTAGTACTCAAGTAATTCTCCATTATCGGGTAATATGTATGTCCAACCAAGAGAAACGACGCGCACGCTTGCTATATATGTAGAGATCAATTACATGGGCTGCAATGGAGATACAACCACAATCCCCATGGTGGCACCTATTTATAGATATGCCTAGGAATATTCGCCGCACATTAGAATCGTATCATTCGCTGCATCTCGGGCCGGTGCTATCCCACTCAGACAAGCAGCAGGCCTTCCCCGCGCTCCCAGATGTCGTGGATCCAGGACTTCCCGGGTGGATACGGCTCGGAGCGGGCCCATATCCTCTCGAGCTGTACGAGCGCCGCATGGAGAGTCGACATGCGTAGGTACTCGATTAGGTGCCTAGCGATGTCGGTGACGGCGCGACGCTGCCGCGCCGTCCGGGCCTCGGCGCCGACGACAAACAGGGGCCAGACCGTGCCCTTGAAATGCATGTCGCGGTGGTCTATGCGTTCGAGGTAGAGGAGTGTCAACTCGACAAGGTCGTCGGGGACCACTAACTCCTCCTCTTCTTTATCCTCCCCCTCTTTCTCTTTGCCTCGCCGCCTCGGGGCCCGGCGGCCGAGGGCCCGGCGTCCGTAGATCTCGATAGACCCCTTCCAAGCTTCGACGAGAGCGCGCCGCCCGCGCGCCGAGGACGGGTGCGGGCCCTGCTCAGTCCAGCTCGCGCAGTCGAAGTCGCGCAGGCGCGCGAACCATTCCGAGATGGCATCCTCCCGGTCCGACGGGTCTGTGGCCTCGGACGACAGCATGGTGAGGGCGTGTAGGACGAGCATGAGATCGGCCGGGCAGCCGGTCCAGGTGTGCGACTCCACTCGGACGAGCGTGTCCTTCAGCTCGGCCTTCGGGATGATGTCGAGGAGCCGTAGCATACGGGGGGTGAACGTCGAGCCGAAGATGGCTAGTCTGTCTGATCGTCAGCTGCGGCCGATTCTCAAGCACCGGTAGAGCGAGATCAGGATGTTGAATGCAGTGAGCGCAGCGTCGACTTACACCGCGAATGTCTCCTCGAACCAATTGTGGAAATCCAGATCAAAATGCGTATTTGCACTCCCGTCTGGGTTCGCCCTCAAGGTTCTCCGTAGTGATATCAGGACCGAGAGTCCCTCTAGATGGAATTTCCAACTCGACCTTCCCGAATCCACGACGTCGACCCAGATCAATAAGAACACGGCGGCAAGCAAGGCATCCGAGAAATCCGTGCCGGCGAGCCGTTCTCGGAGCGCGCCAATCCCGAGCGCCGAGTGAGTCAGCGCGTCCGAGTGCTGGGTCAAGGACGACTTGCTGAGCGGCTTTGAGCCGTTCCAGTTCGCGAGGTGATAGATGGCTCGTCCGGATTCTGCCAGGGCGCCGGGAAGGGATATTCCTTCCTGTGCCTGGTGCGTAGCAGAAACGGCGATGAGACTATGAGTTAAGACCGGATTCCCCGGTATCAAGGCTAGGAACTGCCCGAACCGATTTTTTGAATCGTCCGGGTACAGCGTGCACTCACCGCAGCAGCGGTGGAGGTCTAGACCAGCTGGCTGTTAGAGGCGACGGCATATGAGGGTAGGAAACAGACGGGTAGGTAAGGCGTGCACTGGCTTACAGTAGGATATATATTGCTTAGATTGGTGGCTCAGGTCTTGGAAGACGGGATTCGATATTGCTGCAACCATGATCGGCTCGTGGTTAGGGGGCGTCGTCGGCGGTGGTGTCTCGGATGACGCTGTTGCTTGGCCGTCGAATGTTCGGCCCGCCATCTTGCCTCTGCTCGCGATCCCCGCCCACACAAGCGGTCTGTTGCGGCCATAGCCCAGACATTCGCGGCCAGCTGTCCTACACTTGAAACAGGTGGGCAGACGCCCGTCGCATTTCACGCGTTTCCGGCGACACGTCCAGCAGGCCTTGACGGAGAAGCTTAGCTGCTCATCCACAAGTGGCCAGGAATGTTTAGAGGGGGGCATCGCCATCGCTATCGCATTTAGGATGGGATCAGACGAGATAAGGATAGTTGACGATCGCGAGGAAGCCAAGGGGACAATGATGGTGGCGATGATGCAAAGCGATTCCTTTCCTTGCTTCGAATGTCTCGAAATATCCTTGGCACATCGCACAGACGCCCGGGTCTAGTCCACACGAGTCAGCATCCATCAAATCAAGCCCGTCGCGTCGCATAAGTCAAGGGCCCCCAGTTCTTGGAGAGAGCCTGGTTCTCCCATTTTCGTATTCTAAAAAAGAGGCGATCACCTTACCCCAGCCCTAGACCTCAAAAAGGCTGTTTTCAAGAAAATCGAAACATTTCTCGTGTTCAGCTGTCATCTGCACAAGCTTGGTTCCTTTAATAACATCCCTAGGAATCATTTTCAGCGAAATTGATACAGTCGACTCGCCGCTTGCTATGCGCTTTACGGTTAGACTGGGAGATGGGGATCATTTCGAGCCGCCTGGACTCTGACTCCTGACTCGGCCATGACGAGAAGGATGTAGAGACCAGAGATTTTATTATGTAGATGCTGTTATATAAGTTCTAACCCAAACCAGGAGACTTTTCTTCCAAAATTTTTCTAGTCTTTCTCTCGCTCATGATTTCCAGGCATACTCGTTGGCCCTGACAATAGTCTGGGGGTTTGTTGTCGAGCCTTCTTCTCTTCGACAGTATAATCGCTCTTCGCCTGGCCAATCCTGATGAAGCACAAGACAAGCAGAATCATGGCACCCCCGCATCCAACCCCGAGCCAGAAGGCGACCTTGTAGCTTTGGCCCAACCCCTCGCCTGGGCTGCTGGCGACGGCGAAGTCGGCCCAGCCGAGGAAGAAGCTGAGTCCGAGAAACACGAGGCCGTTGATACATGCACCTGCCAGACCTTGTTGGTCACTGGGCACATTTGTCGTGATGAAGATGCTGCTGACGTTGAAGCAGATGTCGATACCGATAGTAGCGCAGGTCATCGCCGGGAAGACCCAGGCCCAGTAATTAGGCTCCGCTGGTATAATGGCGAACAGGAGAGAAGCCAGCGTGAAGCCCACCCCGGATAAAATGAGAAGTATAGTTCCTGGCAAACGATGGAGAGTGAACCCGGCTATAAGGGCGATGATAACCCCTCCGGCCGCCATCGGCGCGAACCAGAGAGCGGCAAGCAGCGGCGAGATATGGAGAACAGTCTCGATACTAAAGACGTAGGGTCAGCGTTTCAGGTCGCCTCGGGTTACTTCTCCACAAAGCGGAGTACTCACTAAAAGCTCGCATAAAAAAGGTAGATACCGAAAGATCCGCAGGCTATGAAGAGGGCAAGGAAGAGCGGCCCGATATTCCTAATCGAAAATAACCCCAGAGGCAATAAGGGCGACTTCGCAACCCGTTTCTCCACATAAATGAATGCGCCGAGCGAGGCGACGCCGAGGACAAACGGGACGATGATCTGTGGCGAGGCCCATCGGCGTTCGACCTGCGAGGCGTCGGTGACAGCGTACGTGACCATAGTCAGGAAGGCGGCGCTGGTGATGCAGCCGAGCCAGTCCATCTGGGAGAGGTCGGGACGGCGCCAGCGGCGGGGGACGCAGAAGAAGGTCACGATACAGAGGACGAGCAGCAGAGCGGCGGCGATCCAGAAGAACCAGCCCCAGTGGAGGAACTGGCCGCAGAGGCCAGCGACCATGATGCCGGAGAAGAAGCCGAAGGGCGCACAGCCGCCGTACAAGCTAAAAACGATGTTCTTGCGCGGGCCGGGGCGGTACGTGGTGCCGAGGAGGAGGACGCCGGAGGGGAGGAAGGCGGCGGCGCCGACGCCCTGGAGCGCGCGGGCGGCGAGCACAACTGGAAGCGTGCGCGCGAAACCAGCAACGAGCGACCAGATAGCGAGCCAAGAGAGGCCGCCAAGGTACATGACCTCGCCTCCGACCATGTCAGCGAGGCGGCCGAAGGGGAGCAGCAGTGCGCCCGTGACGAGCGAGAAGACCGTCGTCGGCCACGTGCGCTGGCTCGGGTCGATGCCCGTGTCCGCGATGAGCACCGGCAGCAGCACGTTGAAGCCACTGATCAGAAACTCGGCCATCATCATCGACCCGAGCACGGACACACAGAACCCGATCTCGACCCAGCGGTTGCTAAACACCTCGGGCCGGCACCGGCCGAGCCTCTCGAGGTCGACAGAGGAGCCGTCTTCGCCCGACGAGGGCGGATCGTTGTTTCGGCGTTCCACTGTGCGAGCAGCTGCCTCCATATCGACGTCCATCTTTCTCTCTTTCCCCAACGGAGTCCGCCGATCTTTTGTTAACGGGTTTCGAGGTTCTCGAGGTTCGGAGATTTCGGTCAGCTCGCAGACCAATGCGTCGAGAAATTTTGACCAAGAGGGATCAAATCGGGGAGGAGACTCGCAGCGGTGGCGATATTCGAGCAGTGGTATCATATACCATGGCATTCAGCGGACGAGTATACCTTGGGTATCTCTACGAGAAGAACCGCTTCTTCTGGGAGAGGAAGAGAAAACATGGTTTTTATACACCTACGTGTAGGCACTATACGTAGAGTGCGTGATGAGAGAAGAAGGGAGAAGATCAAAAGCTTGGATGGCGAGCGTTGTCACCTACTGGTTAGCTCTTAGTAGACTTTTACGCCCAAAAGAGTAGCCAAGAGGAAAGACGTGCGTCGAGGCGGCCCCACCATATCTACGCTGAAGGGGCACAAGAGAGGTGGCGGGACGCTCGAGAGACGTTTCGTGCACTCATAGCAGCGTCGAGAAGAAGAAACTATGTTTCCCGGAAACACGCGCGGCTCAGACGGGGTTGTTAAACAAATTCGAGGTGGGGAGAGCGACGCTGCGAGCATCGAGTCTTCATATCCCGATTAGGAAGCCAAGCCACACAGGCCGAAACGAGACAGAGACGGCGGCCCTGTTCGATCTGATGCTGGCTCATACGACGTCACGCCTACCTATGGAATAACACGCCCGCTTAAGAGACGGTCTGGGCTGCCCATTTGGGCGCCTTACTCTTATAGGAAGCCAAGCCGCACCTCGGACCCGGATCCGATGATGGCGTAGCCCGTCGAGTCGGTAAGTCCTCATACCTACGTAGGTAGTAGAAGAATGCTAAGTCATCACAACAGAGCGCTCTATGGGTAGGTAGGTGGGTAATGATGATGATTATATTTGACGTCACGTACTCTACCTAGTACAGGTAATAAGACGGGCCTGCGTCGCCGGCTAGGCCACTTTTAGTCGGCGATAGACTTTACAGGAAAAGGTATACCCTGCGTAGTATTCCCGCTAAAAGGGTAGGTGGGTAGTTCCAACGTCTGAACAATGCTTATATAGCGATTGATCCGCCTACTCCTCAGGGCGTCGATCTGAGAGCTCGCTCTCGTTGCTTCGCTGCCTTATTTTTAAGGCATACAAAACGTTGGAAGCTGAACTACTGATGTGGCACCTGAGGCATCCAGGCATGCATACAAGACGTGTTGAAAGCTGAACCTGTTGTTGTTGAATTGAAGGAATTAAGCTAGCTACTGGAAACAGCTTAAATACGGCATTTTAAGGTCAATTGACAGGTGTGCGTTTTTCTTCAATTTGACCAATCGCAGGGCTCCATTCTGGATGCCTGGATGCCTCAGGTGCTTCATTTTGTATGCCTTAAAAATAAGGCAGCGAAGCAACGAGAGCGAATGCTGCCCTCAGATCCGGCGGATTTGCGTGCTTGGCAGGTGCTAAGAGTACTTACCTAATGTATGTGGGATGCCAAGAAAGATGAGGGTGGGTTTGTATCCTCGACCTTCTAAGAATTTCTTATTTTTAAGGAGGTTGTACTAGCCTACAACCTTGCGTTATGCCGAGCTCTATTACATGCAGAAATCTCCTCTCAAATGCACTTCCCACCACTGTACGAAGAAGTGCATCCAATTGATTCGTGTTGCAGTCAAATGTTGCCCGAGACGCTATTCCGAAGCGCTGTAATAAATTGCGGCGGTGGTGGTGCTGGCAGTGGTACCGGCGCAATGGCATCGTTTCACGTGGTAGGGGGCAAAAGCAGTATATGTGGGATGCCAAGAAATAGGGAGGCAGGTGTACACCCTCGACCTTCAAGAGTCGCAAACCAACCCTGCTTAGGCTCTACCACCACCGCTAACCACTACTAATACTACCAACGTATCAACACCGCCGCCGAATTAGCTGCACTGTTACCACCCAATTAACTGCACCACCACCATCACCACCATCACCACCACTTATCCTATTGCTTCAAATAGCTCCTGAAGCAACATTTAATTGTACAAAAGAATCAACTCTATGCACTTTCGTGCGGTGGCTAGAAATGCATTCGAGAGGAAATCCCTGCACCCTTTGCAAGGAACAAGGATAAAGCTTAGTATATAGTAAAGCGGTACAGGGGTCTCAGAAGGTCGAGGGTGCCACTTACCCCCCATGTTTCTTGGCATCCCACATACACTAGCCGCGACCCGCTGTAGGGCAAGCTATAGGGGACTTGGTTAGGCTGGCTTACGACCTCGTGAACAAAAATAAGTCGAAGTTCTTAGAAGGTCTAGGGTACGAACCCCACCCCCCACATTCCTCGGCATCCCACATACCACTTCGGCCACCTATTACTAAGTGTGTTGAAACACCCACTGTTTATTCTGCCGAGACAACGAAGTGGGGACGACACCCTCCCATACCCATGGCTGTCCGCAGACAGCGCCGGCACTTCGAAACGTCTTGGTAAGTCAAAGGGCGATCACACTCCTCTCGTCTTATTGTTGCATCCTGCCTTCCTTAAAAGAGCATGACCCTCCTGCTCGAACACGCTTTGAGTCTCGACAAGGGAATGCCCTCAATTACGTTTGTTTTGTTCGGTAAGTTCCTGGGGCAGATGGTGCATCACGGCGGGCGGATCGCGGATCGCGGATCACGGATCATCGCATTGCCAGTGACGACGCTGAGCGGCCGCAATGACGGTGATCCGTGCTTCTCCTTTACTGGGGGCTGTGTAAGTATCGCTGGAACTTAGTATGGGTAAACAGTTGGTCCTATATAATATCGAGGCGAACAGCACATTTCTTCGGTTTAGCCTTGCCTGTTCCTCGCGCGGGACGTCTTTTCAGTTCTCTTCAACCACTTCTTCACAAGTACTTGTATCTAGTTAGAGTTTTAATATTGAATTATCGTCATACCCGGGTTTTAATCGAACCGGCCGCTCGAACGCGTTCGTAGGAACCAGGAGTTTCTTGCAAAATTTCCCGATTTTTTTTTTGGCCGCCTTCTTTCTTCTCTTGCCTTCTCATCGCCGCTCGTTACCCGACAAGGCCGATCCGATGAACGCCTCCGCCGCCCTTCGGGCCTCCTTCTACGGGCCGGCCGGTCCCCTCGGCCCCTCCCCGGCAGATCTACTACGCGCGAGACGGCGCGCCACCGTTGCCGACGTCGAGGCTTTGGGCAAGCGGCAAACCATCGTGCCAGTCGACTACGCCAACTACAGCTCGCAGTGCCGCAAGATCAAGGAGGAGGCGGGCGAGGAATCCATATTCGATGTCGAGCCGATGCCAGAGCCGCCCTCGGTCTTGGACCAGATCGGCCGCATGATCACTATCTGGCCGTACCGAGACGCCAACTGGGTCATCGCGATACTGTTCATTGTCGGGTCGATAGTGTTCACGGTCAACGGCTTCTTTGGGCTGCTGCCCCTCCTCGACCCGGCGACCGCGCTGCCTGCCGAGGCCCTGTACGTGGTGCCCGTCTTGAACATCCTCGGCGCTGCCCACTTCCTTACTGGCGGCACCCTGTCCTTGGTCGCCAGCTGGAACGCCGACAAGGGGGAGTACGAGCCCGTCGATATCATGACCGAGGGCGGCGTCACCAAGACTTACAAGCCGGCCTTGCTTGGCAGTAGGGCCTGGTCATGGCGGCCCTCGGCCGCGGACCTGCGGGCGCTCATACGTACGCCTCCTTTCCTGTCGTCCCTAGTCCAATCCTTCGGGGGTCTTATCCTCACCGTGAGCGTCGTCAGCGGTTGGCCCGGCATCATATCTCCCGAAGACATTTTCAGCATGCAACTCTTCCTTTTTGGGCCCCTAACTATAGGAGGGTTTCTGTTTTTCTTCGCCAACATGAGTCTGCTCATCTGGATGCAGGATCGTTGGTACAAGCCTAAGTGGGGCGAGGCGGGTTGGCAATCAGCATTCTGGAGTTCTGTGGGGTCTTTTAATTTCGCATACACCGGCATCACTCTCTTCACGGGGGATTTTCTCACGTCCTCGATAGCCAGCTTCATCGGTTCTTGGACCTTCTTGCTAGGTGCTGTCATACAGTGGTATGATTTAATGGCGTTCCATCCGGACGCGTGGGCAGCATGAGGCAGGAAATGGGCTACAATCTACAAAGTTGATATATGTATCGGTGTTTGTCTCGCTCTGGGTATGAAGAGGTGATACTATGATATAGAAGGAAACATGCGCGTGATAACAATGTAAAGATTTATGGAACAGCATCTCTCAGTGTGTATAACTTTTCTCGGTCTTCCCTGTCACTCCTAGTTAAAGATTTTTCCTTTCTTTCCTAGCTAGTCAGTCAATATACCTTCTCTCACCTACATTCCCTTGCTCTCTCTGCGCGCAACCTATTTGACAACCCGTTGTTAAGAGCTATTAGCTACGTGACAAGATTAATATTTAGTTTCCACTTCTCATCGCACTCTCACCTCTCAACATCAGATATTAATAGTCATCGAGGCAGGTTAACAGAGAATTAATAGGCTGGATGGAAGTGGGCAATGCCCTGCTAAATGTATGACTATCTTGTTGCAAGTATGAAAATTTGAGCGTTTACTTTTTTCCCCGACTCCCGTCGCCTAACTTCCAACACCTCCATTCAATCTAAGTAATACCATTGAACAATTAATTTAGGGGATTACCACTTGTCGGCTTCGTTGGATTCAAATCATGGTGGGCCTTCCCTTAACGCGCGAAAAGTGATTGATGACTTTATTTCATATCCTCCCTACCCAAACTGCAGCAACTAGATCTTATGCATGACAACATCGCGTTGGACCTGAATGGCAGTTGTCGACAGATTCTTGTTAGGATCTAGAGGGGCCGCACCGATCTCGGTCGTTACGGACGATTTCATCCAATTATGATAAGCCAGGGGCTTGTGAGTAGAATGGGCGGCGATATGAACGCGAGCCGGTGAGGGAGTTGACATCGGTCTGTGTGCCAGTAAGCCTTCTCGGAACACTTTTAGTTCCGAAGCATGGTCCGACCTGTCGTCGCCGTCGCTACGACGCCCCTCAATGCCAAGACATGAGAAGTCCTCCCGTTTCTTCCAGTCTAACATGTTGCTCGCGTCCGAGTTGCCACGAATGTGTGTACTTCCCCGCTCAAGATCGCCTGCATTTGAGTCGGAGTGTCTTCTATAGCCCCTCGCCGATTTGTGAAGGCGGTTCGAAAGAGCAGGAACCCATCTAGAAACCAGGGGGCGTAGTGTGGGTAGACAAGCACAGATGACTCCCGAACACAACTCGGTAATAGACCAGCAAGATCCCTCGACATTTTCATACGAAAAGTCTCCGCCCTGATCCAAATACCGGATGCGAATAACGGAGATAGCGCAAGTGCTTGCCATTCCGTTAGCCAAACCGATACCTCGATGAGATCTACTCGGGAGTCACAGGACTCACAAGAAGCCGAGGCTGAAAATTCCAATGAGGACAAGTCGCTGGGCCTTAGGTAGTTTCAGATGCCCGATAACAGGAAGCGGCAATACGAAGACCGCAATATCCGTCGCGATATTCCCTGCCGCATTGATATACCACTGGGGCAAGTTTGGGATGCAGGTTGGCTCTGTCGACTTCTCCCAGAACCCGCGGATGGGGTCGCAGGTAAAGATACTAACGAGTACTTGAGAGAGTGACCAAGACCCAATGATGATCATGGCTGCGGTGATGGCTATCCGCATCTTTTTTACAGCAAGGACTCGGTAGTAGTGGGCCAAGAATGCCAGCTTGATGAACATGAGCCCGGTAGTGTAGAGAGTAATGGAAACGTAGAACCCCTATATTTATTTCCATCAGTATCAAGCCTCAACGAAAAGTAGTAAAGGGCAAGCAGAGACGCTCGACTACCCACCTTCAAGTAACGCTTGAGCTGCTCAACGGTGTCAAAATCCCACATATGTTTCCCCAGCCCGTTGCGCGTGTCTGAAAACTAATATGAGAGACTATCGAGCAGGTAGATTCCGTAGGCTGTTTAATATAGATTTATGCCCACTTACTCAAGCATTGTGAAATTCCCGTTGCCACAGTAAACATCTTTAAACAGGGGAACGCGGAGTTAGTCTTTGAGAACATCGAGCTGTGAGGAGGCCGACTAATATAGCTTACCAGCGCTATCGTGATCAGATAGTCATCAACTCCGAGCTGTTTGAGCATACGAGACCGGGTGTAGAGCCGAAGCCCCACCGCGAGGGTGGCCAGACTGGATACCAAACATACGGCACCGATCAACACGTTTGCCCTCTCATCGTGCGGTAGGTCCGCTAGGTTGATGGATGGATCCATGCTAGCAGCCTAGCAGTCAGAAGATACATAGGGAGACATGAACCCGCAAGGCGCTAGAGCATCTAGAGAGTCAACCATTCCGGCATGCTCGGCCTGCTAGCAAGCAGGCTCCATCTTATAGAGTCTAGTCTCTCTAGAAACGTCTTACGGCGTTCGTCGGAGGAGGCATAATGCAGGCCCCGTTTCGGGAAGGGCAGTAAAGACACCGGACCGCCTCCATCCTGATAAAAACGGATTATCTCGGAGACGGGACGGTGTCTCCAGATGGAGAGCAAGACTCAGTTTGGAAAGGGAGGAGAGGTTGGCGTATCAGCATTAGAGAATAGTGCTCGCGAGGCGATACTAGCCATTCAGCCACGCTGCTTAGCCGGCCAATGGCAGGCGTGCGGAGAGGGGAATGCGCGAGGGGAAGTACCGGATCGTAGATGGCATCGTTACCGATCGGGGAAATGCCCACAGGCGCTTCCGGGTCGATATGAATTATTGAGAACCAAAAAGCGAGCAGTAGATATGCCTATCTCGACACACGCGCCGGAATGCAGGGGGCACGAGGGCGACGCTGCCCCAGAAGCTGGCATAGGAGCCTGAGCTATAGGTAGTAGGTAGGGGTGGTCATGACGGGCCGCTTCCATATCACGAGCTGGTCCTCTCAAGCGGGAAAAGAGGGAAATATGAAGGTGGTGGACGGCCCGAGAGCGAAGACTGCATGGCTAGGGGCCGTCTTTGCCATCGATCGTAGGTAGGTATTGTATGCGCACGTACGTAGGTGCGTCGGATGAGCGCAGAAGTTCGCAACGTCAGAGCTTACAGCGCAGGTAAGTCTAGTGGCTGGTGTCTAGTTTAGCTCATTTTAGCACCTGGAATGGCGCTCGCTCGGATCGCCTGGCAGGCCCTGGCAAGGCACCTAAATGAACACGGCGCGGAGGGTAACATGCTCAGTCCACATCAATTTCGACCACGCCGTACAACCCGCCCACGTGTTAGCCTTACTATCAATAACAAGCTCCCCTCCAAGCTGCGTGGGATGTAATAACTCTGGTCTGCCCTGGGATCCGGCTATGAAGTGTTTTCGACCTCATCTATCGGATTAAGCATGCAAGTTTACGGTATAATGTGCCAAAACTCGAGGCGCCTAAGGTGAGGTCCTTAGGCACTCAATACAGGGCGCGAGTACCTTGGGTGTATGCGTGAAAGCTGACACAGGCATAAACACTAGGAGCCTAGGGCTTATGGCACGGACTCCTACCTTAGGCATGGATGGTAGGGGTGAATGGGTCAAGCGTGGTGTGCTTTCTAGGGCTTGTTTTAGAACAATCCTTCCGACGTCTCGTACTCGAAGAAGAAAAAAAAACATCTTTTGGCAGGCCAATTCCAATCCCATTTCGTCGGATATCTGGCATCGGACATCTGGCAGATACGTATTACCCAAGTCAGGTTACCTAATACGCTTGACAGATTTCCACGGGGGTTTGGGGGGGCGACCGTTGTGGGATATCGACCGACCTCTCCCTCATCCCGCCCCGCTCCCCCGCGCCACACCAGAGAAGACGGGTCCCGATCTCACGAGAGTTCGTCTCGCTTGATCCCCATGGCTTACCTACCTAACTGGCCGAATGCCGGCTCCGCGTTCGATGGATGTTGCTCCGAGCGGGTTGGTGTGTCACTGGCGGCGTAGACGGGGGATGATTGGGTGACTCACGCCGAACGAGATGCGTTGACTCGTCGCCAGCAAAGGCAAGAGTCACGCGGACAATCGCTCGCCTGATCCGGAGCCGGAAGACATACCGCATAGTTGGTCAAAAATACTGTGGAGGTGTATACCTTTCTTGGATGCCCCTATTTGCTGGGCTATGGAGGCCTCGTGGCGCAGCTCAACTTCTCGTGGAGAGATGTACGAGGGCTTCTCCAGCGAACCCACGGCACCATAATCGACCCTGTGTTCGGTGACCACATTTAAAGGTATCGTCGAGACCCCTCCGAGGTCCCATTTCTGGTTCGCATTGTTGCCTCATCACTTTTTTTTGGTTTTTATTTATTTTCTCTTTTTTTTTTTTGAGGGGGATTTCCTGCGTCTTTTCCTCAGTCCTCGGAACGAGGAAAGACAGGACAAGAGAACTCTCGGATTCGTTCGCCCTCGCCGCCAAGCCCTTCACCTCTCAACCTGACATCACATTATATACCATCATCTCCTACCTCCCCTACTGGAACCTACTAAGCTTCTAAGCGATTGAGAAGACGCCAGCGGATAGTCATGGCTGCCCTCCAAGAGTTGGGGCAATCTTCAGTCCTCGCCACCAATTCTTCGGAGACGGCGTTATGTCTCGTCCCACCTAAGCATCTATGGCCAGCTGTGGAGAATCTAAGGTCGAGGTACGATGCCCAAGTTGGGAAATGGCCGCCGCATGTCAACCTCGTTTATCCATTCGTACCCGTGGACAGGCTGCCAAACGCCTTGGAACTCATCCTTTCTCGCCTACGGACGCGAAATGGAAATAACGAGTTGTACATGCGACTGGACACGCCCGGCGTCTTCCGCCATGCGCGGAAGAACACCATATTCATCCACGATCAGGACCCTGAGCACGTTTTAGGACTGGTAAAGCTGAGAGAAATCATCCTAGAAGCGCTAGGGCAGACTCCGAACGATTATCATATGCATATGACCGTCGCACAGACTGAAGACCCGGATTTGCCGCCTCACATCTACACACTCGAAAAAGCCGGGTTGTTACCTACGCTGGAGTGGATAGTCGATAGGCTTTATGTCCTTATACGGGACAGGAACCGGGGTGATGGGGACTCCCCGACCCAGATGAAAGTCTGGGGGGAGATTGATCTTGCTTCTCTCACCTTGTCGCCACGACCTAGCCCCACAAGCTTTTACCAGGATGAATCGACAGAGGGCCACTATAGGCTCCGTAAGCTCGACGCTATATCGACAAGTAACCACCTAGATCGAGCCGCATATACATTCTCTCTGGTCGAGAACAGGTGGATATCCCGCCCGGTCGGCTCCCCGTCTCAACAAGAACCGGCCCCAGAAACCCTAACGGTTGCTAGTTATAATGTTCAAGCCGAGTTCCAGTATCCACCGACCCGTGCTCGGTATCCTATTATCGTCAATAATCTCCTAGAACAACACGCTCTAGCAGATGTCTTGATACTAGAAGAGGTTACCGATGACTTCTTATCTCATCTTTGCGGAAACGAGGGAGTACGCCAACATTACGGGTTCGTTTCGGCCGGGCCGCCCAGCCAAGCTGACATTGAACCGCTTCCCAATCATCTCAACGTGGTTGTATTAAGCAAATGGTATTTTTCTTGGGCTTTACTATCGTCACCAACGGCCTATAAAGACGTCGTGGTCGCACGGTTCGACAATATCGGGAGGCGTGACGGGGAGGTATTTCTCCCCGTCATTCTGACCGCCATCCACCTAACTTCCGGGTTTACAAATGCCTCCGTCGACAAGAAGAAGCAGGAACTACAATCCATCCTCAAATATCTTTCCAGGGTCCACCCCCAAAACCCGTGGGTGCTAGCTGGGGATTTTAACGTCACGAGTAGCGTATACACGGTCGAAACAGCGTTACGGAGAAAGGAAATCTCTGCCCGCACCAAAAGTTCTCTAAGTACTATCGATGTGATGCTCGCCGAATATGGGCTAGTAGACACTTGGGCTTACGCGTACGTCCAGTACGGCGACTCATCCGGGTTATCTCAGGGCAAAGGACTCGATGGCAAAGCTCTAGGGGGCGAACAAGGCGCGACTTTCGATCCCACCATCAACAATCTCGCCGCGGATTCCGTTCGTGGGGATTTCGAAAAGAGGCCCCAGCGCTACGACAGGATCCTGGCGAAAGTACAAGGTGCCTTGGATATTATGAGTTTCAGCATGTTTGGCCAGAGCATGGGTACTTTGCAGCCCCTTTCTACGATCAGCAAGGACGGCGATGGCTCGCGTGGCTCACTTTCATACGGAAGTGACCACTGGGGAATCCGGTGTTCTTTCAATATATGTTCAGAAACGCCAGCCCAACTAGCCGAGCACGCCAATTCTGTCCCGGTGAAGTTCAAACCAGCGTCAGGGACTCTCGCTGACATCTCCCAACTGACGGCATGCCTTTCTAACCACTCGGTTTTCCCTTCTGAAGTCGATGCCACCCTGCGGGAAACTGCGCTAAAATTACTTCGCGAAGTTTTAATACAGAGGGAAGGCGCCCAGACCCGCGGCCTCCCACCATTGGTGATAGTGCCCGTAGGGTCTTACGGGCTCGGGGTCTGGACGGCGTCGTCGGATATCGACTGCCTCTGCATAGGATCCATTAGCTCGAATACATTCTTCGCCCTGGCTATCCAGCGACTTCGCGCAGCCGCCCAACAGGGGGTCAAGATTCTTCGACGGGTTGACGCGAACTCGGGCACAATGCTCGAGCTAGAAGTCGGGGGTATTAAGATGGACCTACAGTACTGCCCGGCGGGGTTCATCGCCTCGACCTGGCCCGCTGCTGCGACACTCCCGTCGACGGACCCCGCCTTCAGGTTATCGACGAGCGTCCTCGCAAAATTGAAACCCATGCGCGACCTGTATTATCTCTTGCGCACAGTTCCAGATCTCGCTGCCTTCAAGCTCGCACATCAGCTTGTTAAGTATTGGGCGGGAAGACGCGGGATCTACGCCGCGAAATTCGGATACCTTAATGGCATCCAGATTTCCGTACTGTTGTCGCGAGTGCACAAGTCATTGTCACGCGATGGTCGGCCCGTCTCTGTCCCAACGATCCTCACAACCTTCTTTGAGCACTACGCGAGCTTTGATTGGAAGAAGGAGGTTGTTTTCGATCCTTTTTTCCATAAACGCCTAGGCTATGTGAGGACGGCGCGGGAGCCTATGGCGATCCTCGGTTTCCACGGGCCCGGCCTCAACACGGCGCAAGCAGCATCAGTTCCTACAGTCCACGTGATTTCGCGGGAATTCGAAAGAGCAAACACGCTCTTGTCTCGGGAGGGGGTGTCGTGGCCAAACTTCCTAGGGGATGACACGGGCGCAGCCGAGTTCCTGAGTACCTACCGCAGCTATATCAAAATCACCGCCCAATTTTGGGGAATATCATTGGCAAAAGGAAATGGGTTCGTCGGCTGGTTAGAGTCCAGATGTGCCCTGCTTCTAGTCGGTAAGTCCGGTACGCTCACGTTTGGTGGCCGTGGCCAGTCCTAACACGGAACAGATCTGAATAAGAGTATCCCTCAGATCAAGCCTAGAATCTGGCCGGCACGATTCGTAGACCGGGAGGCCTCGGGAGGGGATACGGAATACCAGGGGTACTACCTCATTGGCCTAGATGCCAAAAGTTCCGACAGCGAGCTTCCCGCTCTAACCTTGGGAAGTGTGCAAACAGCACTCTACAAATTCGAGGACCAGATACGCGGCGATGCGAAGTACTTCGATGCCAAGACATGCTGGGTGAGTGCAACGGTTGCTGCACACGGCGAGGTTGAAACGCTGCGGGTCGACGACCGCGAGTGGGGCAAGTACACGGCGGAAGCAGAGGACGACGACATAGGAGACGCGGAGTTCTGGGCGTCGGTAGAGGCCGGAGAAGAAGCGGGAGAGGGGTACGAAGAACAGGAGTCGTCGCTCGGCGAAGCGGGCCGGCGGAAGAAAGGGGGCGCGCGCCCGCTGGCCGTGCGACCGGCGTACGAGGGGAAGTTTCGGTCGGCGGGGGACGTGCTGAGCAGGCTGCGGTGGGATCCGGCGATGGACAGCGGGGACTACCTGGTCGGGTACGAGGACAGGTTCGCGGGGGCGATGGAGCGGCCGGTGGACGCGTGGAAGTCGGAGACGACGGACGAGGAGTTCATCCCGGAGCATCGGATCATGTACTTCAAGCGCCGGAGCGACGGGGCGATGGTCTGGGACCGCGAGAAGCGGCGCGACGACATCTTTGGCAGCGGGATCAGCAGCCTTCCCAATCGCGCTGGCACGAGTTAGGCGGCGGCGGCATCACATCCAACCCTAGTCCGGCACCACTCTCCCCCATCCCCCATTGACGTCACTTTTCGTCTCTGTTTCTCTTTATAAATCCATCATCCCTCCTACGGCGATCCTAGTCTGTTGCGACCTGCATGCGAGACAAGGATCCAGTGGAGATGCCTGTATACGTGGAAGATACTTGCCCACCCGCCGACGCCCAACACGTCGAATTTGGCAATTGGATAACACTAGGCTGGCAAACCCAGCCGGATTTCGCATGCTACCCAACTACGTAACCTTACCTGCGCGCTATGTACGTAGGGTACGCCTGTAGGCAGGCTAAGGCTACATACACATCAGAGACTCTGGGAAGCAGAATTTTTTTTTTCCTGTCTGAAAACGATTCGTCATATTGTGACTCACGACGACAACCTCGCCCGGAAGAAAAAGCAGGGGGAAGAGGAAAAGAAAGGGGGGGAAGAAAATTTAGACATCTCACCGCTGCGACTAGAGCAAGAGACAACCACGGCTGAGCGACCGTAGAAGAGACATGGGACTGATCCTTCTCAGTCAGGTGACGGAATGTCTATGCGCGTAGGGTCCTCCCTCTCCTTTATTTTTTCTTTCTCTGTGTGCGTCTGTCCCTCTCTCTCTGTCTCTTTCTTTCTTTCTTTCTAGGACTCTCTCTGCTTTCCTTCTTTCCGATTTGGACCTTTCCCGATCGAGTAGTAATTTTCATCCCACTCCTCCTCCCCCCTCTCCCCTCTCCCGGACCCAGTCGCTCAAAAAAAAAAGAAAGAAAAAAAGTAGGGCCGGCGGAGGAAACATAGACGTCTCGAGCCCTTTTTTTTTTTTTCTTTGCCTGCCGTGTCGGGGCATCCACGCACAGAGTGACCAGACCACATAGATACGGGACGGCGCTCCCCGGTTACGGGGAATGGGTTGTCTTACTACCTGGCCTGTACTACTGCTACTACATAGCATCGTGTTACGTGTGCTACGTGGTTCCGCGTCGCAGGGACGACGAGATGAGACGAGACAGAGATGAGAGACAAAAGGCGCCACGCCGGCTTGCGCTGCCAGCTATGCTCGGGTACCTGCCTGCATGTACATATCGTGTTGTTATCTGCTTAGCTACATGCTGATGGAGGGGAGGGACTCGACCTTGGGACAGGGAGCCACTCACCTAGAAACATCTAGAAAGATTTTGTTTCAAAAAAAAAAAGTGAGTGCGTTTCCCCCCCCCCCCTCTTTCTTTTCCGGTTAGTAGGGGATGGGTGAAGAAAAAAAGAAGGAAAGAAAGAGAAAACGAAGGTGTAGGAAGCGCCGTTGGTGATAGAGGGGGGTGGGAAGCAAGAAAAAAAAAGGTCTCAGTAGATAGCCCGCACCTGTAGCAGCGACTTCGGCACAGGGATCCCCCAGGGATACACTCATGCCACCGACCTATATACCTGGTATGTGCATATGCATGTACGTATGTATGTACGTGCATGCATGCATCTACCTGCCTACGTACCAAGAGCCCCACGAGGTAGTGCCTAACGTAGGTAGGTAGGTAGTATAATATGCACGGAGATGGGTAGGTAGGTATGTGTATGTACGCCATCGCAACGCAACCTCGCGAGAAGGTCTGCCGGACGATGCGATGCGCCCGCAAAGCCCCTGATCTCTCTCTGTCTGTCTGTCTCCCTCTCCTCCTCTCTCTCTACGTTACGTGCCTACGTACATACATGGCGCTTGCAGTATACGAGCCAGTCCGCAGCTAGTGGCGCGGGAGCCGGCACCACGGTTGCAGTTGCGAGGGCGGTCTCGGACGTTCTGTCTCCCTCTCTCTCGCTCTCCTCTCTCCGCCTCGACCTGTGTAAGACGTAGGTATGTGTGCGTTGTATGTGTGTATGGGCACGGACAAGTGGTCTGTCTGGCCTGGTGGCGGACAGCATTATCCCGCCGGTGCGGCCGTCTGTCTCCCTGGACGGGACGTCTTGTCCGCGCTCATTCCTCCCCCCCTCTCCCTCCCCCTCCCTCTGTTTCTTTTCTCGAGACAAGTTCCGCGTGGCTGCGCTGTGTGCAGCTGTACAATTCGTGCGTCGACGGGACTAGCTGCCTTGGCGGCGGCTTTTCTTGCCTTCGTCTCTCTCTCTTGCGAATGATCCCGTCCTGGTTACCCGCCCACCCCCCTGGTCTGAGATAGCCTACTGCTACTTGGCTTTTCAAGCCGCAGGTTGGCGCTGTTCAGGCAGGCTGGTCTTGGGGGGTGAAAAAAAAAAATTCAGGCACATACCCGTGGAACATCTAACCAGTTGCGTCGGCCTGCGTCGAGGATGAGCGGGAGGCGAGAAGGCCATCACATCCATTCGTCTGCCGGCTCGAGCCCAAGAAATTTTTTTTTCCCTCTTCCGCTTTGCTTTTTTTTCTTCCTTTCCTTCCTTCCGTCCTCCCCCCCCCTCCTTCTTCTTCCCCCACTTCCCCTTTCTTTTTTCTCTCTCCCTCTTTGCATCGTGAAGATGAGACGATAAATCGCCACCCGCCATTGCTGCCCTGCGGTACACGGGGGGCGGGAGCCAGCGAATCGGCGACGCCGACGGCCTGCGGTAGTAATGCAGGAGAGTGAGTGAGTGAGTGAGTGAGTGAGGCGTGGGTATGGATCGATTCGATTACCACGCCGGCGGCCGAAGCTTCGCCGGTCTGGACAAACGCCCCCCCTTCCTCTCTCTCTCTCTCCGGACTGCCAGTGCGGCTGCTAGGTCCATCCATACCTACAGTCAGGTACGTGCTACCTGTGGTTCCCCTCCCACCCCCCGAGAGGCGGCTCTTGGCAAGGCAGCTCTGCTGGTGGGTGTCGGTACCTACGCACAGGCGTGCGCGCGTGCTATGTGGGACGTTTGACGGCGCGAACGGAGGGTTCGTATACGTGCGTACAGGGTGGGCGATATGTAGGTACGGAGTACTAGGGGACAAGGCCATAGACGGCAAGGTGTGTGTGTGTGTGTGATGTATGTGTGTGTGATGTAGGTATTTTATATGTAGCCGTAAATTATGAAGCCGTAGAACACATATATTACGGGAGATATATACACTACGTCAAGCGGATTACGCCAACCTCGACTCTACGAATCAATGCGTCGGTTAGGTAAGCATTTGTTCAGTGAGCATTGACGTTGACGCTTATTGTGTCAAGTACTCTCGTTAGGCAGCATAGCACGGACGCCAGGTAGGGAATACCACTAAGGACGAGGAATTGCATGTATCGGAGTTCTGTCGCATATGCGGCATCTGCCGACATATTACCTACCTAGGTAAGGTACATAGGAGACAGGCACTAACGTTGAGAGAAGGGGCTCAAGAAGCGAAAGACAGTAACCTAGGCCCAACCCGACATGCGTAAGCGAACATCTACCTACGGCATGTCATCTCTGCAGATGTAGACGTACCTAGATATCGTACACGACCGCGGAGATAGTGCCCCCTCGGCCAAACTTGCTCAGTCTTAGCGTCGGTCTTTTCTTAACCCCCGGCCAGACGGGTGTCAGTCAGGCTCAGGCGGCGGGCCCGGCGATACGGAGGGAGGGGGGAGGGGAGGGGCGGAGGCCAGCGCGGCCTTCTAGAAGGATGCAAGGAGGCGACGTCTCCGAGCTCGTGAGCCCTCGATAGATTAGTAGGTGGGTGAGTGGGTGGCCAGGCACCCTCACCACACGCGGTAGCACCCGTAGCGAAGCGAGCGGAGAGAGGGAGGGGGACCGGTGTGTGTGTTACCCTCGTGACAAGACGCTTCGGCCCGCAACCCAGGTCTCCCCTCCCCCTAATCTATCGACGCTTGCGCTGCCGGGCAGCAGAACATGCAGCTGATTCCGCACAACTTCTTAACACTTTTAGCACACATGTCCCCCCCTTATACCTACACATGTGCATGCATATACATATATCACATGTTGGTAGCTACGTGTGCAGCCTATACGCAGAGCGAGGGGCGGGGCGGAGGCGGGATGTTCTCGCCGCGTCTAGCGAATTCTTACCGCATGGGTAAGCTTGCTTCCGCTGTCTGCGTGTGTGCATGCACTTACTGGAGGAACGGCCCAGGCACGCCTCCGCCCGCGTGACAAGACGTTGCTATTCCCACCCGGCGTAGGGAACTAGCGTGCATCGCATGTCCGCATCTATTATGTCGATATCGATATAAGTAGCCATATACCGGCCATGTGGGGATGGCGTCCCAGTTCTCGGCATCCCAGGAGGGACAACCTTGTTACGTATGTGTAGGTATAGGTACCTATTATGCCGCGGTAGATACCCGTACGTAGTGTCGACGGGGGGGGGAGAGGGTTGCACTTGTGCGGCGCAAGCGTCGATATGCTCCATACGGAGTGGTCATGCGGCGGGCATACGGAGGACTATACAGAGTATCTTACATAGGCAGATGGATCCTACATGCCTACTGTACTCTTAAAAAGTCCGACGCACCAGCAACTCCACTCCCAACAATACTTTCCATTCTCGCCCTTCCGGCGAGGTGGCTCACCCCTGGCCCGTGTCCTCGCCCTCCCCACGCAATTGTTCTCACATACGCGCGCGCGCAGAGAGAGACATACATACCAAAGTATGTGCACGGGGGCTAAACAGGCTAGGCACGGCCCAACGGCGCTAATGAGGAGGGATGGAGACGATGAGAAGAGCGTGGATATCGTGGGGTTGGGTCGAACCGAACCAACGCTAGGCTGGGTTCTGCGTACAAGCCCAAATTAACCCCCTCCCCCACCCCCCCCTAACCTGGACCGGTGTGAACTTTTTGCCGTGCTTATGGCTCGTTCCATAGTTCCCGGGCGATGTCCTGAGATTTGCTTCGAGGAACCTTCCTCCGGCCGGGCAGGCAGTCGACGAGGCCAATTTGAGAATCTCCGACGGTTCCCAACCAGTACCTACGACCCGCTAAGGCACCGCTCCGGCTTCTCGACGACAAGGGAAGGGATCCCTACGACCCCTTTGCCAGCCAGAAACGTCGAGTTTTCCACGTAATAGATGGACGGTCCCGCTTTCGTTAGATGCCTGGAAGAAATGCGGAATGTATCACCGAGGATATATAGGCGGCGCGGCAAGATTTACCTGGAAGTAAGCAAGTGCGGGCGTGTTTAATATTCCCCGGATACGCCGATACTTTCAAGTAAAAAAAAAAGTAAAAAGAAAAAGTAAAAAAAAAAAGGGGGGGGGGAAGACGAAGGAAACAAAAGGGAATCTCTGCTAAAGCGAGTCCCGGTGATCATATAATGAGAATCGATGGTCGCAGTTAATCCGTAGTATTCGTCCAGTCGGCTTCGTGCCGAGGAACAGCGCACCGATATTGGCCGAGTAGCTCACCCGGTCGAGGTCAACGTCGAGTAGGCCGTGCGCGACCGCAGGTCTGTGCTGCCCCCGAGTGTTTAACGGCCTACACAATCTCGGGTCCGGGTTGTAGACGGATACAGCGGCCTGTTCGACCGCATTCCGCCGCCACAGCCCGCTGAGAAAGTTGCGGTCATTCAAAGAACTCGGCTGGACACAGATTCCCTGGCCCCTATTTCCCATTATGTAGTTATGTAGAGACGATAAACGGCAAAAAGACACGTGTAGTAGGTATGTCAACCGAATCAAAGAGATCGGTAGTAATATTGCTGTTTTTCGTGTTCTCGCGTTTCATTCGTGTCTTAAGCATTGTGGGAAATCCGGGCCAGTATCAGGTACCCTTTTTCTTTCTTACCCTATGTCCCAGTAAGTAATAATACTGACCGAGTATTCCGTAACGCAGCCTCCAAAATCACCTACAGCGTCTTATCCGCATTTACCGTGGCGAGAATTTGAATACGATGCAATATATGCCGAGGTACTACCTCAACATCGCCTAGCCTGCATATATCTCGGAAGACGAACCAAACGTAGCGCCAGCTAGCTTCTGGCTGACGCTGGTCGCCGTACCGTAACCTATCATAAAATATGACCGCTCGAGAGCGAATCATTGGCTCGCTCATCATTGTCGGACACCACGGAACGGGTAATTTGACACGCTTGAAGTCGCATACTGAGCTATACGGCCGCCAGCGCGTTCAAGGAGCCAACACAGCTCGTGCACAATTAGGCATGCTTTCCAGCAAGAGTTTCTCGGTTAGTTTCCTTCGTCTGCCTTCTGTTATAACCCGATCCGAACCCTATCGCCACCCACTACTTGCGGATCGGGGGGACCCAATATGCTCTGTTATGATTTGTTCGGGGATGAGACAGTTCGCATCGACGTTCCCGCCCAGGGTGTTGACTGACGAGGCTCATCTATCACATGATGATATGGGCCGCCGTACCATGCTGGTAAACTGCTTCTCGGCAAATGCCATCCCACTAAATAGGACTGCCATTGCGACTGGACGGCCTTCCGGTGTAGGTTTCGGCAGGAAGACGGCTGCCCACCGCCAAGGCAGGGACAAGGAGCAGATCCGAGGCGGAATGGCTATGACGTATCGAAAGGCCATTCCAATGCTTCGAGGAGGGAGAAAACTAGGGGAGATTCCATCTGACCATCGAACGACCTTGATCAGCGACCGTAACCAGGGCATCTCCGGGGGGGGGGGGGGTGTGATATCGACATGACGATGCGTTCGGGCGTTGAAGCTTGTGAAACAATAGGTATCAACGCGTAAGTCGCATTGCCTGCCGGGCGCGAAGAGTTAAGGTGGGCCGTGAAGAACGCCACGATCCCTGTGGGCGGGCCTCCATGATCCAGTCGTCAGCATCAACGGAAAAGACTCAGCCTTGCGAAGTCGAATATGCCCGAGAACGGAGCCGCGCGGAGGGTAAGGAAAGCAATTGGTGGCTTGGTCAGATCCGGGGTATGGCGTCACGAATTTTTATGCCGAATATCGGCAGCCGTTATACCATGTCCAGTCGCGTGCGCCGGACGAGATTCATGACTGGCCAGACTGCGTCGTGCCCTGCCCAGTGTGAGATTCGACGTAGAAATCCAACCCTACCGGGGTCTGTATGCAGTGGAACGTCCGGGAGAGCGGGTTTGATTGCCGTATGCAGTGCGAACCGCAAAATTGCATCTCTCTCTCTCTCTCTCTCTCTCGCGATGGTGGATGGGTAACTTCCGTCGACTCGGTCCCAGCCAAGTACCGCAACGCGCGCTATCGTGAGAGGCATATTATCCACTGATACGCCGAATGCACAATGCTTCCTTCTAGCCCCTTACTTCTGCCTGCATAAGACCCTCAGGGCGCTGTCTAGCTTTTGAGTCGGCCCCTCGGCGTCGCGCAATGGGTATAAATCTCGAACTATTGCCCGGGGGCCGTCATTCTAGAAAGTGTAGCTTGGATAGCTGATGACTAGAATAAGCCAGCGAGACCCATGGAAACTCAAGCCAGACCCCCTAGTTTTTTCCCTTTTTCGGTGAGACGTTTCCCCTCCCACTCCCCTTTCCTTTCCTCCTTTTCATAAAAATCATCCTTAGTAGTGAGGATGCTGAAGGGCTCTTTGAGTTCCCAAGTCGGTTAAGCACATTAGGGAGGCTGGTACGGTCGATTCGGTACGCATAACGAATTGGGGGACAGTGACTTGGCGCGCCAGTGAGCCCGACTTCTGGTAGGGAGGCAAAAAAACCAAGACAAAAAAAGAACATCACGCCAGGATCAGGTCCTATCACCGAGGACTGCCTAAAAGCCACATTAGCTAATTCTCCAAGTGAACGAAACTGTACCTACGCAGGAAGACGTAATAAGGCCAGGCAACTCGTTCTCACCCAAACAGGAAGATACATCGCCAATAAAACACAACGCCTCGGCGGGGAAAGTCAGGGGAGATGAAGATATCGTCTCCGGCTCTCAACAAGGTAAGACATAGACATAAGCGACGAACACGTTTTTGCTTATTAGTCCTCATGATCAAATATTTAGTGCCGCGATCGAAGGTTGTGCCTATCAGAAATGGACACGAAGCCTCCGCACTTGATCAAGGCTGATTTCCCAGGCCAAGTATTAGCCTCATTCCCTTCCCACCCCTCCCCCCCCTTTTTTTTCCCTCCCTCTCGATCCCGCGTCATAACCTAGCGGCCTTTTGATAACAGGAAGGTCGTGCATGAAGTGTGTGACATTCTTCTTCTGGGGTAGCCTACCTGCTTGGGCAGGGCCTCCTGGGTGGACGTGAGGAAACGTTCATCGGTCAGTAATCTACGACGTGCAGATTGGCTGTAGGCCACGGCACATCTTGGGCGATTTCGTCTCCCATCACATAAGGTCATTTGGGAAGCAAAGGGGAAACCTAGGGCGACAGTAACGGACCCCTTGTTTTCGACCCTTAGGTAGCCATATGGCGGGAGCCCATTTTCAAGCCGTGCGAGTCGATCCTATCCGCAGCAACCCGCTGTGGAGCTGGGGAGGGATACTTGCCCCCTAAGGCGCTCCAACAGTCCATTGTCACGTCGAAGAGCCGCGGTCTTTCGATCATGATGTCACAGGACTGGGAATGCCTCCAGCAGAGGGAATTTGTTGGTGGTTCGCGTTCCTTGGCGTCGAGGGAGGGTCAAACAGCAGCAAGCTGAGTAGAGGAGAATGGGTCGCGAATCAAAAGTTCCATCCGTCAGCAGCATGTTTCCCATGCTTCGCAGTCGGCCCCCCCAAATGCCAATTCCTGTGACCTGGCCGGCCTGCCTCTGCATGAAGGGGGTGTTTGCTCGACGAAGGCCAATGGGTTGGGGCGAAGGCGTGAAAGGGCAACTGCTTCAGAGCTGATCGTCAGGCGAGGGCGAACGATTAGTGGCCCGTCGATTCCTATCTCCCCGAGCCTGCTCTAGGTCTCGGTGACGGCGCCTACTGCCAGCATCTAGGTGGCATACTAAGACCAATCCCGAGGCCCGGAGTAAACGTAAACGTTGGAGAATAATTTATCACGTCGAGGGTGTAGGTAGGTTTGAGAGCCACCTTGATATCGAGCCCGCGGGGGTAGGCAGTTAGCCTAGCTGTCTGCCTTAGTAATTATCAGGTAGTTTCCCACTCGGATCTCCGTTTCCAGGGCAGCCAGTGTGACGTCGGGGTGGGATTCTGGGCTGCCGTATGATACTCGGACCGTAAGGGAAATTCTCACAGCCAGCTCGCGCATCCCCAGCCATCCTACCAGCCGGTCACGACGGGGGGGTTGTGGGACCAAACGTAGAGAGTCGGTTGGGACCGAGCCTAGCGTTTGGCATTGATTATTCTTCCTCTGCACGGCCACGGCGGACGAGGAGAGGGTTGCCATTGGACGTAAAGGTACAGCTGCTTGACCCCCTATCCGGGATTGGTTCGGCAATCTCGGCAGCCTCTTGTCCTGTGCAAGAAAAAAAAAACCAGACTTGGCCACACTGTCGCATTCTGAACGGAGCCTGCGTAGGATCGATATACGGGCCCTCGTTACAAGACGAGAGAGGATGGGCGGTTGGGAGAGGGATTAGTGGTGATGCACTGGAGGGAGGCGGATCGACGTACAATTACATGCAGCCCATGCACATCGTGCATATTATGTAGATGTGACGTTAATAAAACGTGGAGAAGCAGATTATGGGACATGTCGCCTCTCGAATAGAATCTGCAGCGATGCACGTCGGCCTCGACGAAGGGCCGAAGCCTCACCCTTCGAGATGTCCGTCGAGGGATTGTCGTCGCGAGGCAGAGGCAGGCGGACGTAGAGCTAAGTTGGGTACATGAGGACGTAGAACGAAAGCACAGGAGATGTACCTAAGGTAGAGGTAGGTAGGTACCTAGGTGCCTGATCTATGTACCTAAGGTAGGTACCTATTGACGGAATGCGCCCTCGCATGTGCTGTAAGGACAGGCCAAGCTCAATGGCATGTTGTGCAGTACTGCGAGATACATATATACCGGGTACCTACCTACCTCTAGGTGCCTAAATCAGCATCGTCAGCACCACCTACCTATATTGGGAGGTATCGAAGTACACGCTTCCAAGGCACATACACTGATGCATAACCGCGACCTAACGAGCATTCGTGCCAAATCCAAGGGCGTCCAAGGCGGAGTAGGAATGGGCTTGCGGTCCTGGTCCTGTGGAGGGGCGAGATGGAGAACGGGCAACGGATCGGTGAAGAAGATATTAATACGATATCGAGGGTTTTATGGCGTAATCGAGGTGTATCGCCTTATAAACTTGATTCCCGCGTCTCCCTGGTCTCTTCTTCCTCTCCCCTGCCTCGACCCCCCCCCGGGTCTCGCCCCTGCCTTATCATCAGGTCACTGAGCAAAGCCCGGTAGCCGATCCATTCTGGGTAAGTGGGCTGAGGAGGTTGCAAGGCGCGGGGCGCCCCGGACGGCGGGCTGCTGGAGCCTGGGGTTTAGGTTATGCATCTATCCATTCTATCCACAACTATGTTCTACACCTACCACTTAAGAGGCGCCTAGGTAGGTACCTAGGTACCTAATGTATGCACGTATGTGAGGTATATGGAGTCTATGTGCATGCGTTATACCTCCGCACATGCATATGTACATGCATACGTGGTATATCCGCTGCCTCAGGTAGCACTCCGTTCCGCGTTGGGTACCTATACCTCGCCCGGTGCGCAATGCCATGTAACCTGCCGCCCTTGCGCCCATGACCATATACATTAGATCATGAGTGTCTGTACGAGATTATACATACGAACTAGGTGGGCATGTACAACGCGTAGTAGCAGATTACGTAGCATGAAGCATGGAGCCTATTTCAGCTATCATCCAGTTTACCCCGGTCCTCGCTTCGACTAACAGTCTAACCTACGGGTCCTACCCAATGGCAGAACTCCTCACATTCCCATCAGCGGTCTCCCAAACCCCTGGGCCAAGTTCCCTACAGAATCCAATCACATGCAATCTGAATGCTGGATGGATTGAACGAGACGGCATCGCCAACAACGGACCTGGAGTCGGGGAGCCTGATCAGCAAACCCCCTCGTGCTTCCTTCTGGGCGATCCCGGCTAGTCAGCACGGGCTCTGTGGCGATTTCGTTCATTCTCGTCGTCGCGATTCTCGTCAACATATCCGCTCGCTGCTTCGAGGACAGACGAGGTTTCCCAGACGAGAGTTTTCTGATTGTTTACTACGTTCCTGCGTAGCCGCCTGGTTGGGAGGCAGGGCCACCGCGGGAGTGGTAGCGGCGATGAAGAAGACGAAGTAGCATTGGATGGATCGGAGAAGATGGATTTGGTTGTCGGCTACGGGCCTCAGTCCATCGTCTCCGGGATGCCTTATCTCCCTGGTCATCACGACAACGGCTGACCCCGTGCAGCAGAGCCGTCTCTGCGAGGGCGACATCACCCCCATGTTTGCGTCGCTCCAATGCTGATTTTCGGCCCCTTTGCCTACCCACACATCGGGATATGCTTGGTGTTACCTAATATGACGAACAGCTATCGACCCCGCGGCAGGCGACGCCATTTATTGGTCGTTTATCCCACGTGACGGGCACGGCTATAGGTATAACCTTCACCATGGACACGTATAGGAACGCAAATAGTAGGTGGCAATGCTCGCATATTTCATTGCAATGGTGCCGAGGGGGGCGGTGCTTGTACGAGGAGATGGTTATCGATAGTTATGAGGTCACATACCTACCTAAGTACGCAACGATATGGCGCAGGCGAAGAGTAGTTGGCCAAGGTAACGAGGGCAGTTTTCCGTTAAGCAGCATTGTAGCTTGTCGTTTGGGGCGATGCCCAATTCATCTCATTAAGACTTTCCGCATACGGGATAGGGAGATGGGAT